AGTGTGGGGGAGGTAATGCTGTTAAGCGCAACAACGAAGTGAATAGAACTGGGGGACAGGGTGCCCCAGGATGCTGCCTTATATACATGAGGGAAAACCCCCCAGGGACCGGTAATGGACCCCTGGTACCTAGCTGGGTAAGGATTACTAAGTATCATGTGCTCTATGATGTCATATATGATGTCATAGTCTGGCCCTGCCCTGCCCTGGGCCTAGGGTCCAGAATTGACCGGCCTATGGCCTAGTGCCTGAGCCTAGCTCCTACCTATGATGTCAGAATGATGTCATGGTCCAGAAGGAGTCTGGTTTCTATCTAGAAAAGGTCCGGCATCAGAGTCCAGCCTGATGTGTCCAGAACAAGATCATGTGTCGCTTATTTAAGCGGATAACCCCTTAGATATGCAGCTGTACCCATATGCGGATGGATAAGTATGGATAAGTTCCTATACCCTTTGATATGTCCGCAGAAATAGCGGAAAAATTAGGTAAAATTAGGGAAACTGTGACACAATGAGTACGTAAGCACCTGCGACGTGTGCAACTGCACCAAGACATTCCCAGCCAAGCCCCAGGGTCCGCTGAAGCCGAATGAGATCCCCAAACGTCCGTGGCAGATCATCACGACCGACATGATCGTTGGCCTGCCGAAGTCTGATGGGTTCGACTCAATCCTGGTTACCGCCGACCACTTCACAAAGCAGGTCCACTTCTCAGCCTGTCATGAGACCCTGACGGTAGGAGGTGCGGCCAACCTGTACATCTGCAACGTGTTCAAGCATTATGGTACCCCGGCCAAGGTCATATCAGACCGAGGTCCCCAGTTCGCTTCAAAATACCTGCATGCAGTGTACAAGGGACTGGGAATCGAGCCGGCGCTATCCACAGTGTTCCATCCTCAGACGGACGGCCAGACTGAGCGCTGGAATCAGGAGATCAAGCAGTACCTGCGTGCTTTCACCAGCCACAGACAGGATGATTGGGCAAAGCAATTGCCGCTTGCAGAATTCGCACTGAACAACCGAGTTCACTCCGCGACTGGGCACTCCCCTTTCTTCCTGCATCAGGGGTACAATCCTGAGATCCAGGTTCGGATCAATCCGATGTCCGCGATGCCTGCGGCCGCTGATCGGCTCAAGATCTGAAAGGAGATCAGGGATAATACGCGCTCTGCGCTTGAGCTATCAGCTGAGCGTATGAAGGTGCACTATGACAAGCACGTGCAGGAGGCACCGGTCTTCGCGCCGGGGGACAAGGTCTGGCTTGATGCCCGGAACCTTAAGCTGAAACAGCCGAGCAAGAAGCTCAGTCCCAAGCGCCTTGGACCATATGCTGTGCAGCGAAAGCTCGGAGACTTGGATTATGAATTAGTCCTGCCAAAATCGGTGCCGGTGCATCCGGTGTTCCATGTCTCCTTGCTTAGCAAGTACACACAGAGCGATATCCCGGGCCGGGAGCCGGAGGAACTGCCTGCGATTGAGGTTGAGGGCGACGAGGAGTACGAGGTTGAGCGGATCAAAGATTCGCGGATCTTCCAGCGTCAGCTGCAGTACCTCGTCAAGTGGAAGGGTTATGACGACTCGCATACGTCATGGGAACTGGCGCGCAACATTGCCAATGCGCTGGCCCTCATCGCCGACTTCCACCGGAAGAACCCGAATGCCCCTCGTCATCTCAATGCTGCAATATTTGGTGGTCTCAACTTTCAGCCAATGCCTTCGCCACTGACTGAAGCACGATGCCGCTCCGGATGGGAGATGGGCAAGGGCGCCTCACATGAGGTCATATGCCGTTGAGGGGGGGGTAATGTCACAAGTTGGTACGGCACCTAGCCGTTTTTTAATTTTTTCCTTTCGCGGGCTCGAACCCGTGACCTAGGTACTACTTGCCTGATACGGACTACATCATTATCTACTGTACGATTAGATTAGATGGGCAGCAGTGCGTGGCACAGCTTGGGCTCCGCTGACACAGCCTCTCTGACTCACCAGCCCCCGGGGCTGCGTTAGCATGCTGCGCACGGACCAGCTGCGCACGGACCAGCGCGCACAGCCTGCCCTTATCTCCCCATGTATATAAGCCGGCCTCTGCTGCCCTAGGGACCTCAGTTTTGACCTCTTGTCCCTAGGTCAGTAAGCCCTTGTACTTACTAACCTTTCAAATACTAACTAACTTGTCCCTAGCCTTAGGTTTGAGCTTTGCTCACCATCGCTTTGGTGAGAATTAGTCAGATGCCCCCAGTCTTAGGTTTTCCCCAGTCGCTTGACCCCAAGTCGCGACAACTCATGTGATGCCATCTCGCAAGTTGTCTCAAGATGCTATATTGCAGCCTGCTGCAAAGTGTGTTGAGTAATCATATGTGGATTTGGATAACAGTTTGAAAAATGTACAGAGTTATGACTATGTGCTTGAGACAGTTGGAAAGCTGTGGTCAAATTTATGTATTATGTGCCATAAAGCAAGCATGTGACTTGGTGTTACTGACAGACATGTGAATATGACATGTGAATTACATGAGCTGTTGATGAGAATGTTACACAATGCTCATACAGGATGCTGTAAACAAGAGGATGCAAACTACATAGCATCGAGACAACTTGCGAGACGTCACCACGTGAGTGCCATCTTTGGTAAGTGATCAAAGGCCGCATCATTTCCAGGCACCAGAAGCTCACTGTGACCATTACAGATGGGCACTTCATGGGCGCTAATTGAGAGGGGGGTACGCCTATTGAAATGCCCCAGACCCTCTATCGCAGTGGTGGGGTGCGGATACGAGGGGATGGGTACGAGACAACCGTTCGCTCTGATTCCACTTGGAGGTGAGAGCAGACATACGAAAATGTAGGTGAGAGCAGACATACGAAAATGTAGGTGTTCGTATAATTGTGAAAGCAGGGGCCATCCAGAGGGGGGGCCATCCCACTGGTAAACAACGTCGCGAACGTCCAGCAGTCCCGTTTACGCACATTCTAGCGGCACTCGGAGAGAGGTACAGACGATGTATTATGAGTCACTTGACGACGAGTAGTACAACACGATCTATTTTGCTTTCCACTTCTGCACACGCACTTTCAACACCTTACACTGTTCGCTTTACGCCGCAAAAGGCTCAGAGCGCGCCGTCCTTCTTCGCGGCGAACGCGAGGAGGTCGCAGACACGGCGCGAGTAGCCCCACTCGTTGTCGTACCACGAGATCAGCTTCACGAAGTGGTCGTTGAGGGGAATGCCCGCGTCGGCGTCGAAGATCGAGCTCGCGTCGTTGCCCGTGAAGTCCGTCGAGACGACCTTCTCGTCCGTGTACGCGAGGATGCCCTTCATGGGGCCCGCGGCGGCCTCCTGCACGGCGGCCTTGATCGCCGCGTACGGCGCGGGGCGCTCGGTGCGGACGACGAGGTCGACGACGGAGACGTCGATCGTGGGGATACGGAAGGAGAGACCGGTGAGCTTGCCGTTGAGCGAAGGGATGACCTTGCCGACGGCCTTTGCGGCACCGGTGGAGGAGGGGATGATGTTGTTGCCGACTGCACGGCCGCCGCGCCAGTCCTTGTTGGACGGGCCGTCGACGGTCTTCTGCGTCGCGGTAGTGGAGTGGACGGTCGTCATGAGGCCCTCGACAATGCCGAACTTGTCGTGGATGACCTTGGCGAGGGGCGCGAGGCAGTTGGTCGTGCAGGACGCGTTGGAGATCTGCAGGCGCGTGAGCAAACGACAGCGTGGAACGAATGCGGGGCACATACCACAGTGTAGCTGGAGTCGTACGTGTCGAGGTTGACACCGCAGACGAACATGGGCGCGTCGGCCGAAGGAGCCGAGATGACAACCTTCTTGGCACCGCCCTTGAGGTGAGCCGAAGCCTTCTCCTTGGTGGTGAAGACACCAGTGGACTCGACGATGTAGTAGGCACCGACAGAGCCCCAGGGGATGTTGGACGGGTCGCGCTCGGAGAAGACGGAGATGGGGTGACCCTCGACGACAAGTTTGCCGTCCTTGGCCTCGACAGTGCCCTTGAAGCGGCCGTGGACCGAGTCGTACTTGAACATGTAGACCTGCAGGACGATTAACATAGGCACATGGGAAATCACGCATATATTGCGCACCATGTACTCAAGGTCAATGAACGGGCTTGGCTAAAGTGAGTCAGGGAGAAGAAACGAGAACACAATCACTCACTCGTTCACAGCGACTACATCGATGTCGCCGTGCAGGAGGGCGTTACGGAGGACGATACGGCCGATACGACCTATATGATGGCGCGTCAACAACGCATATAGCCGTGAAAAAAAGGGTAGAACATACCGAAACTACCAGGGACGAGGCGAACAGTGAAAGCATTAAGACGACGACGTCATACGCGGGGTACACGTGCACTTACCCATTGATTCCGACCTTGACCTGGCGGGGAACCATCAGCGATGTGGGGCACAACGGGGAGAGGAGGCTACTCACTGGCATGACTGGTGATGAAGAGGGAGATGGGTGAGGATGAGAGAATGAGGAGGACAAGATGGAGAGGCTTATAAGGAGCGATTATCTGAGATAGGCACCTGCGCGCCTACGCCAGGATGCCATATGCGGACGCCGCCTCGATCGGCGAGGGTGCGCCTCGATCGTATTCTGATTGGCCAGGAGAGGCCGGCGACCGTGGTCTGGCCATGCTCATCCTCAGCCAGCTCAGCCGTCGTGCCCAGCCATAGCCTGCGCAGATGGCTGTGCACGGCGCGGAACATGCGCTGCCTGAGTCAGAGCACCCGCGGCGTTAGCAATCGTCTCATCGCTCTCCTCCGACGCCCTCCTCGGCCGTCGTCTCGCGCCATTCCCACCTCTCCCCATTCATGCGGACATAATACTAATCGCCCTCGGCTCTCGCGCCGGTCTCCCTCTCGCCATGCGTGCTCGCACCCCAGTCCCCGTTCAATCGCCTCCGACGCGGGCGCCTGCCACACCTCGCTCGGCTCTTCCTGACTCTCCCCTTGACAGTCTCGCCATTACCCCACAGCCAAAAATCGGATCCTGGAGGTCGACGATCGCGCTCCTCACGAGCTGGCGCCCCATCCTTGGCTGGACCGCCCCAGTCATGCCCTATGACGCACCGTAATACAAATATGAAGCGGACCAAGACCTGCGCGACGTACGCGGGCTAGCTCACCCTCGACCGTGCCCCGTTGCTGAGTATGATTCGCTACCGCCCCTGATCGAAGGACACGAGCAATATCGGTGCATCGAGGCTGCATAGTATGCATAAGCCACCACTGTCCACATCTAGGCGCAGACCATAATAGGAGGGTCCACCTGCCAATGTCCCGGGTTCTAGAATTTCAATTCATGTCATTTTCTTTCTGCAAGTGCGCATCTTCATATTGAGCTTCCAAGAGTGCGTAGCATACCACACTCATAGCCTCTGTACAGCTTGAAGCTTCAAGGTAAGCGCAGTTCTTGAGCGTGAGATGTGTGTGTCCAGGATCACATGGTATTATATTCACCATGCTGTGTAATCGTCTATGACTTCAGCATGGAACATCACTCACCTTGATTCAGTCCATAAAATTTTGAAGCAAACATGTTCTGGCAACCACAAAGTGTTTACATCTCGACAGATACATTTGATACCACATGTATCAAAGTAAGCTATCCATTCCAAGACCACGAGTCCGTTACACAAAGCGATGCAAGCTAGAAAGTCCAAATAACGACAGCAAGAAAGAGTAGCGTGCGACGAAAGCTTGTATACAACAGACACTGCCTTCCCAGCACAACAGGCAAAATCAACTACAGTCCCGTAGTCCAAAGAACTCGGTGAACAATCAAGAAGAAGCGAAAGAACGAGTGACACAAGGGAGGGGACATGACTGATCACACACACATCAGAGTACAACAAAACGAGAGGATAAAGGCGCTGCGCGATGGTCCGTGGGTATTGCGCACAGACGAAGCCAACCCCAGCCTGCTCGAAACCCCGGCACCTATAGAAGGAGCGCTGAAAGAGTCGCGACGCCGCATGCTGCGATCACGCCGAAGACGGCCTGCGCATTTTGAACGCCGAATGCGCGAGGTGACGCGGCGCTGGACTTGGTAGAGGCAGAACCACTGGACGACGGAGAAGTTCCGGAGGCAGCGGAACCACTTGCAGATCCAGACGCAGACCCAGAAGCGGATGCTGCACTGGAGGACGCACTGGTAGGCGCGGGGGCAGCTAGATACGGGATCAGCAATGACAGTAATCTGCATCAGGTCAACCAAGTACTCACTACCAGGGGCGCGGACAGAGAATAGCTCGCTTGTGGCATAGATGTCAGAGATGTTGGTAGGGCTCGTGAAGCGAACACCATAGCTGTCACCAACGACAAGAGTGACGTTCGTCCTGCATGACGCTAAATTTAGCCTACAACAAGAAACAATGCGGCGAACACGAGTCTTACACAGTGAAAGTCTGCGGGCAGGGAAGGACTTGTTAGTTAGTTGAGGCGCATCATGCAGTCGTGAGGAAGGTATACACACCTCCTGAGACACGTTGACGTAGCTTGCGATGGAGAAGTTGCCGTTGAGCGTCGCGTTATTCTGGTTAAAGACAATGATATTGATGGGATTGGGGGATCCCGCGGTATATGTCCAAGTGATGTTGTTGGTCGTGTCTTGTACCCTACGGCGGCAGTAAGAAAAAAGCCATAAGCTCGTCAAACCAATCAAGCTCACCAGTACTCGCTCGTAGAAGGACCGGTGATGGTAATGTCCGCTGCGGCAATGCGGTGAGAACTGCGTGACTATTGGCGCTGCAGAGCGCAACGTACCGAGAGCCGCGGGCAAAAGAGCAAGAGCAAGAGCGGCGAGGGAGAAACGCATGGCAGACGACGACGGACGGGGGGGAGAGAGAATGGGAGAGGGAGAAGGTGGTGGTTGAAGGAAAAGATCCTGCAGGTCGGCAAGAGTTGCGAGATGCTTCCTTCCATGCCTTGTTCAATTCACATGCACGTGACCGTTCCGTCTATTCTTGAGAGCTCCTCATTTGATTGGTCCGTTTTATGACGTGCGGAACACGCCAACTGGCAGCAATGCAGTGCTGCCAGGGACTCCTTGACCTGACCCACTTTGTTATGATAGTTGATCGTGCAGACGTTCCGCATCATGGCTACAGATGGAACAGTGCCACATTTTGTCAATTCTGCCTGGAAGACCTACCTGTGTGTCTTTAGCTCAGAGCGAAAGCACGCGTTCTATGGCGTTTGTTTGCTAGAACAATGCGCGCGGATCAATGGCTCGTTTTGGACGTCTGAATGTTGCTGGGACGCCTCGCACCAGGTGAATGCTTGTTTACTGTCCGGCGACCGTGTGAGCTGACTTCTGAACATCCAGCGCCGACTCATGGTTCTTCTGTTGTGAACCCTGTTGTGTGAGGCACATCTTTGGATTACAGATGATCCTTACAACGCGTGGGTCTCACCTGTTGGAGACTCGACCTCAGTCTGCGCGTCCGAAGCTGATTTGTCTCCGCCACTTCATCGTACTCAAGTACATCTCATCACCGCAATCGCTATGGCTGCTTTGGTCGAGACTAACAATATGCCTCATGTTAAAGTTCGTCCGAGACCCGAAGCGAGAACGATCAACAAAGATATATCGCGTTTGTCTGAGCTCTGTCAAACGCGTAAGGAACATACAGGATGGCTCGCGCAAAGTCTGCGAGGTACTACAAACAATGCCAAATACGGTGGCATGCGCTCGCCACAATCTCAAGTTCCAACACCTCACTACTCACAACATCGCCGCCTGTGTTCCCGTAGTGCTATGCCTGGCTTTTGATTTCCGCCAGGGGATGTCCGCCTTGAGACCGCCCCCAGGGCCACGCTCGCTAGTATTCGGGGTCCTTACAGGGCAAGCAATCAGCCTTGCCGATAAGTGTCTTGAACGGCGACTCTTTTACTTGCCACCCACCGTGCGTTCATGCGTTTCACCCACCAGAATTTCTCGCAAGTACATGCGCGCAAGGTAAATTGACAGTTGCCGCATTGCAAGCTTGGCAATGGAAACAAGCGACCTCGTATTGAATGGACCCTGCAGCCAAGTTCTCAGGTTAGGCTCTTCGTATGTTTTCTGAGGCAATGGGGCTTACGGTGCAATTCCCAGAACTCTGCAGGATTGTTCTGCCATCCTGGTCAAGTGCCTGACTCCGCGGCGTCGTGGCGAAATGTATACTCGTAGCGTCTCGCCAGTACACGAATGACCCATCCAGCGTATAACCGTCAATGCGCACGAAGCTCTATGCTCTTAAAAGCATATTGTCTTCCTTTGACGTCCGTGGGCTTACAGTCGCCTCACCCACAACTCGACATCTCGAGGAGTGCGATACACCTTTCTCTGCCCTGTGGGAAGCCGGACCGAAGCCTAGAACAGCTGATGGTGCTCGTGTCGCGATAGGGGGCGGCCATGGGGTGCCGCGCACGCGCGAGCCTATAGTTGACGTCAAAATCGCAAAACGACCGAGTCACCACTGGCCATGCAGGCCTTCTGGGCCCTCGTCTGTTGCATCGCCGTGGCTTCGGATCACGAGCGTCCCGTCTGCGTCGCTGTGCGGGGGCATATAAGTATGTGCAGCGACGCGGGATAGTGCAGCTGCTTGCTTCTGTTCTTTCCGGCTCTACCTTGCTCTGCTCTGCGCCTCTATAGACGATGGAGACACCCATGTCCGAAAAAACGCGCGTTGACTTCTCGCCAGAGGAGCTCGCCGCGATGCACAAGCTCGCGCAGGAGAAAGAGCGCGAGGGCAAGGCATCAAAAGCCTCCGCGTCGGTCGCGCTCACGGAGGAGGGCGGCCCCGCTGAGTACGGGGACCCCGACGACTTCCCCGACGGTGGGCGCGGCTGGTGGGTCGTCCTCGGCTGCGTGATGTTTGCCGCGGCGACACTAGGCTGGGCGTATGTGCTCGCTCCATAGCATGCTACGAGGAATGGCATTGACGGTCTCTTCCCTTTGCGTTTGGTCGGCGGTCGGTGCACTCGATGCGTCTGACGGGCAGGCTCGTGAGCATTGTGGACAGGCGTCCCTGACCCCTTCTTGCGTGTCGCTTTGTTTGGGTGCTCATGTCATGGCAGGCATGGGGCGTGGTGCAGACTTACTACCAGGAGCATGTATTCCCCGATGCGTCCGGCACGGTGCTGAGTACGCTAGGCAGCACATCTGGTATGGTAAGGCGCGCGTGTGGCTGTCCTCAGATCGCCGAATTCTCACTTGGCTGTTTGAAGGTCATGACACTTCTGAGCGTGATTGTGGGGAAGTTGGGCGATCGATAGTGAGCATTGAGATACGCACTACTGGAGTCTTGCTCATGATACATTCCTAGTGGCTATCGAGTACGTTGTATCGGTTGGCGCGTTGGCAAATTGCTGAAGGCGGGGTGTGTTGCTAGCCCTTTCTCATAGCCGGAGCCATTTTCTGGCTCGCAGGCATGCTTGGCTCCGCGTTCTGCACTACGCTATGGCAGTTCTTCATTACACAGGTGCGCACCAGAACATATTTTCCCTTATTCGCATATATATGATGTGTCGCTGCAGGGGGTGCTCCAGGGACTTAGCAACGCTCTACTCTTCCCGCTCATCGTTCGCACGAATGTCTTCTGACCCTTGCGAGCCACGTTCTGACTGCGCAGCGTATTTTGCCAGGTTGCACTGCCGGCCCAGTGGTTCTACAAGTACCGCGCCTTTGCCATGGGCGTGGTCGTCGCAGGCTGCAGTCTCGGTGGGCTAGTCCCCGTGGCGTTGCTCGATTTTCATTCACAAGTCGTGTGATTCGCAGGCGGCGCCGTGGCCTCCCTCATCATGTACAAACTGCTGGCCACGCTGGGCTACAGGAAGACGTTTGCGATATACAGCGCGATTGACGCGGTCGTGTTCGCGGTCGCACTGATGCTGGTTAAGGAGCGGCGACCTGCGTGCAAGCGCCCGGAGATTGTGTGGGTGGACCGGTCGTTCTTCCAGGACCCGGTCTTCTGGAGTCTCGGAATGTGCTTCCTGTTCACTGTATTGTGGGTGATGTCCGCTCCGTCTGATGGTGTCTCGAGTGACAGACTGCCGCCAGTGGATATCTGTCGCCGATATTCTTCTTGCCCACGTACGTGCTCGATAAGCTCCCGGGGACGAGCGACTTTGTGAGCGTGAAAGCAAGATAGGGCGATCATGATGCGAGCTAATGCCGGTTGACAGCTTTCGACGCTTCCGCTCACGTTGTTGAACCTGTCCGCGGCAATAGGCCGCACGTCCGTCGGCTTTATTGCAGATCGCATTGGGCCTGTGAACGCGCTGTTCATTGCAGTGCTCATTTCCGGCCTCGCTCAGATCCTCATCTGGAACTTTGTGACCACCTACGCTGGCATCGTACGCGCGGCCACACCGCATAGCTCTCCTCACTCACGCACATTGCTCTGTTCTTGCCCATAGATAGCGTTCGGCATCATTTACGGGTTTTTCTGTGGCTGCTTCATCTCCCTCTCCCCCGCGGTCGCTGCCCAGTTCTGGGGCGCCGACCGCCTCGGCGGGCTCTCCGGCCTCATGATATTCTTCAACTTGCCTGGTGCGCACGGTTGTCGCTGGGCATTGTTCTGCATCTTCACCTTCTCTGTATCCAGGAAACGCGGCGGGGGCGCCCATCGGCGGCGCCATCCTGCAGGCGAGCGGCGGCAACTGGCAGGCTGTATCGAGCTATTCGGGCGTGATGCAGATCGTAGGCGCTGCCTTGTTGTTATACGGTCTGTTCTGCGTTAGATCCGCAGGTCTCAGCGCTCACGATTCGGAGGACGCTTCCAGCCCGTTTCAAAAGAGAGCCAAGGATTGTTGCGGTGTACTAACCCCGTGTGTTTCAGCAGCGCACGGCCAGCGTACCATCTTCAAGACACATCCTTGCGCGCGTCTCAACTGCGCCTCCCCGTCGGATGGTTTCTTCTATCAGCCATGTCACTTAGAGTTTAGATTTTCTTGTTCGTCGGCTTGTTACGTTATAATGACAGTGTTTGCCGCGATTGCCTTTGACGCATGTCTGGTTGTTGAGATGCAGACCTCTCAGCTCGGTTGCCGTGCCCACGGTGAGACGAGAGCACTGCGATGATGTGCAGGGTTCTCAGCTTGGCTATGCGAACCACATTACGGCTTGCGGCTATACAGTCATCAGAGCCAAAGAATAATCAGAGGGAAATGCCTCCGCGTGCCTGTGTGACGCCGATCCGTTGTCCAAATTCGCTGCGCCCAGCGCGCCCATATAGCACGGGCTGTGCCTGCCACTCTATGGCCCACAACCCTCCGCCACTATCTTAAATCCAGCCCTCTGGCTGCTTCATGTCCACGTACCATAACTCTCAGGCTTCACCCATCGTCTCTGTAATCGCGCCACCCGGCTCACTGGCCTCGCCTTCTCTGCGCCTCTAGGCCTGGGCATAGTTGTCCACGAATACATCCCATCTTCTCTGCTCCCATGGCCCGCACCGAGACCGTCGTCGACGATGACCCGCTCACGCTTGCGCTCGCCCCGCCGCCCAATGAGACAGAGGCACAGAGAGAAGCGCGGCTCAAGGCCGAGACCGAGGCACGCCGGGTCAGCGATCGCATCGACGAACAGCTCAAGGCCGAGCGGGCCGCGCTCAGGAGGAAGAAGCCCGTGAAGGTGTTGCTGCTCGGCCAAAGCGAGAGTGGTGCGTCTGCTATCGACGTGCGGGCAAAGCAGTCTGACTTCAGGCCTTCCTTGCAGGCAAGTCCACGACGCTGAAGAGTGCGTATAACATGTTATGGAGTGTGAGGCTGAAATGCGCCCCGTCGCGAGACATGAGGCTCTACGGGCATTCTGTGCTCCTCATATCGGCACGACGATGGGCTGCACGCTATGCATATAGCGGGTCGTAGCTCACCAAGCCAAATTCGGGCATTCCGGTCGGCGCTGCTGTGCAGTATCCCCGCGAATGTCTGTATTTGACTTGTAACTTGAGGCCTCGACTGCTGTAGGAGGCTCCAGGCTTCTATCCCGTGACGACGATTCATCTCACCTCAGGCTCTTGGATCCGTAGCTACAATGCTGACCGCGATGGCGTCTAGATTTCCAGATCACATATTCGCCGAGGGCATGGGCAGAAGAGCGCGCATCATGGCGCACCATCGTCCAGTTCAACCTCGTCCGGAACGTCAACGCGATCCTCGACGTGCTCTCCGAGGAGATGGCCGCGGCCGAGCCCACGCGCCGACCGCCCACCGCCATCGACTCGGACGTGACAGACGACGAGGCAGACACGCAGCACGCGCGGCGCTCAGACAGCCCGCTGCGCTTCACGGACCAGCACAGCCTGCTCAAGCTGCGTCTCGCGCCGCTCCGGGAGCTGCAGAAGGACCTCGAGGAGTACATCGGCGTGTCCTCGACCGAGGAGACGGACGCGGACGCGGACGCGCGGCCGCGCTCGCAGGAGGGCTTCATCCGGGCGAACAGCACGTGGAAGCTGAACCTCAAGGCGTTCGACCGCCAGGCGCAGGGCGCGATGCAGCGCAGCAAGGAGTCGCGCGCGCGGGACACTGCGGAGATCATCGCAGGGTGCGCGGAGGACATGCGTGCGATCTGGGAGGACCCGACGGTGCGGCAGATGCTGCGCAGGCGCAAGGTGCGGATGGAGGCCGCGTCTGGGTTGTGAGTGGCGTCATCTCTGTGCAGAGTGGTCGGGTGAAGTCTCTCACCTGGTGTGTCCAGCTTCCTGAACGACGTCGAGCGCATTGCGCAGCGGGACTACCAGCCATCCAACGACGACATTGTGCGCGCACGGCTGCGCACGCTTGGTGTGCAGGAGTATCGCATAAACTTCGAGAAAGGCATGTAGGATAGCGCGCCAGCGTCCGCTCAAACTGACCACCACCTTGTGGCCAGGTCCAGCCGCGGGTTCAGAGTGGTGCCTCTACGACGTCGGGGGCTCTCGCACGCAGGTCGGTGGACATGTTTATGTACAAAGGCACGTTCGCTGAAGGCGCGAACAGCGCGCGGCGTGGTTCCCGTACTTCGACGACTGCGACGCGATCATCTTCCTCGCGCCCGTGAACTGCTTCGACGAGCGGCTCGCGGAGGACCGCAAGGTGAACCGCCTCGAGGACAGCTACGTGCTCTGGCGGCTCGTCTGCGCGTCGAAGCTGCTCGCGCGGACGCAGATCATCCTCTTCCTGAACAAGTGCGACCTGCTGGACCAGAAGCTCAAGAGCGGCACGCGCGTGCGCGACTACGTGCGCAGCTTCGGCGACCGCTCGAACGACGTGGACACCGTGAGCAAATGTGAGCGTCCAAGCATTGTCTGGCCCACAGGGAGAGCGATGGTATCTGACGGAGCGTCTTCGCGGCAGACTTCTCAACGCACTTCAAGGAGATATTCAAGCGCAATTCCCCCGAGCCACGACAATTCCGCGTGCACATGACGTCTGTCATCGTGAGTATCTAACGATTGACTCCTTGCCTACTTTCGTGGGCTTATCACCGCACAGGACACACAAGCGACTGCCATCACCCTGGGCATCGGTTAGTTCAAACCATCAGTTTCCAGTATCACGAAATGTGGCTAACATTCCTACTTTTCAGTTGAAGAGGGCATTTTGCAAGCTCATCTTCGATCTGTCGACCTCATCTGAGCCGGTTACTCATCTCTCCTAAGCTATAACACCTTGTAGCCCTAAAACATAGACCGTATATGTTATCGGCATCACCTATGTTTCATATGTTGTACTCTGTCTGTACTGTTGTAATCTTGGCTGCTTTTCTGTGTCATATTTTCACTACTGTATGATATCATAGTTCTTGCATTGCATAACATATTCATGTTCGACATAAGTACAAGGGGGGTGTGGCGAAATGCATGTACAGAGTCATTGCGGGAGATCTAGCGAGGCCATATGAATGCCGAAGACCAGAAGTGACGGAGATATGGCTACAAAAAGTGTTGTGGGACGCAATGCATAACGAAAAGAAAGACCAAGGAGTGTGACGTTTAGCCCATAAGGGATACGTAATCTAAGAACGAAGGGATTATGCGAGAACGACAAGTGAAGAACTGGTGAAGGCGAAGGGTTTGGGCCACCATTTGCCCATCACATCCGCGAAAATTCGATCATCGAAAAGTGGAAAAGACAGTCCTTCGGATTAGCGTCGCGATACCATCGGGGAGGCTTACCGTCGAAGGCTGCCACCAACCAGTCGTACTGCGCCTGCGACAATCGAGCGCTGGGCGAGTCCATGGTTGCTGAACTCAATATCGCAAAAACTAGAGGACATCCCTGAGGGCGACCAGCGTATGCGGGCGGGGGCACGAGGACGTCATCGGGTAGTGCGGAAGCCCAGTAAAGGTTGTGGTAGCCTGCCATGAGCTTGAGCTGCGCCATAGCGATACAGTCCCAATCGACCTGGCGGGTCGAGTCGCCTTTATAGTACGCCCGGCCGAGGGCCTGCAAATGATCTATTTCAGTCCAGCCAAGGACATAGTGACACCCATGGGCTTCGTAGCCATCCGGTAGGTCAGGTAAAATGGCTTCGCCGGATTGCACTTGTGAGTCAAGGGGCGTCAGGGATGGTACTGTTTTGAACTGTGGCGCAGAATGAGTGAGTTCAGCATCACGCCAACTATTTGCGAGATGCGTACGCTCAGGGAAGCCAGAGTCTCCTCGAGGTCGCTCATGACGCGCTGTTGATAACGGGACATGTTGTGTGGGGTTTTTTCTGGTATGCAGCACCGATATGTACAGACTGGCTTATATGCGATCAGGGGTTCTGTGGCTAAGCGCAGCCGCTAGCCACAAGCGCTTTGATTTCCTCGTGGATCCGTACCTCACGCCGGCCAAAGCCACCTACTGTTGTTCTTGTCCGAACCGAGCGTGGCGTTGATGGCGACGGTAGCGGCCACGTTTTTGAAGGACAAAGCCAGCCAATCTGATCATTGTTGCTCGAGCGGCACAAACGCTTCCGCCATTCGATAATGGAACGGCTACGGAGGCACGTGCCATGAGTAGAGACTAAGTATCGCCACACAGGTGCAGACCGGTGGCTCGAAACGCGACCGGACAAACACGAGTCACTCGAGTGCTTTGATGAACATATACAAACGCGTGATTTGGGTGTACAAGGGTCAATCTGAGATATAGGCTGCAAACACTTCTTGCACTCCCATGGTTGCCAGCCATCAAAAGCCGGACACTCGCAAGTTTGAATAGAACAAGTGTGACAAGGCTGTCGAATCTGAGGTACTATGCAAGGAAGTCTTGCTTATAGATGATGACTTGAGATGACTTAGTTCAAAGAGTTGATATCGGGAGCAAGCGAGGAGGCATGATAATGATTGAAAGTTGTGAATTTCGAAGTCAACCGGCGGTTTCAGTAGACGCCCATAATTAGATGCGGCACGTGACTGTGTATAGCATCCATTCCCCCGGGGCTCGCTGGACGCTTGTAGGGAGCATTCTAGATCCTCTTCTCAGTCTCCAGGCTGCAATAGCTCGCTGTCGGCAGCGTCGACCTACCCTAGGACTGGCTTGTAATCTCAAGGATGTCGTCTAGTATCTCGGCGACGCCAACTCTGCAGCCTTCTCCCACGGCGACGCCAATTCCCGAGGAGGAGGAGTATTACTCGTCATGGTCGCTTTTCCTCGTCTGCGGCCTCCTCGTCCTCTCGCTGTGGACGTCATATTATCTGCAAATAAAACGAATACGCGCCATCCATGAAACGTTCGTTGCCATTATTGGGGGAATGTTTGTTGGCCTGGTAGTGCGGCTCGCGCCGGGGACTATGATACGAGAGATGTTGGTGAGTGTGACATCGGCCATGTAGGCCATCAAGCATATCGGCTGGTCCTTAGTATTAGATATCTCTCATGAGTGCAGCGTGTGCATGCAGTGAGAAGGCTGCACAGTTTAATGAGCTCTGGCACGTCTTCTAACCTGATGACACGCTGTTCTCGGAGCGGCGACATTGTCTCTAACGCCTCTTTTAGACGCCATTGTGCGAATTTGATCGAGAGCTTTACGCAGGCTGGGTCCTTGCCCTGCTTTTGTTGTATCGGGATTGACGTCATAGCCGCACACCATATTAACTGTTCCCTCAGACATTCAAACATACGTTATTCTTCAACCTCCTGCTGCCGCCCATCATCCTGAACTCAGGATACGAGCTCAAACAAGTCAGTCCCACATCGCCTTTTATGTACGGGGTGATATTCACCTCCATCACAGGAGAACTTCTTCCGTAATTTCGGCTCTATACTAACATTCGCCTTCCTGGGCACATTCATCTCGGCCGTCGGCGTGGGGTACGTTCCGTTTCGCCGTAAGGATCGCTGGGTATATCCCTGACCACATACAGAACAGGGTACTCGTGTACATCTACTCATTCCTCGGACTGGAATCTCTAGAGGTGACCCTCATTGAATGTCTCATCTTCGGATCCACGCTGTCCGCGACGGACCCAGTCACCATCCTCGCTATCTTCAACCAATACAAGGTCGACCCAAAGCTCTACACTGTTATCTTTGGAGAGAGCTTGCTGAACGATGCTGTTAGTATCGTCATGTACGAGTGCGTAGCCTCTCTCGCTGGTGACTGTCAGGGAAGTTGACCCCAACTGAACCAGGACGCTGACGCAGTTCCACGGAACTGAGATCTACGTGTCATCTCTCTTCCACGGAATCGGGATATTCTTGCTCTCATTCAGCGTGTCAATGGCCCTCGGCGTCTTCTTTGGGCTTGGGATGTCGCTGCTCCTCAAGCACTCGTCCTTGGCGCTGTACCCCTCCATCGAGACGTGTCTGGTAGCGCTATCGGCGTACACCTGCTACTTCTTCTCCAACGGTCTGTCGATGTCCGGCATCGTGTCCCTGCTCTTCTGTGGCATCACTTTGAAGCACTACGCATACCACACCATGTCGCGCCGGACACAACGTGCTACCAAGTACATCTTCTCCACCCTCGCGCAGCTGTCCGAGAACTTCATCTTCATCTATCTTGGCTTGTCTCTCTTTACGAGCGCACCGTCGTCGGCAAATGTGACCAGCTACTTCAAGCCGCTGTTCGTGACGATCACCACGGTGGCCGTGGTTTTCACCCGCTACGCCGCCGTGTTCCCGCTCTCGGAGGCGATCAACCTGTTCCACAAGCATGCGCGAGGTCAGCGCCAGGAAGAGCTCCCGCATTCGTACCAAATGATGCTTTTCTGGGCCGGCCTACGCGGCGCCGTCGGAGTCGCGCTCGCGGCAGGCTTTAAGGGCGAGAACGCACAGACGCTGCGCACGACCGTTCTCATCGTGGTGGTACTCACGGTCGTGGTATTCGGCGGAACTACGGCGCGCATGCTGGAGGTGCTGGGCATCCGGACGGGCGTCGAGGACGACGGGGCGAGCAGCAGCGACGACGAGGAGCTGCCGCTGCGCTCGGGCTGGTACAACCGGCGCGGCGGGCGGTGGAACTTTGCGGAGGACGAGCCGAGCGTGTTCGCGTCGCAGCAGGCCGCCGTGGCCGCAGCCGCGGCGTTCCCGCGCAGTGCCGTCGGCCACGGGTACGCGGGCAGCCCGCGGCCGTACAACCACCAGGTGCAGACCAACGCGATGCACGCGATCTTCTCCGCGGCGTCGTCGGACTCGTTCGACTCGGACGGGGAGGTGCTCCCGCTCGCGACGGCGTCGCTCGGGGAGCTGCCGTCCCCGGGCGGGCGGCGCAAGTCGCGCGACGGGGGCGCAGCGGCGGTGGCGGGGCCGTCGTCGACCGGCGCGGGGTCAGAAGAGGGCAAGTGGTTCCAGCAGCTGGACGAGCGGTACCTGCTGCCGCTGTTCTCGAACGCGACGGCGAGCCGGACGTTCCACGCGCGCAAGGCGCGGCGGGCGTCGGGGCTGAGCACTGGGAACGCGAGCCAGCTAGGCACGCCGGCGGACTCCGACGAGGAGGGCGACGAGGGCACGGAGGTGGACCTGACGGCGGCGGCGACGCGGGCCGCGGGTGAGCGCGAGCGGGATCGAGTCCGGGACGACGCGGTGGCGCTGACGCCGGGGCTGATGGACCAGAGCCGGACGGAGCGCGGGCTGGCGAGCCCGATGCTGCGGCGGGATAGCGAGGGCCAGGCCCGAGAGCGGGCGGGGTCGACATCGTAGAAGTAGGCGCGGGTAGAATAAGGGTTGGCTTGTACAGGTTGTGCGTTCATTTCTTATCTTATTGCTGCTTGGGCTCTTCTGTCGGACTTCCTCGAAGTGAAAGGACGTTTAGCGCGGAGCATGGACTTGAGCGGCTAGATGATTCTGCTGCTTTGTGATTTTCGTGTTCATCGACACACTCGAGCTTCGTGGCGAAACGCATTGGAGGTACGGGGGAATTGCGAATGCGTATACAAACTGATCTTGTACCCATGTAGCGCTCTCACAGCGCCAGGTCGCAGTAGTGCGTGACATGGTCTTTGCCAAATACGACACTCACACCTAGCATATGCATGTCGACTGACAGACGCTACTTTATCTTCCACCGCAATGTCTCAAATATACTCTTGCGTCAAACATCCTACAAGGGTCTTATTTCATCTTCCAATAACCCACATGTATTCTGACACGCGTGGCAGCATTGGCAGCATCGTCAGCGTCAGTACTGTCCGCTATTCTCGGATACAGAAGAAAGAAATTACCACTTTCAGCATCGGATGCTTGCTTACCACATACTACATGTTTCAGTCGCGGACTCGGTGTGCTTGGACACGATACCAACACATACGCACGCGTGCTGGGGCGACGGGTGACTAGTACCGGTCAGGGTCCCAGAGTGCCAGGGCTGATCACCCAAGCCTGAGGGAAACATCTGTTCCTGATTTTAGCCTTTTAGCGCCGGTAGTTCCTAGCAGCGTCACCAGCAAAGACAACATTCGCACATTTCCTTGCGGGGTGTGCTCTAAATCTCGAGTCAAATGGAGTCGATATGGAACGTGGGTCGTGGTGGTAGATCCTGGATCTCGATCGCAGGCGGTGAAAGCTTATAGCAACGAATTCGGCGCTCGACGTTGCATACGAGCGTGTGGCTGATATCTCAAGTGCTTGCCTCGGATGAGCAAATGCCGGTGCTGCCATTTGCACATATTGAATAGGCCCAGTGCAGCCAGTAGCAGAAACCCGGACCACAGCTCGACCATCATTCCTTGTCCTCGTGCCCTCGTTCGATAGGGTAGCATCCACCGTCATTCTTTTCTCGCATCTCTGACAGCCTGGGACGGCCTGAATAAATGAGTCAGAGTCCGCCGGTGCCGGCTCCGGGCTCGATCACTATGCGCAAGGCCAAGCCGTCAAATAATACTCGGGTCAATCCTTCTTTGACGACTGGGTCTTCTATGACGCCCCCGACAGCGGTTACAGCACCTCCTGTACGTCATCCGCCTCGGAGCAACACCTCCATTCACTTCATCATGTGCACAGGCGACGTCTTCTGGGTCGGCCAGTCGCAGGCAGCCACCGACCAGCTCGCCTACGTGAACAATGCCGGGAACCATCATCCGAGTCGACAACACCACCTTTGTCAAATACAACAACAAACGCGATTCAGTACACGCCATCGCGCACCCATAGCCAGGCAGGATGCTGATCTCTCGTCCCGCAGGTCCGAACCACGACCCAGGACGTGTTCCCCATCGGCAGTGTGTTCGTCAGCCACATTCCATACAGCTGCTCGGTACGTGCCCCACGCTCCTCTCTTCTCTCCTGTCACCCGCCCGTCCAACCGCGACCGTCCAGGTATGGCCCAGCTTCTGGACACAACGCGTCAACCGCACGTGGCCCTACGGCGGCGAGATCGACATCATCGAGACGGTCAACCTGATGCCTTCGAACCAGTATGCGCTGCACACCGGAAACTCTGCGTGCATCGCGAGCGCGAGCGCCACGCAGAGCGGCGCCATCGTCAACGCGAACTGCTCGACCCCGCCCGGGAGCAGCTCCGCTGGGTGCACGATCGTGAGTGCTGTGGCGCTGCGCGACGAGTGTGCGCTGTGTGGCTGACGTCGATGCGCTGGGGCCGCTCAGTCTGAGCCCAACAAGAACAGCGTCGGCGCGGCGTTCGCCGCGGTCGGCGGAGGCGTGTACGCCACGCTATTCGATACCACGGGCATCTCGTGCGTCCCTCCGCTCCTCCGTCTCACCATCTTTTTATTAAGCCTTGCCCAAACCGTGCAGCATCTGGTTCTGGAGCGTATGATCCTTGCCAGCATTCTGCATGTCCACCGCGGCTAACGTCCTCTCCAGCGCCCCGACGTCCCCTCCTCACTGTCGTCGGCCACGAGCTCCATCGACACGTCCGGCTTGGACACGGCCTCTGCCGCCTACGACGCGTCGTCATGCAACATCACGGATAACTTCGACGCGCAGCAGCTCGTCCTCGACATCACACTCTGCGGTGCCTGGTCAGTGCCCCCCGCCCCGCTCTCCTCTCGTCCTGTACACGCGCCTCGCTGATGTATACCTCACCCGTGCGCACCAACCAGGGCCGGCGACCCCACCATCTACGCGCAGACGTGCGCCTACACCGGCGCGTTGAACACCAGCACCTGCGTACGTCTCTCTCTCTCCTTTGCACAACAGCCCCCCCCCCCCCGCGCGGCCCCGCTGACACGCCGCGCGGCGCCCGGTAGTACTACGAAAACGTGATCAACACAGACGGCGCGGCGTACTCCACCGCATATTTCGAGGTTGCGTACCTGAAAGTCTTCTCCAGCGGCGCCGCGGCCAACGCGTCCTCCAGCACGACGGCCTCGTCTTCCGGTGCGACGTCCCCCGCGAGTTCCGCAGTGACCACCGGCGCTGCGGGCGGAACGGGGAGTGGCTCGGGCGCGCTGGGCGCGTACAAGCGCCAGGACGTGCTTGCGGGTCTCTTCTCCGCGGCGCTCGTCGTGCTCGCGGGCTGGACGGTACTGTAAGCGTTGCCCGCATCTACGAGCGGAAGGCCAATCATAAACGGCTGGACTGCACTGCTCACAGTGCATAGCCGAGCCCACACCCGCCTGCCGATGCTCTGACGTCCGGACACATCGTTAATTCATCTTCTGGGTTTATGTGGAGAGAAATACTGTACAGTTTTGTTTATTAGGCCTATTGTTTCTTGGATGACGTACGGATACGGTCATTACGTGCAAAAGAATGCACACACCATCGTAATAAGAGCTCGTCACCCCACCTGGCGAGTGAGCAGGCCCGAAGGGGCCGGCAAAGGAGATTGACACCATGCCCATTCGGGAATTTTTTGAGTTCTCTTCGGACAATGTGTGTACCCAATTCGCTAGCAGTCAGTAAAATACGACCTGATGCGATAAATTCGCAAGACTCTGCATATGTACTGCATACAGCTAATCCTGAATCACTATGGGAGAGTAACAAAAGGAGTCATCTGGACAACCAATATTCCGACACGGGGAATCGAACCCCGGGCTATCGCGCACCGTTTGAGAGGCGATAATGTTAGCCACTACACCATATCGGATTCATTTGTTACGCAACACGCAACATTCTTGGCCATCAACAGACATTTGTGACTGCGAACAGCGGAGCAAGTGCCGTGGGTTCCAAGCGATCAACAAGACATGCTATTCACCTTCACCACTTTCGTCCGCCATTCCCAACATACCTCATACAGCAACCCAGTATCCGGCGACTGATTTAACGGACAGCAGAAGGCCTGAGAAGGTAGACTACATTTATATTCGGCAGCCCTATATCCGCATGTCCAGCGAAGTAGCGAATGCGAGACACGGCGGAGCCAGCCAGTAACTAGTATCGTATATCGTTTCCTGCATGTAAATAGAGCAATACATAAGTGAGCGAGGCGGGCCAAGAAATTCCAGCGATACATTTTGCCGTCTACTTTCTCCGTAGTAATATATCCTTATACGCTAGCATCCGCAAGAGATTATCACAACACACACACACACACACACAGACACACAGACACACAGACACACAGACACACAGACACACATGCACTTACACACCGAACGTCGGCGCGTCGAGCATCGAGCATCGAGCAACGCAGACCTGCTGCCCGCCCTCCGCACGTGTCCCGCGCGCCCCACGGGGGGGGACGCACGCGGCGCGCGTGCGCAGATGCGGCTGAGAATGCGGGCGGCCGCGCGGCGCGGCTCAGCGCGTCTCGAGGAGCATGCGCGCAAAGTCACGCTCGAGCTGCTGCACGCCCGCGGGGTGCGCGGGCCCCGCCGCGGAGCCCGAGAGTGTTTTGCTCTCCTCGCCGTCCAGCTTCCAAATGCTGTGTCCGGGGAGAGTGAAGGACGAGGCCGCGCCGCTGCCGCCGCCGCCGGGAGCCCTGCGCGCGCCGTACACACGCACGCCGTCGTGTTCCTCGAGCGACAGGTCCGTCGAGGACGTCGACGTCGACGGCGAGAGCGCCGGCGACTGCACGATGTCCTGCAGGAACGAAGGCAGCAGCGGTGTCGTCGGCGGCGCAGGCGCGGCGTTGACGGTGACCCCGAGCGGGCCGAGGCGCTGCTGCAAGGCGTTGCCGTCTGTCTGGTAGATAGGGTGCCGCTGCTGCTGAAAGTCGTGCACGGCCGCGGAGGGGCGGCGAGCGTCCTCCGGCCAGAGCGTCGTCGGAGTGACGGGCGGCGTTACGAAGGAACGCGGGCGAGCGTCCGCCCTCGGGACAGCGCCGCTGGCCGCATCGACCGCATGCCAAGTGTACTGCTGCTGCGCGCCGTGGACTTGGCTAGCAAGGACATTCTCGAGGAGCGCGATGCGCTCGGCCTGGACGGCAGCCGAGATCGAGTCGCCGTTGCCCTCCGCATCTGCAGGCGATGCGTCTGTCAGTACCCGCGACGCCCGCACACAACACAACCGCGGATGCCTACATGGGAAGCACGTCTGGCAGACCTTGCGGCGGCGCCAGTTGAGGTAGTGGCACTTGTGGCAGATCCAGTCGCCGGGCTGCTTTTCGGCCGCGCCCTTGTTGCCGGTGTTGATGATGGGCGGGTACTGGCGCGCATGCACGCGGTGAGCACACGGGGGGCCGCGCGCGAGAGTGCACGGCAGACACACCTGGATCACGGCGGAGCCCAGCGGGCGGATCTGGCCCTGGTCGGGGATGCGCTCGTTGTCCGGCCAGTACATGATGCAGGGGACGAGCGGGTCGCGCGAGATGTTCTGCACGCGGCCGCCGATGCTCAGCGCGCGGCCCGACGGCGTCAGCAGCGGATAGGGGCTGCTGGCGGGCTTCGCGCCCCCCGGCGGCGCGTGCTGCACCGGGGGCAGACGCGCGTGCTGCGACATTGGGGACGGGTCCGTGGCAGAGCGCAGCGGCATCGGCGGGGGCGCGGGACGCAGCGCGCCGAACGGGTGGAAGCCGCTGACGGGTGTCGCGAAGCGGGGGGAGGCGTTGATGGGCGACGAGGCGTTGGGGGGGAGGCCCTGGGGCATGCTGCCAACATAGATATTTTCGAGGCGTGACCGCCCGCAGCCCACGCAGATGATGTTTCGTCTGTAAGGGGGCGGTGAGCGGTGTGCAAATTTGAGGCAGCCCACGGTTGGAGGCTTACCCAAAATTGTGCGCTGCGCACGTCTTTACGGGGCACCTGCGAGCACAGGATCAGTACTTGCGAGGGGAGGAAAGCAGCGTGAAACCGACCGCCAGTCGCCAGTGCGGAAGTCTGTCCTCGGATTAGGGGGGTTGCTGGAGATGACATACGGTCCGCCGACAGAAGCAGAAAGGAGTGTTGCGTCCGATTCGCGCATGGGATAGAGGAGGAGCGAGTTGTCGCTCAGCGTGACGATGGGCGAAGGGAGCGCAGGCGGGCTTTTGGGCGACTCGCAAGCCGATAATACAGGGATAGGAAGCTGCGGGGCGGGGCGGGGGCGTCAGCGATGCGGCGGGGCAAAAAAGGCAGGCACCAACAAACCGACCTCGCGATCAGGAAAAATCTGATGGTGGGGACGCAGGGCCTCGAGATCACGGTGCAACGCCGGGGCGGCGGCGTACTGATGGTGTTTCGCGGCAGAGGACAAGAACGCGCAGGTCTACAGTTGATACAGCGCGGTCAGCGGAAGAGCACAGACAAGTCGAGGGAAAAGAGAGAAAGAGGTCTGCGCACAGGCCGACGACCCCTAACCGGCTGAACGGGCTTTGTCGGCGCTCAGCGTTCAGGAGCATCGCAGCCGGGCGCACTCACCGGCGGGAGCGCGTCCGTGTCACGCTTCCACCCCTGCGCCTGAATGTTTTGCACCCCCAATATGGACCTGGTGTCACCATTTTGGGTATGTCAAACTGCGAAAAGAAGGGACACTCGGAATATATTTGATTCTGACAATCATCACCCGAACGAACCAGAGCAAGCCTAACCCAACACGAACATGAGTGCAGGGCGGCGGGCGGCGGGCAACGCGCCGCCTCGTCCCGCCCGGTATTGCGCCGAACAGAAATCCTTAAACCTGTATGTTTTCGAGCATTTATGGCCCAAAATCACATTTTCCTTTTCCTAAAATGGGGATCCCGGAGCAGCAAGCCGAATCCAACCGACCCAGTGAGCGACGAGCGCACTTGCACTGGTGGTGATTCCTCGTCACGAAGAAACCACCGAAAAACCCCCAAATAACAGTGGTCTTGGGTTTGCCGCGCAGCTAGTGTCGTTGGAAGAATCCTGCCACTCTGCCATTTCTGTCTACCAAGCAATTGCCATGGCAGATGGCAGAACGGATTTCGGAGGTGGCGGATGTGCTTCCCAGTATGGTAAGTACGCGCTATAGCCCCCATTCTGCTTGGACCCTAGTCTGGGGTTAAACCAGCCATTTTTGGACACATCATCGCTGCAAAACCACGAAGATCAAGGTTTGCGGCTAAATAGCATCGCTATATTTATGATTGAGTGAAAACCCCGCCCGAAATCTGCCAGATTCGGCCAGAGGTGGCCATTGCCGTTCTGCCGGCAGTTGGCAGAAGTCGGCCACCAGTATTTCTGCCCACAACACTAGCGCCGCGGAGGTAGTGTTGTTGGCAGAAGTCTGCCACTCTGCCAGGTATTTCTGTCCACCAGGCAATACGGCAGAACAGATTTCGGTGGGCGGCAGTGGCAGAAGTACTTGCAAATACGGTAAGTACACGGTACAGCCCCTATTCTAGGGTCCACAGGGGTGTCTCTTAGGACCCTAGTCTGGGGTTATCTCAGCCATTTTTGGAAACATTATTGCTGCAAAGCCGCGAAGATCAAGGTCTGTGGCTAAATAGCATCGCGGAGTGAAAACCCCGCCTGAAATCTGCCATATGCTGCCAGGGGTGGCCATGGCCGTTCTGCCGGCAGTTGGCAAAAGTCGGCCTCCGGGATTTCTGCCCACAACACTACGCGGAGGACTCACGGTGTCGTGCGACCCGAAGACGGCCAGGACATCACCCGCCGCGATCTCGTTGGGGTTCCCGCCGTCACACGGCGCCAGCCAAATCGATATCGGCCGGGGGCTAGCGGGCTGCGGGGCGTCACCGTGACGGCGCGATCAGCGACCGTCACCGAGGAAAAATGATGTGCCTACGTGTTGGCCGGCCCAACCGTTGAGCATGGCCGCAAGATCGGGCCCTGGTGCTGATGGTGTGGGGAAGGCGGAAACCTGGAGAGAGGCGGTGCGCGTCAGGTTTGTGCATCATCGCGCAGCATACGGACGGCGTACGCGGACGACTCTGGAACGGGCGGCAAGGAACGCAGGGAGCAGCGGCCATGCGTCTTCCTGTGCGCCGCTCGACGGCGAGGCGCGGGAATGTTGGGGTGATTCGGGCAAGGCAGTGGGAAGGGCGTCGCAGAGCTCCCGCCCAGAGACGTAACTGGCAGACGGGGTGAAGGTATCTATCAAACAGCTCATGGTCGGCAAGTATCACGATGAAGGAGAGTGATGTGGTGGTTGGTCCGAGTAGGGAGGGGACAGATCAGCTGGCGAGGGGGGCATACCGGCCAGCTGCAGCTCGTCAAATAGAGAGTAGGAGACCATAATGACTTTGTTCCCGGGGCGAGCTGCAAACAAAAGTTGAATGATGGGGGATCGTCTCTCTGGGCGTAGCAACGCGTGCAAGACCCGTCTCGCGCGCCGCAGACGCTGCACTTCATTAACGAGATCGGGATCAGCTATCGCCGCCGGCTCGACCATGTACAGTAACATCTACCCGTGCTTGTGTTCCTGCGTATGATCCATCGAGGGTGCTAACAGGCGGCGCTTAAGTTCTCTCGCCAAATTCTGAGCACTGCATGTCGAGGGGAAATTCAATGGGGCAGAACATGCCCTCTATGTGGCGGAACGTGAGGCAGGCCTGGATGTTTCTGATGGCTCCCATATCACCCCGGATACATATGTATAAACGTCAACGAAAGCTCGCACTCCTTCAGCTAATCGAATTCAAGAAGATCAGATGCCGACGTGCAATATAAGCAGAGCCAGGGTGGCAACGTGTTGATGGACGCATTCGCAGCTTCCAATCCTCGAGCAGCGCGGCTGCTAAGTAGGGACGCCGCTGCTCGGAATTAGCGCACCATCTGCTTACCTGGCGTCGAAGGTGGGGCGGGGCGGGGCGGGGGGGCAATAGGTAGTCATGGCCACTGGGGCCTGTCGGAACAGTGGGAGCGAGAAGTATGTGGCTGGCTGAGGTGCTATGTACTTCAGCTCCGAGTACCACTTTGGGACCCGCTCAGGCTTCTGGAGTTCTGCAGTCCCGTCGAGGACTCTAGGCGGCATCATTACTCCGGATTTAGCGGCAGTGTTCATTTCTAGCTTTTCGGATCGCTCGCATGCGAGTAGATCCAGCTCGCACACACATCGCAACCCATACTCATATCCGCAACTCGTGCCCAGGCCCAGGCTCCTTCCCGCCGCTGTGGGAGTTATAGGGGCTCAATCCGACAAATTTGACGCAAGCTAAGTCCTGCAAACCCATCCGCCACACTTGCGCCACAATCCGGCTACATCCGAGGCAAGATCAAGCTCCGAATCCCAACCTTAAACCCCCATAACTCCCTACAGCGGCTGGCACAAAACATCTACAAACAGCGGAGGAGCGGCGCATGTCACCTAGATTAGGAAGGCAGGATACTGGCCCATCATTACATAATCGTTATGGTCCCGTGTATTACAGTAGCGTTTATGTGTCCCAGTGTCGAGTCTCGTCGTCCTCCGTGCAACTTTGTGACCATGGCCTTCACCCCTCTGATAAAAAATTTATACCTGACTTTGACACAGATGTGCGCATCCCTGCTGAGGTTAATTTTCGTCCTTCTGACTGGTGAAGGCCTCATGCAACATCCCTTCGTTGAATAACCCATCCTCAGCCTGGCTGGCACTTCAAGTTCAGCACTCTCCATGCACCTGCGACTCAGGTTCTCGACTTTTGCACTGATAATGTGGCTTCCAAGATGCAAAGTGTTGCGAACAATGGGCTTTCTGCGCGTCGTTGTTACATGCACTCATGGGGGTTGCAATGATCTCAATTGACGAAATTGAAATGTTTGGATGTCAATTATCATTTCCGGGAATCAATCCTGCCTCGTATGGGAGGTGCGGCGCCGGTCCTCCGCTATTTGTAAATGTTTTGTGCCAGCCGCTGTAGGGAGTTATAGGGGATTGAGGTTCAAATGGAATGTCACATGATATGCACGTGATGGGATGCCACATGATCTGTGGCAAGACTTCTATTCTCGGTTACACAAGATAAAACATTGAGTACGCTATTCGGATGAAGTCCCCTATAACTCCCACAGCGGCGGGAAGGAGCCTGGCCCAGGCCCGACATGAGTCCCACAGCCGCTCTCAGGCGTCGGAGGTCTCTCGAAGCCGTCACCTTTGTCCGCTCTTACTAAGGAGCGCCATACGCCGCCGCCGTGACACATCTGCGTCTTCGAGACGGTCGTACAGGTCTGCTGGCAGCAAATGGCGCGCTGACATCCGTTCGAAGTGTGGCTGAGGCCTAAATCCGTTGTGAACATATCGAAGCGACGTCATTCCCGAGATGGGTCCGTCAAGAAATCCAGTATTTGTAGCTGCTCGAGGGCGTCGCTCTATGCCGGACAATACATGCATGTATGTACCATGGGCTGTCCAGTCGCATGGAGGAGTGAAGCGCAAGCGATCGGTCGTGCGGGGTTCAATATCGGCAGGCGTACAGGCTGTTCGTTGCAAGCCCCATGCCACCAGACTGCAGCCATAGAAATATGCACGCGCATCGCTGGATTCGCACGACGCGCTGTGCGGATCTTCGCCACATTTTATGTACTTACCACTTATGCCGCAACTTCTGCCTCGAGGCGCACAATGCGGACGTGCCACGCGCTAAGGGTACACCAAGACGTGATACATTCGTTCCAATCGCAGCAAGCGCATCTACATGTATGTATACCGTATATCTCCGCACACGCCCCCCTTCATGAGCTCTCGAGCACGCGCTGGAAAGCCGCCGGCTTCTTGAGCCCCGCCTCGATGTAGTTCAGCCGCCGCTTCTTCACGGCCTGTACAGCAAGAGCGACATCAGCGTCCGTTACTCAGGCGATGAGCGAAGCATTGCACGCGCGGCGTACCTGGTTCAGCTTGTCGAGCATCTCGACCGTCGTGGGCCAGTCCACGCACGCGTCCGTGATGGACACGCCGTGCTTGAGCGCACCCGGGCCCTCGGGCGGCACGTCCTGTCGCCCCGCGTTGATGTGTGACTCGACCATGACCCCCGTGATCGTCTTCTCTCCCGCCGCGAGCTGCTCGCAGATGTCGTCAATCACCTTTGCCTGGTTCTCGTGGTTCTTCTGCGAGTTGCCGTCTACGGACGCGCGGGGTCAGCGGCGCTCGAGGGCAGGATGGCAGATTCACAGAATCAAGGGACAGGACACGAGGGGGCGGCGGCGTGCACACTTACGGCTGCAGTCCACCATAATGGACGGGTGGTGGCCCGGGCGTGCCTTCTCGATGCTCGACGCCGCGGCCTTGACGTGCTCCGAGGCGTAGTTCGGGCCCTTGGTGCCGCCACGGAGGATGACGTGCACATCCTAGACGCAACGTCGGTTAGTACGTACCCACGAAGGGACAATGTCGTCGCACGCACCTGGTTGCCACGCGTCTTGACGATGGCCGCGAGCCCCTGCTCCGTGACACCCATGAACGCGTGCGGGTTCGAGCTCGCGCGCATCGCGTCCACGGCGACCGACACGCTGCCGTCGGTGCCGTTTTTGAACCCGATGGGGAACGACACGCCGGACGCCAGCTCGCGGTGCAGCTGCGACTCGGTCGTGCGCGCGCCGATCGCGCCCCACGAGGTGAGGTCCGAAATGTACTGCGGCGAGATCGTGTCGAGCAGCTCCGACCCGACGGGCACGCCCATGTGTGTGAGGTCGCACAGCAGCTGGCGCGCAATGCGCAGACCCTTGTTGATCTGGAACGAGCCGTCGATGTCCGGGTCGTTGATCAGGCCCTTCCAGCCCACTGTCGTGCGTGGTTTCTGGGCAGACAAACGATTAGAACCGAGCGTTAGATGCAGGTGACAGAATATAAGTTAGTTACTTCACTGTCGCGGGTGTCAGCGGCACGTATGTGTATAATAGTGCGTGCTGCTCACAAGTAAGCCCGCATGATGATGTGCAGGTTCGTCCATTCGGGCATTTTTGACTTGAGCAGCTCGGCGTACTCTAGCGCCTGCGACGGCGAGTGGATCGAGCACGGGCCGACGATGACGAGGACGCGGTCGTCCTGGCCCGCGAGGATCCTGGCTGCGTTGAAGCGGGCGGCAGCAATCGTCTTCTGCGACTGGGGAGAGGACTGGATTTCATGGCGCAGGAGAGATGGCTGCACGAGCGGGTCGTACTAGCGACAGCATGACCATGAGCAAGAATACGAGGAGGCCATTGCATGGGACGTACGCCTATGACTCGGCGATCCTGGATGTACCTCTGGATCTTGTCGGTGTCGTCTGGGACGGGGGTCACGTTTCCTGCACCCGATCTGAACATGGCTGGCGGTCTAGTCGTTGGGCGAGGTGAGTGTCGGGGGTGGAACTGGCAGGCTGGAGTGTCGCTGCGCAGATTTTAAGTGGAATGCTTGACGCCTGGATGGAGGAAAGGTGGAAGCCATACCGATCGCCGTGTCCGAGTCATCGGTTGGGCGTTCCAGCCCCGGACACTGATCGGAGCGCTTCTCTGCCTCTTCAGCCACCGTCACCTCGACTGCCCTCGCGCACGTTCTCCACCCGTTACCGCCAAGGAACCACAGCATGCAGACCGTCCGCGTCTCGCTCGCCCCCTCGCCGGGCTTCTGCATCAAAACAGCAGCGCTCAAACCCGCGCTCTGCCACCTCACTCCTCCCCCGCCGTCCCCCGGGAAGCTCGACGTGCCCACGGCCGCCCTGGCGACGCTCGCCGTCCCGCAGGGCCTCAAGATCTTTGTCAACATCGCATGGGACCGCAATGTACCGCCGCCGCCGCACGGCTCCGAGGAGGTCATACAGAAGGCCATGCTCGGCGACGACGACGCGGACGCGGACAACGACGGCGGCTGGTTCGTCCCTGTCGTGGTCTCCGAGCCGCGCGAGGACCGCGACAAGGGTGCGTCGTGCCCGCCACCCGCGGCGGCCGCTCACCCCTTCCTCTGCAGACTCCGTCTGACGCGTTCCGTCTCTTGCCAGCCGGGAAGCCGTCTGCCGTGTTCGACTGCGTCTACCACTCCTCGCTGAAGGCCCGTGCCCTCAGGGATGCAGAGTTCAAGACGTTCCTCATCGGTGCGTCGCTTCTCTTCCTCTCTTACTCCCTGTTACCGCGGGTAGTAGCGCCGCTGTGGGGTAGCTATATCCGGCAGCAATCGCTGTTGCACCCCGGTCCCGTCGCCTCTGCGGCCCTATCATCTCATGTGCGACCCCGCTAGAACTCGCCTTCCAGCGCATCGAAGCCCAGCACGGCCTGCTCCTCTCGCGTCAGATCGGGACCCCCAACATCAAATTCAAGGGTGAGCTCAAGCCACGCACCGTGCTGATACCCGCCGCGCTGTTCCCGGGCGGTGTGCCCCCAGAGCCACGCGCAAAAAATAGCATCGCGGGCAAGAAGCTCGTCGAAGACGTCAGCCCAGCCACGAAGCAGCCCACGGACGCGCCGCAGGGCATCCTCAAGAAGCCTGCACCAGCGGCTCCCTCCGCGCCAGACCTTGCTACTCCACTCCCGAGCCCTGAAATCTCCTGGTCGAAGAGCGAGCACGGCCTGACGCTCTATCTCAAGGTGCCCAATCTGGTGCGTGTCCACGCTAACCCCCTCGGTCGATCCGCTGACGCCAACGACGCTGTCCGTCACGACCCCCCCCCCTCTCCTCCCCGGCGACCCTGTGCGCTGTGCACCCCCAGACGCACACACACATCCCGTCCGCGACGCTCGACCTCGAGCCCCGGCGGCTCATCCTGCACGTCCCGCCTGTCTACGCCCTCGACCTCGACCTCGACACGCCCGATGCGCAGATCAGGGACAGTCCGTGGCTCTCCAAGCCGGCCGCGGACCAGGTGCTGACGCTGAAGCGGCAGCGGGACTTCGACGTCGACCACGCACGGGCAGAGTGGCGCGTTGGAGAAGGTCGTCTGGTCGTCCATGTGTAGTTTGCAGGACTGCGTCACGCTGTAACAGTATCTGTCAGAGGCCGCCGCGGTCGTGTCTCAAGTAATGCAAGTATTTTACAGTGTGCATGAGAGAAGGGGTCTGCGGTGTCCGCAAGGAAGGTCTGATTTGATGCATTACTGTGGGTTACGGAGTTTTGCAAAGTCGATCAATTATGCAACACACCGCTGGGACAGTTTTGCAGTCGTAGTCCAAAGATGGTCGAAAGCCTTGATGAACTGTGCTAGCTATAGAATAAAACAATGAACTGGCCGCACCGATCTGACGAAACATGGCGCGCGAGATAATACTAGAAAGGAATATCGCCCACGCAGATGGACGAACGAGACAAACCGGTCACGGATCTTACGGTCACAATATCGAGTCGATCAATTGAAGGATGAACGAAGACAGTGAACGGCAACGGTGACGTCAAACACACAACAGCTACAACGAACGAAAAGCGACGAAGGGTCTATGGCGACTACGAGCGATGACGGACGACGGCGAACGAAACGACAAAAAGGGACGATGTACGAAGACAAGCGACAACGATGGAAGAATAGCATACCGAGTTATGAACGCTTGCGTAGTAGTTGGATATATGCGATGTAAGGAGCAAGGAGAGGGTTCGAGTGCAAGGGGGGAAATGGATTCCTCGGCGTACACGCAGATTTATATAAGTACACGGGAGCCTTGACAGCGATGATATCATGCATGTCCTGGACGCACCTAAAGACGAAGAAACTCGAAACATGTCAACCGATCAACAACTGTCCAAACATAGCAAACCACCTTCCGGATCGGGATGGAAGCCCAAATTTGGCGGGCACAGACAAGCTAGACTCGAGACGTCAAGTTCAAATCCACGATCGCCACTGGCTCAGTCCCAGAGGATGATGTCCCCGGCGCGCCAATTTTACGTCCGCGTCCCGCCACCCTCGAGAGCGTGACGCCGCCGGCATCCCCATCACAAGTTACTGCGACCGCTTCATCTCCCCCTCCGGACCGTCTTCGCAAGCCATAGAGACAAAAGCAACAGGGATCAGTACGTACTTTTCATGCTCGATCCTTGGAGACACGAGAAAGAAAACCGAATCAAACTGAGAGAGAAAAACGAAACACGCTCTTCAGCGTGCTCTTCACCACAACGTGATCTCGTCTTCCACTTCAAAGACTGTACTTCAGTGACGCTTGTGCGACCTTGTAGACATACACAGCACTCTACCTGTGAGGCCGATTGAGGAGAAATGTATTCGTTGTGGAATGAGAGCCTCCAGATAGATTTAGAGAGCAGCCACCGCGTGTGGCGGGGTGTAAATCTCATCACAGAATTTGTAACGCCAGATGTTGTGTCCCATTCGAACTGAAAGTATGTATACATAACATGAAGATTTTACAATGGAAAAGGGTGGGATAACATACAAAGCCCTAGTGAACGAAGATGTGAGAACCACACCTTTTACCGAATACACAATGCGTCCCTAAGCACATCACGATCAATTTCGAAGAGACGAGATTAAGGGATAATGAGAGGTGTTTTTTAGTACACCATATCCTCCTCGATACAAATACTGAGAATCGGAGTTGACAGCCTATCCAAGAGCATACCAAAAGTCCCATTTACCAAGGACTGGCCTTATCGGTTTTGTGTGGAGGGAGCTATGTCGAAATTATAAACACTGGTCCTGTCACAATGTGTGGTCCAGCCACAGAAGTGTGAACACAAATCAGTCGTTAGTCAGCAGAGAGTCCATGGATTCCGACGCGCTGTGCGGAAGGTCCGATAATAACCATAAGATATAGCGTGGGACTACAATACAGTGCCGCTCTGTCTACAATGCTTGATAGCACGCAAAGTCCGGATGTTGTGTCGACAAAAATTACAGCGATGTATAGTGCACGTATCGCAGCATGGACCAGATGGCATCGCCTACAATCAGCCACCGGCCTTCCCCAGCAGGGCGTACCCACTTCCCTGCGGCCCATACAGCTTGCGGAGAGTCAGATACTCGGCGCCTTCACATACAGGAGAACAGACTCACCTTGCCGTAGCAGCGATGGCAGTAAGGGTGGCCGTCCCTCTCCGTCAAGCGCGTCGAATCCAGCGAGGTCTTGCACTCGGTGCAGCGCAGGCACCCCTTGTGGTACGTCTTCCCGATCGCCTTGACCTGTTCCGCGAAGTACACCGTCTTGCCGCACTTCGGGCAGACCGGCGTGCCCCCGCCCCACTGTTTGCCTGTGCTCGGGCTGGCGCCGTTGCCGGACAGAGCCATGCCGTAGCGCGTGCCCGTGGATGTCGGGAAAAGCGGCATCGTGAGGCGTGCATTGGCGTCGGCGCCAGATTTCTCGGCGGCGTCCGCTACGTCAGCGTCGGAGTCGGACGGCGGCGGCTTCGCGGGGCTGGAGATGCTGCCGAAGCGGTTGCGGACTGGACTGAGGGGCACGGTCCGCGGCAGCCCGCCCGCACTGCGGCCGGTGTGCGTGGGCGTCGAGCCGACGCCGGTCGTCATACGGATGGGCTGTTCGTCCACCTCGTCCGTCTCGTCCTGCTCGTCGACTGCTGTCTGGAAGGAGCGCGTGGGTTCTGCACCCGCAGAGCGAGTGGGGCTAAGTGCACGAGTAGGCCTGAGCATGGGCGGTGCAGGCGATGGTGAAGTAAACGGTGTCCTGTCAATGGAGCCGCCGCCGGTGGCATGGCGCCGCATCGGGAGGGGCGGCGCCGTGGCCTGCCGGACTGGCGGTGAGGCGGTGCGCGTGGGGAGAAAAGTGGTCGCACGGAGAGGAGATGCGGGCGGAGATGTGGGCGATAGGAGGACGTCATCGCGGTTGGGCAGGTTCGCGAGGCGCAGGTCGCGCGTTGCGAAGAGCTTGACGTGACAGTTCTTGCTGCGGGCAGCGTGTGAGAGCAATATCAGCCAGTCCAGTGCACAGATGCATACCAATAAGGCTAGGGTGCACGATAAGAACGGGTCCTTGGATAAATGTCGGCCTCAAGGCTCACCTCTTGATCGTGTTCGAGGAGACTGTAGGAGTCAAGTCGCTTGCCGCAGGATGTGCAGGCAAGGCAGGGCTAAGAGTACACGTGAGCCGCCTGCGAATGGCGTGCAGACCGTCTCATACCTTGTGGTACAACTAGTGGTGTTTGGAAAGCGATGAGCATGCATACGGGCGAGACCGAAAGGCAAGTACTACCTTACGCCCCGGGCCCATAATCTGGGGAAATTATTGAGCAATATTCAGAAAGAAACCGTGCGCGCACTAACCTGCTCTGCCGCGTATACAGCCTTGTTGCATCGGGGGCATATGGGTGTTCCGCCGAAGGGATGCATGGTGAGTTGAGAGCAGTGGACAAGCGGCGGCGGAGCACATGAGGTAATGGGCCGGTCCGCTGCGGGGGGAAGCCGGCCGGAGATGACCGGATTCTCCCACGCACGATGCGGAGATCGAAAATTGATGAAGACCGCATTTTTTGAGAGTAAGCAGGCGTCCGTTTGCTCTCTCTCTTCCTCCTCCTCGACTAGACACACACTCTCCCTCTTCCACCTCACCCTCCACGACTCCATCATGTCCGACGACGAGCAGCACAACCACAACTTCGAGCAGGTGCGCTTTTTTCTCTGCTCGGCGCGCCACTCGCTGATCGTCGACCCCCAACCCAGGCCAGCGCTGGGGCCTCCACGACTTTCCCCATGCAATGCTCGGCCCTGCGGAAGAACGGGCACGTCGTCATGAAAGGTGTGTATGTGTGATGTGAAGGGGGGCAGGAGGCTGGAACAATTTCTAAGAGCTGTGCTCTAGGTCGCCCGTGCAAGATTGTTGAGATGTCCACCTCGAAGACCGGCAAGCACGGTCACGCCAAGGTCCACTTGGTTGGCATCGATGTAAGTCTGTCTTCCTGCATGATTGATGGCAACATGCTCACAATTTGTCCAGATCTTCACCGGCAAAAAACTTGTAAGCCCGTTGAATGAATTCAAGGTTCCTTACTGAAGAATGGGTGTCCTCGCATTTACAGGAGGATATCTCTCCCTCCACCCACAACATGGATGTCCCCAACGTATTCCGTAACGAATACCAGCTCGTAAGTCCCTTGAATGGAATGGCACGCCACGCAAGGTTTTGACGCGCTATTTCTCGATTAGGTCAACATCGATGATGGCTTCCTCAACCTGATGTCCGCCGACGGCGCCTCCAAGGACGATGTCCGTGTTCCGGAGGGTGAGCTCGGTGACCAGATTGCCGCTGCCTTCGACGAGGGCAAGGACTTGCTCGTCACGATTGTCAGTGCTATGGGTGAGGAGCAGGCCATCTCCTGGAAGGAAGCTCCCAGGGGCGCTTAGTTATTTGTATGTGATTCCTCAGGTTTATTCTGGCGTCAGCTCATTAGCCGTAACTCCAGGTCGTGTTTATACATCTTGGCTGGTATATCTGTTGTTCATCCACACGTTATTGTCTTTTACGCCTGCAGCATCCTTTCCCGTAGCAGTATCATCAGAACTTGTGCATGTACCAATGTCGTTCATGCCTGTTCATGTACCTCATCGTCTGTATTGAGTCGTTTAGACAATGCAGTCGTGGATCGCATCTTCGCTCCGCGTGACATCTTACAAGGTAAATATCACCAACTCAATCAATCTTTCCAGAAGCAATCATTGGAATGTACACGAAGCAAAGACCCTTCAAAGACCATGAGTACGCCACCATTCTTCACATTGTGTTGACAACATAGATACAACCGCTGGCGAGGGCCGTCGCAACGATCACCGTTATTACCGTCGCGGGTAAACTGAGGTGCTGACCAAAGGGACCATCCCAGTCCGCAGGGAGAGTGAGCGTGATCTCCGAGGTTGGGACGGTAATGTTCACAGAAGCGAGGCATGCGGCGGCATAGGCTGCATAGTAGAGGACTGATCAGCTCTCCGCGGGAGGGATGTAGCGAGGCCACACGCGCACCAGTGAGGGCCGTCGCAGAGCCCGCGCGGGGATCGGGCATGGGGATGTTCTTCGCGATGAGGGTGTTGAACAAACACTGCTCGCAAGTGGTGATCGCCGCGACCGTCGCCGGGTCACAAAGGCACGCGTCGGTGGTGCACGCCTACAGGGGCCGGAATCCCTTGAGTGCGAGCACGGGACGAAAGGGAAGACCACTCACGGCGACCGTAGTGTTTGCGGTGGGGCACTGCGGTGTGCACTGGGGAGCAGTCTCGCGTGAGCGGCATATCGACGGCGGGCACAGCAAGACTCACGGCGCCCGTCAGGGTCTCGTCGTTAATGTCGAGGAACTGCTGCGCGGTGACGTTGCCGATAGTACCGCCGACATTTATCTCCAAAGCAAAGGCTGGGTAAGATCAGCAGGTGGTCAGTACCAGCAGGGGTCGGGCGCGGGGGAGGGGAGACTACCTCGGCTCGCGAGCAAGGTGACCAGCAGGAAGGTGAAGCTCAGGAACGAATGCATGGTGGACGAAGAACACGGCAGCCACAAAGAATTGTCAGATGCTAGAACCTGAGCGAGCCCTACCAGAGAGGCTGAGTGGAATGAAAAGAAAGACGGTGGTGGGTGGTGAAGCTTGAAGCGCAGCGAGGGCCGCCCCGACGACGCTTTTGTCTGTCTTCCCAGGGCCACACTGCCATAGAGACAATCACCATCCGTTCAATCTGCCCAAGCACTCGAGATTGCAACACAGCGTGTCATACCTATAAAAATAGCGTCGACGACGTCTCACCAGACCTGCTTTACTGTAGCTGTAAACTCCTGTATACACGACTACGATAACACCTGTAGCTTGTACACTCAACACGGACAGCATGATCGAGAGGATAATATAACAAATGCAATGTCCGATGGTACAGCCACTGAAAGAGTCTGCTACTACTAGCTTACCCTATGCTCATTGCGTCCCCTGACAGGGGCCAGGCTCACCGTTGCCTGCATGCTCCCAATCCGGTTGCGCTTCACCACGAGTGACTCGTTATACCGCTTTGGCTCGTAGTCCCACGTCGCATACATGCGTGCGTCGGGGATGGGCCTTGGTAATGCATCAACATCCTTGCCATTAGGGGCTCCATCCTTGCCTTTCCCGGTGGGCGCGGCTGGTGTCGGCGTCGCGTTAGTGTTCCATGGCGCACCGACGCCAGGGCCATACGTGAGTCTCTGCGCCCCACGGGAAAGAACTGGTGGGTGTGTGAGACGCGTTGTGCGCGTGTATACCGATCCCTGGATGGCCGTCAGCTGCAAGTTCAGAACAGAAGGCAAGTTCTTACCGGCAGCACATGCCGCGCTAGGGTCGGCAGACGCGACGCCTGTTGACTTATCAAAGGTGTGACACGCTCTGGGAACACTACCGGTCGTGGTGGGGCATTGGGCAAGTTCGACCTGCGATCCTTTTCAATTTCCAGCTCTTTGTCCGTTGGGGTAAGAGGTCCCTTCGCGACGGGGACCGGATATGATGGTCCTGGCGCGGCCACGCGGGGCGGATTGGGGACAGTATTGGAGAATAATGTGGGCGCAGGTTCCCAGCGGGGTTGTGCCTCGGCCTGGGTGAGAAGTGCCAAAGCCACTCGGTACTTGGATGGATTTACCGATGTGACATTTGAGGGAGGGGGGTGCGTTAACACATGATGATATGCGCCAAGGAGCGCAGGTTGCATCTGTGGTAATGGTTGGCGCGCTTGTGATGACGGCGGGCCTGACCTGGGAGGGAGCGGTGGAAGATGTGACATCAGCGCTCCTGCAAGAGACGATTGCAAGTATGGTATTGGCGTGAGGAAATCAGCAGACGACGCCGATGAGGCCATGGGAGGCGGGGGAGGTGTAGCCACTCGTTCCATCTTGACGGGGATGGGCGCGATGGCCTCAGTGGGCGAGCGCGGGAACGGCGACTGCGGAGGTGAATTGGTGGGAAATGGAGGGAGGTGGTCGGGAACATATGATGGAGGCCGCCAGCTCGAGGTCCGTGGTCGTTTTCGAGGCGGCGTGGACGGATTGGATATGGGGGATAATGGAAGGGGTGGCTGTGTCTCAACTTCGCCCTTGCGTGGCTCGTCCTCCACAGTCACTTCGTCCACGGTCATGCGTACAGCATTGTCAACTTCCATCATTTCAGCATCGCTACCCTCTGTTTCCTCCTCTTCCACCTCCTCTTCCTTATACTCGTCATAGAATGCTTCCAAAGGCATGGGTGCATACACAAGTGGAATCGCGTCGTCTCGGTCCTCTCTCAGCCCATCTAGCAGAAGAGCTAGGAGCAAAAAATTGAAAATGAGCGGCGCACAGAGCACAGGTCGACTAACCATTGAATTCGGCTAGGTCTTCTGTCCTTCGCGCAGTGTGGACAGCATATCGCGAGAGCTCCCTCGCCTCGCTCGCACAGTACTCTTTCAGGTCTTCAACACCCACACCTAGCTCATCAAGAGCAGAAGCCGTGTCCTTGATCGATACATTGAGTCGGCCGGCGTGTTCAGCATACTTGGCGCATGTCGACGTCAGGAGCGTCATATAACGCGAGAGAAGATCGGTCAAGACTAGCGTCGCCTGGGACGACGACCGGGAGAAATTGTGCGCATGTAGGGTTTTGTATGTTGCAGACTCGAGCAGTTTCTTCGCGCCTGTGTCCATGAGCAGAACGGTGTGCCGTGCGGTCTCCGGTCGACGACGACGTTGAGATCGAGGATAAAGCGCCGATTGAAATGTTTGATTTCCGCGAACAGTGATCGCATTCCCGGATCCTTTATACTTACGCCTCCGGCTTAACCATTACAAGTAACGTAAAGTACACCAGAACAACTCAACGCTTTCTGCGCGCTGCAGTTGACTGCAACTTGCATTTATTCTTATCCATGCTGCAGTAGCTGCTCATCGCGCGCAGCATGTGCGGTCGTTTCTCTCTCGGCCTTCCGGTAAGCCAATATTACGCTCTGCGTAGCGAAGCACCAAGCTTCTCATTGTATGCAGCATGGTGAGATACAGGCCCTGCATGGCTATAACGTCCAAGTCGCGGAATGGATAGAGCAAGACCAATTTGTGCCAAGGCGCGGAGGTAGTTTCTCCTTCACAAATAGCATGCCAATAATCTATCATTCAGGCATAACATTGCACCGCGTTCGCAAGCCCCCGTCTTGCATAACAGAGAGACCGGGGAAGGCAATGAAATCGAACCAGCCGCTGACGTGCTCATGCACACTATGAAATGGGGTCTAGTGCCTCACTGGAGCAAGCACGAGGACAAGACTTTGAGTACCACAAATGCCCGGTCTGAGAATCTCGTCGAGGGCGGAGGTATGTGGGCCAGTATCAAGGGAAAGCGCCGCTGTGCTGTGTTATGCCAAGGGTATGTTGCAAGCCACTAGCTTCGGCGCGCCTCACACGGTTTCAGCTACTATGAGTGGTTGCGCAAGGGCAAGGAGCGTTTCCCCCATTTCACAAAACATAAGGACGGTCGGTTGATGCTACTGGCTGGTTTATACGACCGCACAGTACTGGAAGGTAGTCCTAGCTCCTCTGAGATGGCCGCGTCAGTTTGAACATCGCCCGTAGGAGAGAGTCAACCGCTTTGGACGTTCACGATCGTGACTACTGCCGCTAATAAGGAGTTTGAGTGGCTACATGACAGGCAACCGGTCATCCTGTCTAGCACAGAGGCGTTGAAGACTTGGCTTGACACATCTACGCAGAAGTGGGCTCCGGGGCTGTCCGAACTGGTCGAGCCATACAGCGATTCCTCATCCCCTCTTGTTTGGCGAGTATTCAAGTACGCCCAAGTGGCGGCTACTTGCTGATGCTTGCTCAGCTACCAAGTACCCAAGGAAGTCGGCAAAGTGGGAACGGAATCGCCGACATTCATCCAGCCTATTTCGGAGAGGAAGGACGGTATCCAGGCCATGTTTTCCAAGCAGCAAGCAGCGGCAACATCTTTGCCAAAGAAAAGGAAGCGGAGCGCATCTCCGTCGCAGTGCGACATCAAGCGAGATGTGAAAGAGGAAAGCTTAGCTGCGACTCCCCAAAACCCTTCTGTCGAGAAGCTGAACGCATGGGAAGACGATTCGGATATTGAATATATAGACGGCCCTTATACACCCAAACCCGAGGTATGACATCGCTTATAAGTGGCATCAGTTTGCCGTGATACCCAGGTGTTCAGACTGCGAGGAAGGCCAGAAGGGAACAAATAAGAGAGGCCCCTACATCGAGTCAAGAATCGCCGGCAAAGGTGAGATTACCGCACTTATTTGCTGCACTCGGGTGCCGTCTGACCAACCGCACATCACAGCGTTCGCGACAGGCAAAAGGACAATCCAAAGTGCGTCTCCATCGTTCTTACAAGTGTGTCGGCTTGAATTAGCGCACAGGTGACTTCAGTTCGGCAGCAAGTGAAAGCAGAAGGGTCAGCAAAGATCACATCGTTCTTCGCCAAGTCTTAGTTCAATCTGTCGTAATCTTGCGTTTTCCCATTCACGTCAGCATGCTAGCGATATTATGTGCATTCGTATATCGAAATGGCATTACTGCAAGTCATTCTCTCCAGCCGAGAGCGGTGGATCATAAACATACAGACAGTAGAGATGGACGGAGATGAGATGTAGGATAGAAACGGAGACGTGGGCAAGATGAGAAAGTGTAAGCCGGAAGAGCAAGATGCATCGATACGACGAGACACGACACGGACAAGGATCATGGCAACTCAGAGAGCAGAACAAAAACACCAAATCATCACACTAAATCCCTCACTGCCAATACTGCTGCTGCCTCGGCTGGTATGAGTAGAAGCTCGCGTCAGAACCACCCTGCGGGTACCCTAAATGACCCTGTGGGCCTTGACCTTGAGGCTGGTGTTGCTGGCCCTGTTGATTCTGCGGAACCGACGCGCTCGCGCCAAATCGCTGCGCGCTGTAGAAACCGCCCTGAGAAGGCTGGGGGACTCCGCGAGATTGCGGCCCCTGGCCGACACCGCCTTGACCAACACCGACGCCAACGCCAGCACCGACGTCCTTGACACCTGCATAGGGCTTGTAGACGTTCTCCGGGGAGCCACCGCCGGCACGCTGGCCGAGAGGTGGGCCGGACTGCGGACCAGTCGACTGGCCGAGCGTCATGAAACCCTGCATTCCCTGGCCGCCGGCACCGTACAATGACTTGCCATAGTCGTTGGACGGGAGGCCACTGCCCACGCTCTGGCCATGCGAGTGCTGCGCATGATGCTGGTACCCGATGTCCTCGTACGCGTTCGATGGGTGCTGTTGACCGTAAAGACCCTGTCCGTAAGGCGACTGCGGCTGTACAGCGCTCGGGGGCTGTTTCGTTGCTGGAGAGGGTGCAGACTGAGGGCCAGGGGGACCCGCTTGGAAGACGGTGGGGTACTTGACGTATGGCTGCGGTACGCTATAACCAGAGTTGTACGGTGAGCCGTAGTACTGGTTTTGCGGGTAGGGATAGTAGTAAGGCAATGGGGGAGGGTAGCCTTGCTGTGGACCCTGGCCAGCACCGGGCTGTGCTTGGCTTCCAGCCTGAGAAGCGGGAGGGATTTGCTGCGATGACTGGGAATTAGCAGGAGGGAGGCCAGGTGCACCGTGAGGTTGCTGTTGCCCAGTGGGGAGACCTTTGATGTCGTCATGACCACCCAGAACGCTACGGTTGCCGAAGGCACCTGGGCCAGTGTACGAATCGTAGAAATTCTGCTGCGAACTACGATGAGATTCATGTTGATTTGACTCAGAGAGTTCAGTGGACATACCCTCTGGTTCTCGGTATAGCCATAGTCGTTACCTGCGAACGCACCAAGGTGCGACGCCTGAGCCTGATGTTGCACTTGCTGACTCAGTTGCCCAAAAGAGCCGTAGGGGGTATCTTGCGACTGTCCAGCCGGAGGAGTAGGCGTGTGGAAATAGGGCGTCTCGGGTTGGCGGAAATAGGACGGGGAGATACTTTGCTGCTGCGATGCCTGAGGCACGGCAGACGAGAGCTGTGGTTGCGTCTGCGTCGGGTCGAGGTGTGTTGGCAGCCCATGCTGGACATACTGATGCTGGTTGTGCAAGTGTGATTGGATCTGACCCTGGGGCAGCTGATGGCTGGACAGGGTTTGCTGCGGCAGAGCTTGAGACTGATGTGAGAACTGAGACATCGAAGCCGATGCGGGCGTAGGCGATTGTAGCGAAGCCTGGACGGGAATCGCCGACTGCGACAGTGAAGGGGGTAGTGAGTGTTGGGGCTGCGAAGGGGGTTGGGAGGGATGTTGTGCTTGCTGGGGGATTGCGGGCGGGAAGGGTGATTGAGCAACAGGGGGGGTCTGAGTCGGAGGAGAGACGACAGTAGACACTGGAGCTTCGGGTTGTTGGATAGGGACGGAAGGTGAGGCGGCTGATTGGAGCTCTGCGGCGGCTGGTTCCTGCGCACGCGCCGGGGCCAGCTCCGAAGCGGCGGGTTCATGTCTGTAAAAATGGACAGATTCTATCACTATGTGCATCGATATACAATCGGCGTGCACTTACGATGCATCGAAATCCTCACCGCCGAGGCTTAAGCTGCCAAACTGCATACCAATCTTCTCGACACCGGTGCCGAAGTTGGAACTGGGCATAACAACAGGTTGGTCGGTGGTCTTGAACTTCGCACTGATACGGTGAGAACCAGAGGCAGGTCGTGTGCTAGCGACCGGTGTCAAAGATTTCTGAGGCGCGACGACAGGCTCAGAAACAATAGACGAATGCTGCACTTGTGCCGGAATCGCAGAGGTAGTGGGCTCAGGGATGACTGGGGGTTCTGGTGCGGGCTCCGGCTGACTCTCTGCCAGCTGGGGCTCATCTGCGGGCGGAGAACTCGCCTCTCCAATAAATGATAGCGTCGCAATTTTGGCTTGCGGTTCATCGTCCCATGTTGGTGGCTCGACAGTGGTCGGCTCTTCCCAACCTTGCTGCTGGGGCTCTGTAAGGGGCTCCTCTCTTGGAGGAGTCGGCTCACGGGGCGTAACCTCTGGTGCAGCCGATGGGGCCGTCGTGGCAACTGGTGCTGCCGCAGGTGTAGGGACGGCGATCGGCGCTGGGACTGGAGGGGTGGCTGGCTTCTCCTGTGCACTGTTGAAAGGTCAAATTTTAATTATCGATGACGATGCCCTTGTACTAACCGAGCAATCTGAGCCCAGGAGAGCTTTGAAGTTGCTGGCGTCTTGAAGACCTTAGAAGCCGGTGCAGAAGGGGCGGGCACAGCTGAACCGTTGGCAGCAATGCTACCCCACGTTGCAGGTGTGCTGCTTTCCACCCAACCGTTGCTAGCGTTTGTCTCCGTCGGTACATCATTCCAACCCCCATTCGTTGTTGCGGTGCCCCGACCATTAGCGGCTTCTTCAGCGAGCTTCGCAGAACCGTTTGTAGGAGTCGTGGGCGTGGTGACGTCGACATTGGCAACCTCCTCAACTCGCTTCGGAGTAGCAGCATCGCCGGGCTGCGAAGGCTTGAAACGGTGACCGTTTGCCTCATGGTGATTACCACGCGCAAAGGCGCCGCGGGCAGCCCCGCCCCGCCCCGGACCACCCCTGCCACCACGTCCACCTCGAGCGCCGCGGAATTCACCTCGCTCACGGGGGGACGAACCATCCTTTGAGTGTGAATTTTGGGCGGGTGTAGCTTTCTTGTCCTTCTTCCGTGTCACAGAGCCCCATTGCTCTGCATGGCCTGCCTCGTGGGTGTCAGAATACGCAGTCAGGGGCGGAGTGGAAGAATGTTACCTTCGCTGATTCGGGTAGCAGCCAGCTGAAGATCGCCATTTACCTCGGTCAACAGTGACTGCAAATCTGGACGATGACGAGTAGCGAGTGAGTCCGGCGACTAAAAACGGTGACCGCTAGACTACGGTACCTTCGTTGGACCATGTCGGGAATAGTTCCTGCAGTTTGTGGGCTTGCGAGCTATACTTTTCAGAATGCGCATCCTGTGCAGGCTGCGACCTGCGGAAGTTCGAGGACTGATACATGAGGACGGGGGAGGGGTTGGTCTTTTGGCTTTTTTGCACTTGACCAGGGAAAATGGGAACGCGTTGCAAGATGCGGTGGCGGAGCGAGCATGCCAATTCCAGCCGGATCGGCTAATACAAGACCCCTTACCGTGCACATAAATAATCGTCGGAGGTTTTAGCGGTAGCACAGATATCCACTAGGTAAAAGTCACTTGCTTTGGTAGTTTCACTGCCACAGGATTCTCTGCGGTCCTGCTTCTGAACATCTGGGCACATACGCCCTGGGCAGCATGGGCAGTCTGACCACCTTGTAAAGGCATAATAATGTAGGACCCCTTATCGCCCTAGATAAGTTATGCTACAGTCTCCGAATTTGACGAATGAAATGATTGATGGCGATGCTAATGTTGCTGTACACCCGAGTCTTCACACTTTCCCGGTAACTACTAGCTGGTCATCCCGCCCAATTCATTCATCTACTGGTTGCTTGTTACATTCGGACATTCTATCAGTTGGCTGTTCAACCCACCGTCACCCTCACCGCCAGGTCATAGGCCCATCCACCTTCATGCCCCCACCGAAGCGAGGCCGTCCGCCCAACCTCACTCTCGAGGTGAATCCCATCAAGCGGCCGGGACATGCGAACACCATTATTGAGCTTGAGACACCCATTGACCAGCCTGTCAATCTAGAAGATGACGAGCCGCTGCAGTTGTCATCGCCTTCCTCGTCGAGTTCGGGCTCACCGGTCGAGTACCCCTCCGCTCTCGAGACTGATTCTGACGCCAACTCGGACGAGTTTACGAAGGACCTAGCGGCCCTCGAGCGGCTGCGCAAGAATGTACACAAAAATCTGCGTCTGCGCCCCCTGCGCTCGAGCTCCTCCTCTGTGTCATCCTCGCACACACGGCAATCATCGTCGCCGTACACCGCCTGGTCTGATATGTCTGAGCGACGCTCTCCCAGTCCGACAAGCAGCATCAGTCCTGCCAGTGTCTACTTCACACCCACGACAGAACTCAGAGGAACTCCTCTTAGCGCTGTCTATTTCAACCCCGACAAATGGCGGCTGTCGTCCATCGAGACACAGCAACCTACGCGAGGGCTTGATCCCGCCATACTCGTTGCCCGCCTCTCCGCCCCGACGCGTCCGTTGTTAATTGATACAAGACCCCTCGTTTCATTTATGGCAAGCCGTCTGGACAGGAGCATCAATATGGCTATACCGTCTCTCATCCTGAAGCGGTGTCGCAAGCCAAACGGTGCGTTTCACGAGTTGGACGCGCTGCGTCAGTATGTCACCACCGATGACGGAGCCCGCATCTGGGACGACATGCTCGGCAGCGGGGACTGGGATGGCGACATCATCCTGTATGACGAAACGATGGACGAAAAGGACAGGCACAATACGCAGGCGACTGCGTGGGCCTTACTCGACGTCGTGGACCCACTACTTGATCATGGCAGTGCAGACTACCTCGAAGGCGGCTTCGCGGCTGCCCGGCGCCATCCATACCTGCGACAACTCATTATAAGGGATGATCATGTTGACGCCTCTTCCCAGGACGACCCACCAACTGGTAAAAAGAGCGGAGGTTTATTTCAGCTGGATATCCCCTCCGCTGGTCGCTCCAGAACATTACCCGAAGTAGAGCGGCCGCCTGCGTCTCCAGCACCTCTTATGCCTGCCATTCACTGGAACGTATCCGGCGATTATGCCTCTCCATCTCCACCTCCATCCCAGACCGTTTTTACCCGCCCTCCACCACCACGTAGACCGAGCGTCCCAACATTAGGCAAGCTCGACACCACGTCTGCCGAGAGGTTGAACGCGGGTATGCCCAAGCTACAAGTTCGTACTATGCCAGTCAAGGCAGCTACTCTCTCTGCACCACCCCTCCACGGCAGCGATCCCGCCTCATTCCGTTCTCGCTCCCGCTCCCCGTCACATTTGAATCTCACCTTTTCAAGTCACTCCCCTCCAGGCTCAGCACAGCTCCTATCACCGAGTATAAATTCGTTCAATGAACTCCTTCCACCACCGTCCCCTGCATTTACTCGGTCTAGTTCGCCTGCGACGCCTATGCCACGGTCGCCGCAAACGGCAAGGCCAGATTCTTCACAGCCACCGACCACGGAGGAGGACCCATATCCCGTCTTCACCGTCTCCACTATCCTTCCAAATTTTCTTTATTTGGGTCCCGAAGTAACCGCCGAAGAGCATGTCGAGGAGCTGCTGTCACTCGGTGTTAGGCGAATATTAAACATCGCTGCTGAATGTGACGATGACCACGACCTCCGCTTGCGGGAAAGATTCGAGCGATATATACGTATACCAATGCGTGATACTGTCGAGGAAGACAACATCACGCGAGGCGTGCGTGAGGTGTGCGAATTGCTAGGTACCAAGCTTCCTTTTCGCACCTTGATGCCCTGCTCATCTTCTTTCGCTTGGTAGACGATGCGCGCTTACATTCGGCAGCGACCTACGTCCATTGTAAGGCTGGAAAGTCGCGTTCTGTCACGGCTGTCATGGCCTATCTTATCCATGCGAATCACTGGACACTCTCTAAGGCATATGCCTTTGTCCTCGAGCGTCGGAAGGGCATATCGCCCAATATTGGTTTTGTCTCCGAGCTGATGACGTTCGAGGAGCAAGAGCTCGGGGGCAAGTCGATAGGTGTCGTCAAGATCGCGCCAGGTAGCGCTGAGGCAGATGGCGAGGAGAGCGGCGGCGCAAGCTCCGGTACGGGCACCAATTATCAGGTCGCATTAGGCGGTCGACGCCCGCAGCACATCCGAGAGAGCCTGCCCCCGATGTTCACGCGAGAACACTCATTCAACATCGTACCCATTTCCACGGTCAATGATACCGCCATCATCGGCGACTCTGGCCAGGAGATGGAAATTAAAGACGCTACAGGGCGGTACCGGCATGCCCGCCGTGCCCCCGTGGACGAGGCCACTTTACAGCCTATGCGGCGTGTGAGCAAGGCAGGACTGGAGAGTGCCACGTATTTATAATTGGATGGATGATCTCGTATATAACTGTTGTTCTGTTGTTCTGTCTGCATAGGTTTGTGCATCTGGTACTCACTCTCATTTTTAGTTTATGCTTTTATTCGATTTGTCGCGGACACCTACCATAGCACATATACCACGTCGCACCTCGTCTACGCATTGCCATGTACGAGTACGGAGCATACATACAGATCGCATCTATCGCTGTCCTGCGCATTATTTACATGTCTTTCAGATTGTGCCGTACGCAATACGTCCATCAATCACTGTTGTCTTGACCTTGGCCCCGAGTATGTCGGCGAAAGGCACGCTGTCATCCATGATGTCTGTGTCGAGCACAACGTAGTCTGCCTTTTTGCCAGGGACTAGCGAGCCTACGTCTTCATCAGCAAATGACGCGTAGGCCGCATCCAGTGTCATCCCTTTCAACGCCTCTGAGCGCGTAAGGCGTTCCGCCGGAAACCTGTGTATTTTGATACGGTGAGACCGGGCTTGCGGGGAACGGCGAGCCCCTTACCAGCCTCCTTCCCCGTGAGGGCTTTCACCATTAGCACCCAGTCTAGATACCGCGGCGTAGAAACCCAGAAGGGGATTGATGCCTTCTACCGGGAAATCGGAACCAAGCGGAAGCACCGCCTTCTGCGACGACCTGTCCATCCCGAACGGTCAATTCATGTGGGGTCTATTAGTGCGCAACACCATATGAAGGGCCTCGACAGACCTGAGGAGAGTTCGATACGCATACGCGCCCTTGATCCTATCCACGCCCTACAATGTGACTCACGGAGTCGAACGAGGGTTAACCATTGGAAGGATAAACTCACCAGCCGACTTTCGGCATACCACATGTCGCTGGTGCTGTCTTGCAGAAGCGTCAGGCGATGAACAGCCGGAACTGTGCTGGACACTCACGCATGAGTGGGTTGGACACTCGTGATCACTGCGTACGCCAGAAGTGACATGAGAACACAGAGCCCGTGCGAGACCGATAACTCACCGCCTAATCTGCCAGCTCGCTCCAAATCTTCCATACGCATGATTTGGGCGTGCTCGATCCTTGGTCTTCGCTTGTCGGCCACCTTGGTGTCGTTGTGTAGTAGTGCTTCGAAGATATCAAGCACTGCCTTGTTTGCTCGGTCTCCGATGCAGTGAATATTCTGTTATCAGTTTCGCGACTGGTTAGCTTCGGTGGCGACACCGGATGCAAGATGCGTGATGGACGTACGACGCCCCAGCCTTCGTCCCAGAACCGTGACACGGTTTCCTTCAGCGCCGCCTCCGAGCTGCGCATGAGACCGCGTGTCGAAGGATTATCTGAGTATGGCTCGAGTAGCGCCGCTCCCCATGAACCCAGAGCACCTGCTCAAACGTTGATATCAATATTTATGGCATGTTGTGAATTGTTGAACAGCTTGCCATCCGTGAAGAGCTTTATGCTCTTCATATTCAGTCTCTCGTCCTTTCCAAAGTCTTCCAACTTTTCGAACCGGCCGCCCCAATATTTGGGCTCCTCTTCGTTGCCCATGGCATACACGCGAATCTTGTACGTTTTTAGTGTTGATGCAATGCTATCAACAAGGACAAAAAGATCGTACCGGCATTTGACCACTATCTGCTAGGCTACCAGGTCCGAGAACATGTGAACCCAATTACCGTTAATCAATCATTGAAAATATACTGACCTCTTGAATACCTTGATCATTTCGCTATTGACTGCCGCATCATGCACGCTTGTTAGACCAACAGCGAGCGCATCTTTCATTGCTCTCTCGGCATGCTCCCGCATCAGCTGAGGCGTGGGTGGAGGTACAGGTATCAACGCCATAGCGGCATCTAGAAGAACACCTGTGCTCTATATGTTAAGTCACCTAATATCGACAGCACGGTAGCAGCTATCCGCGGACACGACTTACCGGTAGGGTCTCCGCTTGCGTCTCTCACTATTTCCCCGCCCTCCACGTCGCCCGGTGCAGGCCATTCGCCTCCCGGTATTTTCGCCTGCGCAATGTCGAGTGCCCGCGACGATACCCAGAGCGCATGACCATCTACACGAGACAGCGCGAGCGGCCGGTTTGCGAGCAGCGGCCGCGACTCTATATCCGCCTGTATGCACCTTGGTCAGGTTACGCGGCGGACGAGAATATAGACACCATCGCTACCTTGGAAGGGAAACCACCTTTCCAATTCTCCCACCGCGTCTGGTCCCACCCAAAGCCTTCGATCCAACGCTCTGTGTCGGCCAGAACGTCCGGATGCGAGTTCACGTACTCCTCTATGCTGTCCAGAACATCTGTTGATGTTCGGGTCAGAGATGGTGATTGGATATAAATGACGTCCTTGAGCAGAACGATATCCAACGCAAATGCCATAAGGAAGACGCATGGAAGGAATGCACAGATCGAGCAGATAGAGGGACTGAGAGGGACGATTTTGCTGGATATCACACCCCTTCAAACGTTTGGGCTACAGTACGTTCAAGCGACAGAAATCTATCCTATGAGAGCCTCCAACGCGAAGAATGAATTGTGCCTTGGCCCAAAGAAAATTCGACCAACCATTGATGGTCTTAGCAGCTTCGAGATTGAGCTGCATCTTTGCGCCGTACATCATAAGATGTGCATGAGCATCTGAAGTGTCAGATTAGAAACTATGCGTGTAAGTGATAACTATATGAAAGCGTACCTGCAAGCCCAGGAACGACGATACTTCCTTTGGGCGCATGGACGACTTTGAGTGGTTTCTTCGCCTTCGCCTCTCCACCATAGAATTTATGGATCAATTCGGTTTGATAAATATCCCAAGCCTCCTGTACTTCATCTATGTATGCGAATTATATCAGTGAGCCCGCCATAATATGCCATCCCGAGTGGGATAAGTAGGCATAGAAGCAACGGGTGTACGCGGCGTTTGTGCCCTGTGGCTTCCGCCTTGTGATCTCGGGGTCGCGTTTCGATCACGACATGCGCGGTTTACGATCATTCGAGCAGGGAAACGCACCCAGTGAACCCGTGGAGCTAATCCTATCCCGCCTTACTAACACGCAGTCCACGCTCGGTTTCTCCTGGTCGACTGTGTAGATTTTCGCGCTGTCGGCGCACAGTGCATAAGACTCTGGCAAGATTTTCACTGCACGAGAATGTGCCCCTGTCCGCGAGAAATACGTGGCAAGTCCAGCAAGAGCAGAAGCTGCAAGGACAAGAGCGATATGGCGAAGCGTGCCTAATGAGCCGCCGCTTGCTGCCTGACTAGGACCTCGTGGGACAGCGCGGGCAGCAGGAGGGGCGTCGGGTGTTTTATGCTTTGGCTCAGGCATTCTCTTCCGTGACATCCCAACTTCACAGTTGTCTGGTGCTGTGGGGATCGTGCCGGGACGGGCAAGTCTCTTGCCAAACTGGGTAAGTTAGTAGAAGTTAGTTCACCAACGAGACACTTCTCACGCTTTGGGACAATCAACCCGGATCCCTTAACCGCCGTGTCTTGACTATCTCTTCGTGGTAAGTATATAGCTCTTCCTGGAATGAAAGAGCCTGGACGACAGCCTTTCCAAGATTGTCTTGCACTCGGGATAATCCACTCTTAGTATCCGAGCTAGTCGGTCACTGCAGGACCCCGGCGAATCCCCCAAGAGCTCTGATCCCGCGCGGACCCCCCTCCGGGGGTCAGCCCATGGTCGATTTCGGGGGAACTTCACATAACCTCGCCTGACGGTCAGTTTTGGGGGTAAATGGCATCTAACGTCTAAACATTGCAAAAAAGGCGAGAAATTGCAAACAATCGCGCGCGCGATTGTACCATTGTCACAAGGCCGTACATAGATTTAGAAGTACCGACTACTACACTGAGGCCACTGATTGACGTGGTACTAATCTCTCTACTTCGGATCTTTGTATTTGCACAAGATCATTAGACCTATAAATTCCTACTTACATGAAGTTTGGTATCGAGAACCGATAAGTAAAGTAACATAGCGACGAAGCGGTATCAAGAAGCAATCGAGTGAGACGTCACCGGTATCATCGTACCTTTCCGGCACATTTCGGCACCCGTTCCGAGGCCGGATGGACCTTATGTTCGGGGGTCGAGGATCATACCTCGCCCCGGACGCCTGCTTTCGGGGGCACCTAGCTACGGTTGGCGGGTGGGCGCAGGTCTAACTTCGTGCCTCAGCCGCTGATCGGTCCTTGCCGGGGTCCTTGGTGTGACTCAGTTGTAACGTATAGTGGCAGTAATGGTCTATAAATGTTTCCATTATCGATGGATACTGTGTGTGATATCTGCGCCTACATCATGCTTACATAATATACCTTAGGTAAGCAAATCGTCCATTGGATTACTGAAATGGAGTATGTACCTAAGATAACAACTACGATAAGATGGCCGAGCATATGGTATCAAGAAATAATCTGAGTTGCGTTTACTTGGCGTGTCGTACACAACTTAAATGCGCTAGGAACCAGCCTGTATATGAGCAACTTTACTAATACTCTCAAGCATATCATGATGCACACTTACTGCGGTATTTGAAGCAGCTATATTTACTCAAATTTCATTCTAGAAGGAGAACATACCAGTGTTGGGCCAGTCGTCTGCCAGTCGTCCCAGTCGTTCCCACGACTGGGGCGATTAATCGACGACTGTACGACAGTCGAAAAGTCGCGGCGACTTTTCCCACGGCTTGCGCAGACACGGCCCGATTTTCACGCGCCCGAAGAGTCCCAAAGAGGCATCGGATCAAGGGATGAGGGGGCCCAATGACTTTACTTGGCTGCCTCTCTCTGTCATTGAGAGATCTATTCGACTTCAAGATGCCGCAAGGATAGAAAAGAGGGTTGGACATATTTGCAGGATGAAGTTGAGTTGTATGAGCTTCTCGACTTCTCATCTTCAATGCAGAAGATAGTATTGACTGAGTGCTGAGTCTCTGCCAATAGGATATACATGTATTTTCATTTACATATCTTGCTAACATCACATCCTGTTGTGTACATTATTTTGTGGCCAAATCTCCCTCCATTCCCGCATCACCTCTAATGTCAGGTGTGACTGAATGGTCGTGGGAATAGTCGCCACCGTGGGAACAGTCGTCGTCGTTTGTAGTCGTTTCGACTGACATCATGCGACTAAACGACAGTCGCACGATCATTCGACGACTCGCACAACACTGGAACATACAAGGCTAGAGGGAGATATATATGGAGTTGCAAGACGTGTATATTTACAGACTCGAAGCAGGACCTTACGTAATTGGACATTGGCATAGTACACTTTGCGCTGTCGCACCTCAAGCCTTCAGATCTCAGTGCTCGCATATTCTTCCTGAGCAGCGAGTAACTCATTTATTTGTATAATATGGCGCGAATACTGTTGAAACGCGCAGCCCCGCGTGGTCAGGAACGAGCTCGAAAGCTCGGGCACGCGAGTAGCCGGGGGCCGGAGGCCCCTATCGTAGTATATAACGACCCCGCGCGATGTATGTACCGCACGCGATTGTCCCTTACGGGCATCGCTACGCCCGTGGACAAACGCGCCCCGCGCCGTTCGCACCGTTGCTCCAACAAATACTGCTCATACCTTGAGAGTATAGCATACACGGCCAGAAGATACTTCAGCCTACGTTTGAACAGCCTGCAGATGCCCGGGGGACAAATGTCAAGTTTGCACCCCGGTCAAAAATGCTTGATCCTCGTGCAAATCTATCGATTTGACCTACGGCTGGCATGCACGGGTGACCAGCAGCTACCCATATCGCAGTTTAACCCGCGGGCAAACACTGCATATCATGTGACTTGCACAAGACACGACAAGGCATGCGCGACAAATCTGAGAAGTTTTTCATCTTGCCCACCCACGTCTCAAATGTCTCAATATCGTCTTGCATGTATTTTGAGCCCCGTGCTCCTGGTGAATGTACCAGTACCCTGATCTTATGATCAGGAGCCTGTTATTCTGACCTTTTCTGCCTTAGATCCATATGCCAGCTCGCCTTCTGCTTCATTCTGAACCATCTGCAGAGTTCGGTGAGTTACTTGTTATTTTTGTATTGCTTTCTCTTACAAGCTACAGTCTGGTATCTTAGGAGTTGAATGTAAATGTACATAATTAAGCAATTACATCTGCGACTAGCTATTCTCTGTATGTTCTCACACAACAATATGGTCAATGGTACCCTGGGAGACCGCGCTTGTATCACGTGAGCAGAAATCTGCTTTGCACGGGGGTTGAACGAATTTGCCCGCGGGGCAAGCGTGTGAGTGGTTGCACCAGGCATAAACTGTCGTGGTTTGCACAGGGCGCAAAGCGCTTTGACCGACGTGCAGCTTGTCAGCGGTTAAACCCAGTTTATACGGATCTTCTGGCCGTGTAGGTCTCCAAGCATCTATCACTCAGTTATGGTTACATAAGCGCCCCATCTCCCATGCCGCCGATGCCGTCGAGCAGAATTCAGCCCTTGTTTAGATTACGTAATGGTCCGTCTGAGGCTCTGTCACGCTGAGATCTATCACGGGGTACCACACGAGGCAGGACCCCATAATTAGTTACCATATCTTGACCTGCGCCCACCCGCCAACCGTACCTGGCACATAACCTGACCGCCGTCCGGGCCCCGTTTCGGGGGTTTGAGATGTAAGATTTTGGCTCCAGAGGCCCCCTTTTCGGGGTTTTCGGGATCACAGCTCTTGGGGGATTCGCCGGGGTCCTGTCACTGCCCTCTCGCTTCTAAGCACACATGGAGCAACTCGCTGTGCTGTGCCTTATCATCATCTTGGCGCCAATACCATATGATGTAAAGTCGTGATGACTGTGAATGAAATGAAATCTGAAGCTCGAAGCTTGAAACGCAGGAGTTGGCACATGGAAATATCAATCTCCGACTCCTTGCCATCACGCCTTCCAAGACATGCAGTCTACTTCGTGCATTACGAGCATAAGACAAGCCCACTGATCGATGTCAGGGGAGATTGTCAGAGTCGCCAATCTTTCCTAATCCCATCATCGCACTAGTTCTGCCCCCCACCACGATTCATTAGTATGTTATGACTGATTCTGTGCGATTGAACTATATCTCCGCAAGTACACATTGTCGGACCGAGCAAACACAATGTCAAGCATCTATAGAATGGCGAACGTGCGCTCGCTATCCACATGGATCCTAATGTTCAAGACGAGATGTGCGAGTAATCTCGCGACATCGATGAGGCTCCCCGAAACCTTTCCTGGAAAAACATAGAATTACTTGCAGCTATCGCCGCACATGAAAATTACTGAGTGCTCATCTATAAGAGACCCTTTATTCGTGAAGTACATGTGGCACATTTAAACGGCATATGATTGGTCTGCTGAAGGTATTGTCGGGAGATCTTACCCCGCGTTCTGGCACGATCGTCGCAATCCGGCCGTCGTATGAGCGCTTCGGAGCTAGATCGCCCCATATGAAGCGGGGCGCCCTCGCGCGTGATTCCTGCGTCCCTTCTTCTCCAGCCCTCATCCACTACCTTCCAACTTGACTCTACTAGACACAATGTCCAAAGCCGTTGTCCTTGGAGCTGCAGGTTGACAAAATCGGCTCCGATCTTGCGCGATCCCTGATCATATCGTGCAGGTGGTATCGGGCAGCCGCTCGCTCTGCTCCTCAAGTCGAATCCGCTCGTAAAAGAGGTGCGACAAAACAATCTGATTATAAATTGCACAGTACTGAGCGACACGTAGCTCGCTCTCTTTGATATCGTAAACACACCTGGAGTTGCGGCCGATTTATCCCATATATCCACGCCCGCAAAGGTGTCAGGCTACCTCCCGCCGGACGATGGTCTCAAGAAGGCGCTGACTGGCGCAGATATTGTTGTGATCCCAGCAGGTGTACCGCGGAAGCCGGGTGTAAGTTGTTCACTCGCTCCACGCGTATTGCCCCATTGATAGCTTCGTCCAGATGACCAGGTTAGTTATAGTTCAATTGGTCGGGTTCATCTGCTGTTTGCAGCCGTGGGGACCACAGTGTCTCGATGTTCTTTGGCTCAGATACAAAGAGTTTACCAATCAGCTGATCCCCCCATCGCCCATCGCCCCACATACTGAGCGTCGATTGGGCGGCGGTCAGTGGCGGAATAGCGCTGCGTTCACCAGGTCCCAGTAAACAAATATCAAGTTGGGATGTTTCTGTGGGGATTCTGGACAGCTTAGCTTGGGCACGATCCACTACGTGAATGAATAGCACCCGTTGTTCACCGGTCAGCTAGCTGTTTCAGTCGTCCAAAGCGGCTGGGACAATTAGTAAATGTCTCTCATAAATATTCTATGCCACGTTACCGGTGCGCATTGGACGCTTCGAGATTTTTGAATTTAAAAGGGCGATTCTACGAGCTCCGAGGCGGGGGCAGGAGATGCATGCGCTTCGTTAGACGCAGCCTATTTGTGTTGATTCGCTATGCTGCCATTACAAGGCACCGAGAGTCGATGAGGCCGTGAGCACCAGGTTGTATGTGCAAATGCCGGAACTCAATAGATCGACGATTTGCGTTCAGATCTGGGTTACTACATTTCTTTCAGGCCATTGAGCTGGAGGTACATGTATGCGGGAGCATTGTTGCGCTTACTGCACCCAGTTCATTTACTTTGTCCATCGGTGTGCACGACGCCACACAAAGGTCTTAGTTTCCATAGCTATGCAGCTAGCGATGCTAGGGCCGTGTGTCCGTGTGCCGCCGGTTATGTTTGTACCCGACCAACTAATGCCATCCTCCCTCTCGTTCTCATCCTGAGCAATTGATTCTGACATATATTGGCCTGATATAGAGATGACCTGTTCAAGGCAAGTGATCTCATGGTTTTGCGAATTCGTCGGCTCACCATATAGCCAGATCAATGCAGGCATTGTTCGCGATCTAGCGACTGGCATTGCTACCGCAGCGCCCAAGGCCAGCATACTGGTGATTTCCAACCCCGTCAACTCGACCGTTCCTATTGTCGTTGAGGTCCTCAAGAAGCACGGCGTATTCGACCCCAAGAAGTGCGCTTAAAATTATTCAAGTGAGACTTGTATACTAAGCGTCTGGCAGGGTCTTCGGAGTGACCACGTTGGACGTCGTGCGCGCACAAACATTCGCCGCCGAAGTACTCGGCGATCTATCTCTGGCATCGAAGCTGACGGTGCCCGTGGTCGGCGGACACAGCGGTGTGACGGTATGCTTCTAGCTGTCGTCATCCAATCCGCAGCGCGGGCACTCATGACCGCCGGCAGATCGTTCCTCTCTTCTCTCAATCCTCCACTCCCCTTCCCTCGGGCTTCACCAAGTCTGATCTGGAAGCGCTCACGACGCGCGTCCAGTTTGGTGGCGACGAGGTCGTGAAGGCCAAGGACGGTGCTGGTTCCGCGACGCTGTCCATGGCGTATGCTGGTGCAGAGTTTGCAGAGAAAGTCCTGAGGGCACTCAATGGCGAGAAGGGCATCGTTGCGCCGAGCTTCGTGCACCTCAGCGCTGACAAGGAGGGCGGCGAGGCAGTCAAGAAGGAGATCGGGCAGGACCTAGAATACTTCTCTGTCCGGGTCCAGCTTGGGGTGTGTTTGCCGGTTGTGTCGGTTGGTCGTGGTAAAACTGACGGCTAAAACATCATAGCCCGGCGGTGTTGAGAAGCTCCATGGCCTTGGGTCGATCACCGAGTACGAGCGGTCCCTCGTCCAAGCTGCTGTACCCGACTTGGCGAGCAACATCGATAAGGTACGTGCACGATCGAGTCATTCCGCAGCAATAACTGAGCCGGTATGGTTAGGGTGTTTCCTTCATCGCGAGTCCTAAACTGTAGAGGTCGGAAATCCTAGGAAGAACATTGATAGCAGAAACAGAAACCCGTTGTACCATATACACATTCGAGTAAGACTGTACGAGTGCTCTGTTCCGGGATAAGAAAAGTGTGCGACAAGACGACTTGCAATGGGGAATAGCGGAGGAATCCGGCCTACAAATCTTACCGATTATACAATGCGATTGTTAACTCATTGTTAACGTGCCTTTATCTGATATGATACCCTTTGATTGCTCCGGCGCAACAAAACTGGAATAACTCTCCCATTGCCGTTACGTAAGCAAGACATAATAGACCCGACATGCACATATGCAAGTTTGGTAACTCTACACTAAGCTACCGCAGCGTGCTCTCACCATCACCCCCAACGACAGCCGCGTTGTTTGCGTTCTCAGTGCTCACACCAAGGCCATGAAACTATAGACCTACCGCTTGAGTACCTCCTCATTGGAACGCTATCTAAAGCTAGCTATGAACCCCTCCTTCGACCTCGCGAATGGCACCGACGCCTCTGGACCGGCGAATTCTTCTAGGCACGCGTCGCCGGCATTGCGCCCTACAAAGGAGCTCGAGAGTCAAGTACCATCTGTTACGTCTGGCCACGAACCATCGTCCTCGATCGCGTCTACTTCTGTTGCGCACTCGACAGTCACAAGCCCTTTGCAGCCGGTATTACCCCTGCTGGACGTATCTCATGGCGGCGACCATGTGCATTCTAGCCTCGAGTTACCACCAGAAGTAGCAGGCGCAGACCTATACATTGCGCGTAAGTCGATCAGACATTTGTACTTTGTTCATGTGTTGAATGGCAGTGCTGCATGCAGCGGACGGCAGCTTCGTGGAAGTCTCCTCCGGCGAAGCTGCACGGGTGTTGAAGAAGCGCTATGATCAGTACATGGGCGTCGGTAAAGATGTACGCTCGCCGTACGCCATAACTGCGTTTATCAATCAGCATGGCCGACAGATGTACCGGGTTGGGTGAGTCCCGCTGCACTGTCTGAATATGCATATATACTGATACCCTTGCATCTCAGACTGCGAGGGCTGTCTGCACCTGCTGCTTCTGCGGAGGCTGCAGAGGACCTTTCAAGTAAGCGATATACGGGCATGCATGACCCGCGCCAGTCAATGCAACAAACGAAGCGGCGGTCGCGCATGAGTGTCCATTCTTTTTTACCATCGGCCGTGTTCAAGAATGGGGCCGCTCCTCCACACCCTCCCTTACCTCACCCGGATGGAACGCGATCACCGCCTCTCAGGAAGCTCAGGAAAACTCGTTCCATTCCTAATCAGCTCGGGTCGGGCTCGGAGAGAACATGCCAACAAGTCCCGCCGACGTCGAGCACTGGGAGGCCACACGCTCATAGTGTCTCCAGTGCAGATGCATTCCGCGAGCCTCCCTCGGATGTCAAGGCGAAGGCTGTCCAGAGGGACATGTTCGCAGATGTCATGATGTGGTCGACCTCACCTGTCTCCCCACACGTGTCAAGCGGCCCGTCCTCGTCCAAGCAGAGCCTGCAACACTCTAATGATCCGCATGGCACGCACTCCGCAGATTACATTGTTAATCCTTTCGGTCCCGGCGTGTCGTTCGAATCACCATCTTGGCGCTCAGGATTCCACGCTACTTCCTCGCGTGCACTGCGAGAAATGCAGTCTTTCGAGTCAGGGCTGACGGCACGAGCAGATCAGGGGAAGGAGCCCCGTGACGTCGGCACTAACGGTGACACCCTTGAGTCCGACCTGGAAAGACTGCCGTCGATCCCTCTCGAGGAGGAGCATCAACATACCGTACTCACACCACGTCGTGAGACCATGATGCATTCGCCTTATTCCACTGAGGTCTTCGATGTCTTGCAGACATCACGGGGCTTACCTTCCCTGGATAGGATTTCGCCGATTGCTCGTGAGACTACGATCAAACTCTCACTTCGGGCAGAGGAAAGTGTTGCACCTCGCGACGACCCTCGGTTTGTCATCTGGGGCTACGTTGAATCGGACGACCAAGAGAATGTTGCAAGAGCAAGCATTGCTGATGTCTCATCATGCAGCTCTGGCGTGTCGCGGCGAAAGAGCTTGCGGCATAAGCGAACTACGAGCCCTCCGGAGATAGTCGCAGACGCGGACTCGGTGAAGGAGGGCCCCACGAAGTTGCTCGTTGCAGCCACCATCGAAAGATGGATCGCCCAGCTGTCGAGCGAGTTCAATTACGACGAGCTGATCGTCTTCTTCTTGACGTATCGAACCTATATCTCACCGCTCGATCTAGGCCACCTTTTGATTTCCCGATTTCACTGGGCGCTGGGGGAAACCTCCTCATCACGAGATGAGATGGTACGCCGTATCGTGCGCGTCCGGACTTTCACAGCGCTGAGACATTGGGTGACCACGTTCTTCGAGATCGACTTCGTGCCTAACCGAGAATTGCGGCTGCTCTTTGCAAATTGGTTGAATTCGCTTAGTCGGGATCCGATCATACAGACCCTGAAGGACGCCCTTGTAAGTGATCATCTTGATTCGTGCATGGCTATGTATATTGATCATATTGCACTGTAGAAAATTGTTCGGCAGCTTCGCAAGGTGTTCCAGGACCGGAAAGATATGCATCTCCGCAGGCTGTCGATGCATCCGGGCGGGCAGCCAAACGGCTCCGCCTCTCGTGTACCTGTATTGGACCAGGCAGCTTCTGCAGGGGCGGGCTATCCCTCCGGAGCACGGGAAAGCATCGACTACGAGATTGACTTAGATCTGGACTCGGGACTCAACGGGAAGTCTACCTTCGGGGGCAATCTTCCATCTGATCGTCACACTGCAGGTCCTGTGGAACTCGCTCCGCTTCGCCAGCCTCTGCATCTGACATTCATGCCGTATGGGAAGAAGAATACCACTACCCTAGCGACACCAATCCCTAGTCCGCTCCTGATGCCGATGCCGAACAGCTCTCTGTCGCGTGTACTGGTCAACACAATCGGACGCCTTGGACGATGGAAACGCGTTCTCAACTCAAGAGCTACGGGGCGCTCGATTTCGAGTGCATGTGGTGACGTCTCGGCTTTCGATGTAGAGGCAAATGAGACCGGCGACTTACTCCTGGTGCGCGGCGGGGTTGAGCAGTATCTTAAACTGGTGGAGACACAGATGTCTCAGGTCACTCTAGTTGGGAGCAGCCGCTCTACTGGTGATCCACCGTCGATTGCTTTGACCCAGGATACAAGCACGGCTATGGACGGTCGAGCGCCCGAGCGATCGTCGCCGCCTCCGCCATACGACGTGAATAATGCGCAGACCGAGCCTTCATCACAGGACGATGCTCTATCCGATACGTCGTCCATTCGACCTGTCTCTAGCCTGACTGCATTTTCGGAACACGAGGATGTATCCGATCCACAGAGCGTCCAACGTGCTCACCATTTGACAAATGATCAGCTTGAGATCGTGTCTATTGACGACCTTGATCTGTCAGACCTATCATCCGATGAGGGCATATCCTTGTCCCCGCCACCCGGTCTCAAGAAGCTTCCTCGGCGATTACCCACGCGCCGTGACTTCGAGTTCGTTCGGCGCTCTGCTACGGATACTGTGTCATCTATGGGTATACAAAGCCACTATTCCACTATGTCTGCGGAGTCGGGTTCATCGGCAGGGGTGGAGCTGGGCAGTGCCATTCATTCATGGCAAATGCATGCACTCGTCGACTCTCTTAGCGACGAAGAAGAGGACGGCGATGTTGAAGCCGCCTTGCGTCGGTTGGAGGGGCAGATCAACGAGGAAAAGCAGCGAGCCAAGCAATCCAAGGTCGATAGATGGGTGCAATCAATCCAGAAGCGACACGCTGCTAGTCGCGTCAGTGCTGATCCTGATAATGTTGGCTCTGATGATGAGGACTACGGCGATGGCGGATGGCAAAGTCGGGGAATCAGTAGGTCAAACAGCCGTAGTCCGTCCAGGGCATCTATCTCGTCGGACGGCCGTAGATCCACCAACTCTATGATTCCTATCACCGCTGCTACGTCCACGACCCCTCCCAGTGAGCCTCCCTCGACAGACGAGAGCAACATGCCGTCGGATCCTCTTTCAAATGCTCCTGCACACACAAAACCGCTCGCCGAAGACGCCGTCCCACTCGAGATCCTCCAGAGCCGAGTGGAATCGGTCGCTGCTACTAGTAACAGCGGGTCGGGCACGCCGTTGGGACATGTCACCTCCACCCCAGCACTTACCAAGTCTGTTCATCCCGGGAATATGAAGTGGCACAGATCTTTCGTCCTAGACTACCGCGTGGAAATGCTTTTGCAACACTTCTCTATGATTGACAGGGAGCTGTATGTCAACATCCACTTTGCGGAGCTGGTAACACCGCATATGGTGGGTACACCCCAGGACACGAACGTCCTCGACTGGTCACAGTTCTTGCGGGAGAGGGCACGGCTGAAGGCCGAGGGAAGGGCGGGACGTCAGATCGGGACCCTTGCTGTCGTCCGCGGGCGATTCAACCTCGTCACGAACTTCGTCATTTCCGAGATCGTGCTTACACACCCGAGTCAGCGGATGCGGTTGTTCACCAAGTTCGTGCGGCTATCCTGGGTAAGTAAGCACATTCTCGTCCTGCGATCGCCACACTAACCCCCTCGCAGAAAGCGTACGAATTGAAGAACTTCAACATGCTGGTGGCGCTGGTGGCTGGCCTCAGAAGCTCGTGGGTCGTGCGGGCGATGCAGCAATGTGCCGACCGGCTGCGGATCTACGACAAGCGCATCTTGGACGATCTAAATGCGTGGACCACCCAAACCGGGCACTTCGTGTACATACGACAGGCCCTCGATGCCATGACGGAGCCCAAGCCGACCGAGGTGGACTCGCAGGACGTGTCGGCTGTCAGTACCGATGGTCAGTCAACTCGGAGTCGAGCAACCTCGGATAGCAAGCCATCATCGGCTCCTGCTTGTGTGCCTTTCTTTGGTACGGACTCCTCTCGTGCGAAGAGTTCTTCTACTGACGTGTGTCCATACAGGTGTCTACTTATCTCAGCTTCAACCTTACACCGACCTGCCGGATCTCATCGATCCCACGGAACCACACGAGCCAGTAGGGATCGATCCAGTATCCAATACCTTCGAGCCCCTTGCACATCCTGAGGTGTTTTCAACACTCGCCTCGTTGCCCCCATCCTTGCAACTGGAGCCGCTGATTAACGTCCACAAGCAGCGGCTTGTCGCAAGTGTCCTAAAGTCGTTCGTTGACTCGCAACACCTTGCGGCACGCGTGCAGTACCCAGTAGACAAGAAGCTCTTCCAGCGGTGTTTGAAGCTTCGCGGTCTGGATCCTGATACTTTAGAGCGTGCCCTAGCCCTGTTTTCCGAGGCGAGGTAATGTTTGTTGTTCTGTATGATTGATGACATGAGAGGCATGTACAGCGCCTCGTATCATGATTGTAACGTCTATTAACGTATTCATGGGTGTATGTTCGCGGTTTTGCCTATGGTGATTGTAACGTCTGTTGCTTGTTCCCATTTATGTAGATCTCTCGGTATGTGCGTCGCATCTAGCCCCTGTGTAACCCGCGTTGGATAAGTGGGCAGTTCGTTTTATTATACAAACAGTGTCCAGGTATGTCTACGTAATGTTCAGTCTGCGAACATCCCGCCCTTCGCAGGCGAACCCTCTTGAGCGCCTTCGGCCGCTTTGTGCCCGGAGTTCAACGCTAGTATTTGTTGTCTCCAGTCCTTGAACTTGGCTAACAACGTCTCCTGTTCCTCGGACGATCCTACGCTCGTCTCTTCCTGCTCGAGTGACGATATGGCATCGGTCAGTGAGCTCTCGAGACGACGGAGGGTGTCGATATAAGCATAGGGGTTTCCGAGCGCATTGCTCATTCTTGGATTGTGTTCCCCTCCCGTACCCGGAACGGATTCTCCTGCAGCGGCTGGCGAGCGTACGGTTCAGGGTGTCAGAATATTTGACGTCATGGTTGACCCGAGTCAATTATACCTTTCGGATCCGACTTAGGATACACCTGAAGTCAAAAGAGGTCGATACTTTTACAAATACATTATAAGTTGGACCCCCTACCTGTCCCGGATTTTCTCGAGTTGGTGACGGAGGAATTGCGGGACGGTACTGGCCGGGGAACTTCGCATCCGCTAGTAAGATCGAGCCAGGTGTGAGGCGCGTAGAGGATGGTAGAGAGGAACAGACTGACCTTCACCCATAGACATTTCTAATGAAGACAAAATTTAAATATACAACGAGAGAGATGTTTGAAACGAGACAAGGTATGACTGCGGTCACTGAACATTCAACGTTTTCAAGTTGAAATAGCTCCACTCCATAGGTGGAGCCTATGACGTACTGGGTCACCGAATATATACTCTTTGTCGAGCACAAATCTCACTCATACGATGACGATCTTTGATAACTTTATACTTTGTTATTCATATACAATTTTGATACATGGTTGTGAATATAGATACAAATAGCGATTGCATGACGGCTATATCTAATACCCAACTACTGCACCAGGAGTCAAGACAGTGTCGGTGTCGTCTGCGATTGCTTGCATTTTCTCATCCTGCGCGGTCTCCTCGCGTCGTTGGCTGACGTCGTCCTTGCGGATGCTGGACAGCGCCTGCAATATGGATTGTGGGAAGTACGTGAGGGCCGGCTCGATGCTCAGAGCGTCGGGGGTGAGGGCACCGGCTTCGTCTGAGGACGTCGTCTCCGATGATGACGCTGACACCTTGCGGCCGCGGGCGACCTGGAACTCCGGAATCGCAAGTGAGGATGTATCGCTAGAGGGGGTGGTGATCCCGTGCTGCGAGCCGGTGGGGGACGATGACTGGGCGTAGTCGCGAATGTGTGGACCACTGGACGATGTGGCTGCCACGGAGTCAGAGGAGAAAGGATCGCTGGACGCAGCCGCCATCAGCGCGGGCGGTACTACAGATACCCGCGCATCGCCAGTCTCCGTGTCAGGCGGTGCCACTGGCGCAGTGGAGACAGAGGCCTCAGGTTCCGTAGGCACTGTCTCGGCGGTGAGTGCGACAATAGGGACCTTCTCCTTCTTGGAGCGACGCAGCTTCTTGATGCTGAGGCGGCGCCGCTTGCCAGCGGTCTTCTCGACATCGGTGACATTCGCACGACGTGCACGCCACTTCTTCCTGAGCATGTATACTGCGTACTTCGTCTCGCCAACGATGACGTCGGAGTAGGCCTGTAGCGAGAGAATGCCGCCAAGGAGGCCCACGAACCAGAAGTAAGGTTGGCTGAAGACAGTGACAAGGAGATAGCCGAGGCCAACGGAGAGCATGAGGTACCAGACGACAAGGTGACCGACGTGCGTGGTGCGCGAGAGGAAGCTCTCTGGGCGGGCGAACTCCGACTTCGAACGAGCGGACGTGCCCCAGTTGGTAATGTGGACGGTGAAACACGCGAAAAGCTTCGAGGGCAGCAGACCAAAGAAGTACTGTGGCAGTGTAAATTAACGGCATGAAGTCATGAAATAGATAAGCATACCATGAAGCCGTAGATACCGAACAGAAACTGGCGGGGGTCGCGCAGGCAAATGACGCCGTAGATACTCTTGATGACAGCGACACCAAACATAGTACCGAGCCAGATGAGCGGACGGAGCCAGGTTGAGGGCGCGTACAACATGTGAATGACGGTAGCCGTAAGGACCATAGGGTACAGAAATTGCTTGGTCGTCTCCACGGTCAACCACTAAAGGGCGTCGTAAGACTACAACTCCTTGCCGGAACTAGCTGACTTACGAATCGGTGGTACGCAAAGCTCTTGGGGAACCAGTACGCCTCACGGAAGAAACTCTTCGACCAGCGTGTCTGCTGCTTCACCCAACGAACGTAGCCGGCAGGAGTGTCACTATCGCACATGGCGAGGTGTGTGTAGCCTGTCTTGTGACCGAGAGAGAGTATACGGTTGGAGAGATGACGGTCGTCTCCGAAAGTGGTCTCCTTGCCGAGGAACGATTGCAAAATCCATGGACCCAAGACCGAAATAAGGTCCGACGTTTTGTAGAGACCAAGCTGCATAAAATAGTGTAAGCGCAAGGGCTGGGCGCCGATCAAACGTGCACTTACGGGACCGGACAAGCAACCAACACAACCGAATGCACTCTGGCAGGCACGCTCAACGTTGAAGGCGAACCAATATCGGATAGACGACATGAGTGCCAAGAATGACTCAGACTTGTTCCAGATGCGAACATCTCCTGTGACGCCAGCAAGACGGCTGTCACTAAAGAGCAAGGCCATCATATTCTTGACCGCGTCGGGGTAGACATACGTGTCACTGTCGGTGGTGAGCATAGCATCCTTGGTTCCGAGTGCATATGCTCCGACGACGAAAGCCGTGAACATGGCATGCCGTTTGTGACCGTGCGGTCTAAAAGTCACTTAGCACATTTAGACCGCGAACAAACAGAGAGGGACGTACTGAGAGAAACAGATGCCCTTCCAATCCGGCCAACGTTCCTCGGTAGCCTTGGCGTGAAGATAGTTGAGCATGTGGTTCCACGCGACTTCGTGCGCCTCGGCCTGACCGGGACGGGTCTTCTGCGTGAGCCACATCTTGAAGTATTCCCAACGCGACAATTTCGGGTGACCAAGCGTGTTCATGTGCTCCCAGTACTTCTCCTTGTACATGACTGATAGGAGAACCGGGAGGTGCGAGATGAGGCGCTGATCCTCGGGGAACGCCTTGCCGAAGGCATCAGCCATGGCCAAGTCAGGACCGTCGTTGCCGTCGACGACACCAATAATGTGCTTAACAGGATACTCCTGAGCCTGGAGCGACTTGAGACACTGCACTGACGTTGAACACCATGACATTTAGTGGAAAAAAAGAGCACGTACGCCGGTCCAAGCTTCCTCGTCCTCACGGTACCCGACCACGGCGATACTACACTCAGGAAGTGGAGCAGGCACCGACGTCGGGATCTCATCCTTCGCGGCAAGATGCTCAGCAACACCTTTGACGATCGGCGACTTCTTCGTCATTTTGTTCACTCGGCTACGGTTAAATGAAGCGGCAATGGTCTGCACTGTGAAGTCTGATATGCGCGAAGGATGAGAAACTGATACCACGTTGCTAGAAACCGACATACCGATGACCAACAACAATCCGTACATTCCAAAGGACCACGGGCCCGCCGTCACGATTTTAACCCGGAGGCCGTATCCGACGAGGAGGGAAATGACGACAGCGAGACTGATAGTGATCTTGAACGTCGCCGCTACCTTGCGAATCTTTGGCGTCTCACGCTCGACAATGTTGAAAGGCGGAGCGCTCCACGGGTGTTGTCTGTCGGCCATCGCCGCCTCAGCGAGCGGAAGCGTTGCGGTAGATGCACTCGGGGCGAAACACTCGATCTCCGGGTCGACATATTCGAGCGCGGGAGGAACCTCAGGCGGCGGCCCAAGGCCGTCATCGTCTTCGTCCTCAGATTCGACGTCGAGGCCACTCGACGAGGAACTATCGGTCGAGTTGGCGCGCGAAAGCTGTGGGAGGCCGCAGTAAGGCTTGAGGTCATGCACGCGGGCGTCCTTGGCAAAAGCAGCTCGGACGTCGGTGTCGGCGAAGGGGTCGCGAAGGTTGGGCATAGACGGCGAGGGGCTGAGGGGCGCTGGCGAGCGGATGCGATTGAAGTCAATAGCCTCGTCAATGCTCTTTCCTGAGCGGCGGCGAGCCGGGGAAGCAGGCCTGAGCAGCTGGTCGAGGTTTGGCGTCGACGATGACGCAAGAGGCGAGCGGAGCAGCGGCGAGGAACCATCTCGAGCTGTGAACTCCCTCAGCGAGGAAGTAGACGGGGAACGAGAGAGGGATCCCTGCGAGGAACGCTGGCGAAGACGCTCCGCCCACTTGTTGCTGCTGTTCGCACGCGAGAGCGGTGGACGAGCAGATAGACCCAAGGGGCTCGACGGTCGACTAGGACCCTCGACGACAATAGAAGCAGGCTTAATGATAGCGACGGCCTCCGGGGTGATGTCAGAAGTGAACTTGCTGTCGACAAGCTTGGACTCCAGGAGCGAAAAAGGTTTATGCTTCTCGTTGTCGGTCGAGGATGATGTAGTGCCGGACGATTGCGAATCAACTCGGATGGTCGGGATGGGAACCGCAGCGTACGTCGATGAGATTGGAACATGGCGGTCGGCGTCTGACGACGAGTCTGAGTGAGACGTGTCCGAATGTATGGACGCTGAGCTAGATTTCTGAGCATCGGTGCCTATCCATTGCGCCTGAAGCCTCGTGGGTTCCTTCCGATAACCCTTTGATAGCTGGTGGACATCAGAGATAGAAACTTATAGGCGTCAAAGAACCGCTCACCTTAGAAAATCCAGGAGCTCTGATCCTGGAGAAGGATTTGGGCGTACTCGGGCTGCTGTTCGGCGTCAACAGCTGAGTATGCACATCCGGGGTCACTGGCGTGGAAGCTCGCGACTCCGAGGGGCTTGCAGCGAAGCTCCTCGAGCGCCTCGGCGAGAAGTAGGACGCCTGAGGGTGTTGTAGCGCCGGAGATTCAATAGGAGACATGTTGAAAAGATACAAGCTTCAAGAGTGAACGATGAACGATTGGAAAGTAAGTGCGAAGTCGTGAAAAAGCTGCGAAGTTGCGAAGGCAAGCAGTAGGTGAAATCTGTGGTGGGGGCGGAGACATCCTTTATACCCTTGGCAAACGGATAGAATGCGAGGCGCATCTGGACAGACGGATGTCGGGATCGGGTAAATGAATTTGACGGGCGGAAAAGTGTATGGAGTTGTACATTGCCATCCGTATAGCCGTGCCAAATGCGGGTGTTCCGCACATCCCACGCAAGGCACCTCGCGTCTGGGCGGCGTTCGCATCCGTTTTAGGAACGGATACTGGTGCTCTGCCGTACGAATCGCAGCCGTTGGTCAGATTACCAACGGGTGGATTCGTGCACCAGTATGAGTCAGTGTAGCAAATCCAGTTGGCTAGGACACATACAATCTAATAATTTTCTTCGGGAGCTTCTGCGCTTTCTACACGGACCTTGTTGTGCAAGTGGACGGTTACCAGCTTGGCTCGGGGATAGGAGAGTCGGAGACTGGGGAGCGGGTGAATTTGCGGCCGTCTCGGACATTGTCATTTTTGCGATCTTAGCTTCCAGAAAGTTTCATAAAACTGCATGTATCCGGTTAGCGTCAGGTATTCCACGTTACACTGAGATGCTGGGGTTATGGAGACGACTTGAGCGACTCGGACAAGTATCCATATTGGGACAGCATTTGATCTGTGATGCGTGACGATCGAGAAGTGTCACAGCGGTCATCTGTCACGCTGTCCCGACTTTCTGCCATCGACTGACTCGGCGAGGCACAATCCTACAATCCTTGCCATATCGCCTGCTATTTTGCCCGAGTCGCGTATTTCGTTCAAAATAATGCCTGGCGAAGAGAACCTCCAAAAACATATCGATGGCTCAGACAGTGAGGGCGAGGAGAGCGACGTCGAGGAGACATTCGCTCAAATCGACATCGATCCGTCTAAACTAACACCACTTTCGCCCGAGGTTATCTCCAAGCAGGTATGCCTCCCCAGTTATACTCTAATGTTGCATTTCCTTACGCGTCTTTCAGGCTACTATTAACCTGGGTACGAACTTCGTGATTGCTCGGTGCACACCATCATAACGATATATGTACAGGAACCATCGGACATGTCGCACACGGAAAATCAACAGTCGTGAAAGCGATCTCGGGGGTAATGACTGTGCGATTCAAGAATGAGTTAGTGCGGAATATCACGATCAAGCTGGGTTACGCAAACGCAAAAGTGCGCATAGCCCTCTCGCCACCGCGCGATATTTTTGACCGTTGGTTGTGCAGATTTACAAGTGCGAAAACGAAGCATGTCCGCGACCAGGCTGCTACCGCTCATATCGCTCAGATAAAGAAGACAACCCCCCGTGTGAACGCCCAGGATGCGGCCACCGAATGAAGCTCATTCGCCATGTCTCCTTCGTCGACTGTCCCGGTCACGACATTCTGATGGCTACCATGCTTAACGGTGCCGCCGTCATGGATGCCGCATTACTACTCATTGCAGGCAACGAGACGTGCCCTCAGCCACAAACATCAGAGCATTTAGCTGCCGTCGAAATCATGAAGCTCGAGAACATCATCATCCTGCAGAACAAAGTCGATTTGATCAAGGAAGCCCAAGCGCTAGAGCACCAGAAGAGCATCTCCGCATTCGTTAAAGGTACCCGAGCGCTCGCTCCCCCTCTATTCGTTCCCGCTGATTATTGGCTTAGGCACCGTCGCCGAGTCCTCACCCATCGTTCCCATCTCCGCGCAGCTCAAGTACAACATCGACGCAGTTAACGAGTACATCGTCAAGCGGATACCCATTCCTGTGCGCGACTTTACCACGGAACCTAGACTCATCGTCATTCGGTCCTTCGATGTCAACAAGCCTGGTGCGGAAGTCGACGAGCTCAAGGGCGGTGTTGCGGGTGGATCCATCCTTACTGGCGTTCTGCGCCTCGGACAGGAGGTCGAGATCCGCCCCGGCATTGTCACGAAGGACGAGCAGGGACGCAACAAGTGCAAGCCGATCTTCAGCCGCATTGTCTCGTTGCACGCCGAGAGCAATCACCTCCAATTTGCTGTGCCCGGTGGGCTCATTGGTGTTGGTACTCGTATCGACCCCACCCTGTGCCGTGCGGATCGTCTTGTTGGACAGGTGCTCGGCGCCGTCGGAAAGCTGCCCAAGATCTACAGCGGTAGGTGCTTCCGTCTAGATTCTCTCGCAGTAATTGACACTTGGACGCAGAGCTGGAGATCAGTCTGTTCCTTCTGCGTCGATTACTCGGTGTCAAGACAGAGGACAAGAAGCAGACAAAGGTGTCGAAGCTTGTGAAGAACGAGCTCCTGCTCATCAACATCGGCTCGACGTCTACGGGAGGACGTGTGCTCAGCGTCAAGGCCGACCTCGCCAAGATTCAGCTGACGTCGCCCGCGTGCACAGAGGTCGGAGAAAAAGTCGCACTATCACGTCGTATAGAGAAGCACTGGCGGCTCGTCGGTAAGTCTTATCCTGACTTCACCCCGCTGGAGCTCCCAGTTACTCACAACCATCATCAGGTTGGGGAAGTGTGCAGCGTGGAACCGTCCTGGAAGTCGATTGAGCGCTATGTGTAGTGATGTGCATTTGTTATCTGTATCGTTAGAGTGTATCTCTACGTTGGCTGCTTTGACGACCGTCCTGACGAGTTTCATCGCGAGTGCCCATGGTCTTGAGTTCCACTATACAAGAGCAAGATGGCTATCATCAATATCAATGAATGCACAATAGATTATGGAGGACGTGAGTACTGCATGACAATCGAGTAGTGGATAGCGTTACGACAACACGGGACAAATGAGCAGTCTAATACCTGTGAAGCGGATAAATGCTACGACCGAAGCGAGCGATCAATGAGATCGAGTTCCTTCACATCAATGCCCTCGAAAGAGCGATTCTTTATGCGTCGCGTCTCCAGCTCGCGTTTCGCAAGGTATAGATGTAGGAGCTGGATGCAATCCTTGGCCTATCGCCGACGTCATTTTCAAAGGATCGTTCTGCTAAGAGGAGTCTGCTTACGACGATGTAGATGCCAAGTCCGATCGAGTTCCTCCACCTACGACCAGAATTCAGCATCACGTCAGCGAAAATACGAGTGCCCTACCAGACGGGGTCGCATTCTTCCCATGTCCGCGTGCCGCCACAGACGAGGTCAAGCGCGACCTTCAGCCCCGTTGCGACCTGCCGCATGTAGCTCATCTCGCCCCACGGCTGCGCTTCGAGCCAGCTGGCCAGCGTTGGAGGCACTCCGCCGCGCATCGGCGGGCGCACAGCGAGGAACCGCTGCAGCAACCGCGAGTGCCGCGACAGCCGGAGCAGGATGGCGCCCATGCAGTTTGCGATCGTGGGCATCATCAGCGCGCCGCTGATGAAACGACCGAGCGACGCGTTTGTGACGCGCAACGTGCGCTCGGCAACAACACCTGGGTCGTTGTCGCCGGCTTGCTCCTGGCCAGCATCGCCGTTGGCCGGCGCCTGCTCACCCTGCGCGGCCTGCTGATCTTGGTTGGCCGGATGCTCCCCATCGTTGATGTTGACACCTATGCGGGCGTGCCCACCGAGGTCCCAGATGACCTCACGGATGGTGTGCTGGGCGTTCGACGGAGTGCCCAATATCCAGTGCTTGAGCGTAGAGTAGCCCCGCCGGTAAAACGACGTCAGTATGGAATACGCTATGGTGATCACGATAGGCGAGGGTGGCCAGCCGAAAAGCGGGGCCGAAGGATAGACTGGAGCTTTCCGCACTAGCGGGTTCCAGCGCGCGGCCATCATACTCTGCGTTGAAGCAACAGGAGGCGTGGACGCCCAAGGGAGGAAGAGGGGAATGAGAGGTAGTGAAGTGAAGAAGCGAGTGCGGGATAGGATGAGGCTTAGAGGAATGAAGGGAAGATTGACGAAGGCGTGCCATGGCCAGTTGCTGAGGTCGTCAGTCAACAGGAGATCATACCTGGGCAAACATGGTCATTCAAATATACCAGACCCATGATCACTGGAAGCATGCGCATACATCTCCTTTCCAAGGAACACCTTCACTGCATAGGAGCCATACGCTGTGCAGACCACGTAGACTCCTTCCAGGAACATGCCGTCAACGGAAGATGCCATGTATATCGACAAGTCTACTACTCACCGAATCCAAACGATACCCCGATACCCACTATGCCGGCGACGCTAACAAACTTGCCGACGATAGATATGCTCTTGTTGACATTGTCTAGAAGTCTGAGGACAAATGGGTTGTGGCTCTCTAGCTCATACCTGGTGCCACATTGCGGGCATTTGAGCGCGTTCCCGGCCTTGGATGGATCCTGCTGAGCCGCTTGTATCCATTGAAGGAGACAAGACTCATGGGCGACGAGCGTGCAGCTGCAGGGATGCGTCCAAACCCTCGGCGGGTCTTCGGGATCTGCGGTAACGCGGGGCTGAGCGATCACTCGGAGCGGACAAGTCTCGGTGCGCACTGTCGTATCGCTCCTCTTCCCGACAAATGAAACATAGCTTGACCTGAAACAACTGTACTCAGTGGAAGTCCGTCGCGGAACTAGTCAAGAACAATACCCGCAGGTCGTCCACGGTCGGGACGTGGTGTTCAGAGTACATGGTTCTGGTTCAGACCAAGATGGACAGCGTCTGCATGAGGGAAACGGCATGCCACTCCAGACGCGCCTCAATTCACAAATGGAGACACGGAAACATTCAATTTTGAAACTGTCCACTAATTACACCATTTTGCAGGAAACAGACAGTGAGGGTTATCATAAAACTTAAGCGGAGACTACACTGGACGAGACAAGTTCCATGAGCGAAGCTGGAAAGGCTCTAGTGCTCATAAGGGGGTGTCTTTGCCCTGTCGTCATCCTTTTTAGGCTCATCCACGGGAGGCGTTCTCGCCCGGTCATCCCTGCGCTTTTCTGGAGTCGGGCTTCTGCGCCTCTCGGGCGTGCGACTCCTTCTCCTCCTGTCCCTGTCCCTGTCCCTGTCCCGGTCTACGTCCCGGTCGCGATCATCACGGTCCCGGTCCCGGTCTCGGTCGCGCTCACGCTCCTTGTCTCGGTCATTGCGATCACTGCGACGACGCGGACTACGGGAGCGGTCACGGTCACGACGGGGCGGAGGAGACCTCCTGTCGTAACGCCAGACCGACGAGGGGGGATTCTTTGCCCACTGCAAGAGGCGCGGTGACATCAGCCACTCATAGCCGCGTCACGGTTCAGACCGCACTCACCTGAATGCTCAGACGCGCACCCTCAAAATGCCTCCCATGCCTGTCGGGAGTACATCAGTACCTACGCAAAAGCCATCCACGTGGTACATACATGTCATAGTACGCATCTTCAGCATCGCGTTGGCTACGGAATTCGACAAAGGCATAACTGCGAGGGGATTCGAAGGGGACGTTGAGCGAGGATGCTTTCGGGCGGAATGCGGTACATCGAACGATCGAGATGGGTTGCGCTTCGTGTATACGGCGCTCCGCGGGCCATGACCAGGCCCATTCGTAAGTTGACTCGACGACAGCGGATAGAGCTCGGCAGGCTCGGACGGCGCATGTGGGTCGCGGGGGTTCCAGGCCACTCGACTAGAGCAAGGGGGTGAATAGCAGAGAGGAGATACTCACGGATTTGAGTTCGCGTGGGGGTTGCGAGGCGCCGGGACGTCGCAGCGAACTAAGGGACCATAGCTAAACGACAAGGGTCAGACTCTTCAATAATGGCACAAAAAGATTTGGAGAACAACCCACCGCTCAAACTCGTATGCGAGATCTCGCGCACGCGTTGTGGGTTGAAACCCACTCACAAACAGGATACGAGGCATGATTTTTACTAGAAGTCAGCGACGTGGTCAATGGGGCCGTCGTCGTCGAGATCAAAGGGGAACGTTAGTAGAGGGCCATCCGAGAGGGCGGAGTTGACTGGCCGAGTTTTGTCTTATTTGTCATGTGGCACGCGTCTTAACCTGACACCAGCGAGCCGTGTTGGCTGTACACGACGGTGCAGGACACAGCTCTGCCGGTGAGGAACAAGTTTGCCTAATTGAGTTGGCTTGTATGCTCATAAAATTCATACAGGCCGCTATTTCCCTTGTGTGCGGTTGGTTACGCAATAACTTTGTCGCGGTAGTGGACAGGGCTGCCAGTGAGTGGGCTCGGTCTGTCTTTACTGAAGAGTTCACTTAAACTGCATTCAGATGCATGTGGCGGAACGTTGGCCGCTTCAGCTGGACAAGGGCACATATCAACGCTGTTGATGACCGTGCACACCTAGCAAACAGTGTGCTACTTCACCGAGTTTACAGCCTCACAAAACTTTGCTGCAAGAAGCACAACGAACCCATATACGGAATTGTACAGAAATTCAACCTCATCCGCTCATTGGCCATCCATGATCGCGTCTTACGCAAAGTGGGGTTGTCCACACGCGACGTCTCGTTGTGGAGGCCTGTCACCCATACGATATCCTGGAGGAGGGCAGCCAGACGTTTGGAGCAGAGGGGCATCATTCTTCCTGTGCCAGATCTCACCAAGTTTCCTGGAGAGACACCCGTGGCGGAGCGACCTCAACCACCAACTTGGCTGGTACTCTACCTAATGTGCTATCACGCCAGACTGCCTGAAGACGCTCACGGTGTGCTGGCGCTAGCGTACTACCACTTCTCCGCCGCGCCTCCCCATCTCCGACCGCTCCTGATGGCCCTGGCAGCGGGCTGGCTGGCCAGATACAGGCAATTCGTTCACCTCGATCGCCTTGTTAAAGGATTCCTCGACTGGTCCTTACGCGCGCAGGTGCAGGATTTCGACTTCGCAGTGTGGCTTCAGCTCCTAGCGTATGTATCATCATCGAAGACCACAAGCGTAACGGTAATCATAATGCTGCGCGCCATGCAGTCGCGTGGTGTCAGTCTCGGCGAGAAGACGTACGACGCTCTGCTCAAGAGTCCATTCGCTACTCCTAATCTGGCAATGTATGTATTCTCACACATGCAGTCGTGCAAGTATCAGCCGACCGTCCAGCAACTTACCCGTCTCATCTCCTTGATCGGCGTGCATTGGAAACGGAGATGGCAACCGCACTTGCGCCTCCTCCACTTGCAGTTGGTCAAACGGGTACGAGCTAGCTTGTCGCCTGACATCAAAGCCATCGAGGCGCTTTACGTTCACTCTGAAGCTCGCCCCCGGCTGATGCATGGGTCTATCGGTACGTGGAGCCCCTATCTCCGCAGTGTCACACCCAAGGCAGAGCGGTCGTCCGCAGCAGGTGACACGCGCGATGGAGACGATGTGGCAACTCAAGAGCATGCAGTTGCCGCCCCCGTGCATTCAGAGGCAGAGGTTTCGGAACGCACCACTCCCGCTCTGGTTCTCTTTTCTGACAGCGTCAATACTCGCAGCGTTATCAAATGGAGAAGTCTCATGCGCATAGCAGCCTCCGACAAGTATGTTTCATCCTTGCAAATCCTTCGCGTGCTGCAGCGAGCACAAGTGGACCGCCCTATCTTGTCTTCCGACATGACAATTCGGCTATCCGCTATAGAAGGTCTCCTCCGTCGTAACGATTTCGCTAACGCACTTACTGTCTGGGACGAGGTTCGACAGCGTCCCTCGATGTGGTCGAAGTGGACCATTAGCGTCGGTGTTGAGACGCTTACCATGTCCGGTCACCCAAATCAAGCTCTTGCTCTCCTTGAAGATGTCAAGTCCTTACGTGATCCTCATGAAGGTTCCCCAACATTGATCGACACGGAGGCGATCAATGTCTTCATGACGGCCCTGAAACGCACGCGCCATCTGGACATGGTTTTTGCGTTATGGGACTACATGCAACCTCTGTTTGGAGTCACTCCCGATCGCCACACGTTGACGTCGCTACTCAAGACGGCTCGCTTGGCCACTCGGCTTCAGCCTTCGATGAGGGGTGCCCTTACAGAGCTGGGCCTTGGGCGACTCCTCAAACGGCCTGCGGCAGACATGCTCCCCGTGGCCGAGCAGGAGCAGCAGGCGTTTCATATAATGCACGAGATGCTGGCCCGTCATGAAAGCAGCACTGGGCTATGGCAAGGAGAGCGCGCTGGAATTGTTGCCCTCCGCCACACGAGGCGCATCCTCCTGAGCATCTGGCCCGAACTGCAGCACGTCGAGCCCCCTCCCGTCACAGCCCTGCGCCCAACCGGTGACTTCCAAGCCTCTTACCCCATTGCCGAGCTGTTCCGCAATGTCATGGGGCGTCCTGTTGCCACTTCGAACGCAGACGATGCGGGCGCGCGGACAGCGCCGTCGCCGGCTATGTCTCCCTACTCCCAAATCATCCCAAGCGATGGGCTTTTCCGTGCATACATCGACCTCCTCGCGACCGAATCGCAGGTGCCCCAGATCCCTCTTGTGCTGGCGTGGATGCGCTACCTGAACATTCGCGCATCACAGCACACCCTAGCCATTGCGCTGGTGTACTGGGCCGAGGTCAGCATGGATGCGCCATTCATGGAGCAGTGGAAGGGCGGAAGGAGCCAGTACGTGAAGCTGATCCAGTGGATGCAAGAGTGGGTAGGCCCCTGGCGCATGCCCACTGATGAGCATATCGGCATGCATATTCAACGGCTCAAGCGCTTCAGGGAACTGTCTATATCCAGACCCCAGTACGGGCGTCCGTAAGGTTGTATAGGATTAGAAAACATTTTCGAAGTCGGTCGCGCCTTGTGACCCTTGTGCTGTCGATGCACCATGTCGGACATGACCTGATATATCTGAGCTTGTCTAGGTGCTCCGAATATGGCTCTAGGTCATTATGAGGCTTTCCAAATTGCAATTGTGATACAACAATGGCTGAATCTGCAGGATACAACGTCGATAGAATACAGCAGTCTTCGTCTTCGTTAGATACGTCTGCCCTTTGCCGCGGCCTCTTTCTTCTTGGCCTCCAATTCTGCTGTCTTGGCTGTAGGTAGGGAGTATGAGAGATGCGCGTGAAGAGGTGAGGAGAGGACACACCCTCGGCTTCCGCCTTCCGCTTCGCCTGTGCAGCTTCGCGCTCAGCACGAATCTTCGCAAGACGGGCAAGGTCAATCTTGGCCTGTTCCGTCTGTCCTTGCTCGTGGAGCTAACAATTGCGTTATGCGATCAGGTCGCCCACAGGGACACAGGACAACATAGCCGACAAACCTTCCAGTAGCGTTCCTTTGCATCCTTCTTCTCCTTCTCTTCCCTGCGGAGAGCGAACATTGAATGTAAAACACGTTTAAAAGTACTGCACAGACATGCCGCGTACCTCTCACGACGAGTAAGCTCTCGTGGAGCAGAAAGGTCGGAAATGTTCATCTTCTTGCCTGCAGCAGTGTTGGGGTTTACAAAGAGCGGATCTTCCTCCTCCTCATCTTCGGCGTTCTGCTGTTGTTTCGCCTGCGCCTTCTTCTTCTTGAGTTCCTTTCTCTCTGCACGCGAGAGCTCGGGCTGCTGGCTGGCACCGCCGGCGGGCGCCTCATCAGGTTCCTCTTCAGACGACTCCTCGGACTCTTCTTCCTCAGATTCCTCCTCGTCAATCTCGCGCTTGTCTCGAGCAGCCCTAGGTAGCCACAGTCAGCCTACTCGCTACACATGCGGCCAAGACTGTTACCATCTGTCAGTTGCTACCGCAGTGCCGTTCTCATCAAGGGTAAGGTTTTTGCTTTGAACGAAATGGTCGTGATCAATGGCGCGCTCCAGGATGACGAGCGCTGTTAATTACCTAAAGCTGGGAGCAGAAGCCGATCAGTGCTTTCACTGAGTGATCCTGTGGCAGAACACATACTTTCGTCCTCCTCCACGCTTGACCTTGAAACCGCCTCTGGCCATGATGGTTTGAAAGCAAGAGTGGTGTGAATCGATGGAGGACGCGTCTCTTTACTTATCTTCCGGATTGACTCCTTCGGGCACGCAAGGCGCCGCCATTGGGACTTAAGAGCGCCACAAACCGCAAGTCACATGCGCTATTTCCCGATCAGGAAGGTCCTCATTGGTGTGCACCGTTACACCCCGACGTCGAACCAGCCATACGCGACGATGACTACCATCCCTGCCCGCCTCGCGCGCACAGCGCAGATTTCTGCCAATCCCGCCCAGGCCCGGCAGCGTGTAATCCAGCTCTACCGGGACTGGTATCGCGGCGTACGTCCCCGTCCATGGTAAGGCTGCCGACCTCGATCTAACGGCCCTGTAGGCACCGGAGATGGTTTCGCTCTATGCAATCCCCGTTTCTGTGCAGTATTTCCGGCAATGCATTCGCAGAAAATTTGAGGAAAACCGCTACGTCACAGATCAGCGCGTCGTCGATGTGCTCCTGCTCAAGGGCAGGCAGGAGTACCAGGAGACGATAAACCTATGGAAGCAGACGGACCATGTTATGGGGATTCTCTTGGAGACTCAATCAAGACCGCCGCGTTCCTTCCTGCAGAAGTTCTACGAGGGTGCGTACATATCAACGTGGTTCTGCTCCGTGGGCCTATTTAGCACTCACCGACCTGCAGGTCGGGACGAGGATGCTGTGCTACCTGCAGCTACCGGGGCAATACAGTAGAGCCCAACATACCTGAATCGCCTTCTACATGTTGCTTCCACAATGAAGGACTGTTTCATAACACACTCGGGATAGATGCAGAAATGATCTGAATGAGAGGGTCGATAGGCTCCATGACATATGACAAGTGAGTTTGACACGTGGATACATAACTAACAGTCGACGGGAACGTGTCCATGAGTATCGTGCACATATACGCTTCAATCAAGAATGCAAAGAGGGAGACAGTGGATAGCGAACATGTTATGAGAGGAAGTCGATGGGATCGTCATCGTCATTTGCAACGTTTGGCGGGGTTGGGAACATGGACAGGCGAGGCTGTAGGAATTTTGTGCCCTCTGGTGAGCAGCAGTAGCTTCTACACAAAAATCCAACTGACCTTTGGCTGCGGCTTATACTTACGTACAGTGCCCTTTGACAATTTGTTAGACGATGCGACATCATTCTCTTTATCTGCTGGACGCCTGTGCGACCCAGCATCAGCTCAGTTTTAGCTAGTTGTCTAAATGGAACCTACACTTTGGACTTGTAGGCATCTTCTGGTTTGGGTTTCCCAGTGTCCTTCTTGGGCTTCTTGGCACGAGAGGCATCTTCTCCTTCGGCTGTCTTCCTCTTGCGGCTACCTGGTGGCTGTACTGCAACATCCGCCAACACGCCTTCAGGGACTTCGTTCTGCTTCATCTTCGTCCGCTTCCGCGGTTCAGGATCAGCCTGTGTGCGACTTGGCTTATGTGTCTTCGCTTCTGCTAGTTGGCGTATTGTGCAGAGTGGCACATCGGAGCTTGAAGCATCATCCTCGTGAGGCGAGGGAGCTCTCGGTTTTGGCTTCGACCTCCTGGTATTTGCCTGCTTGACGACCTTGTTTGTGGACAGCGTCTCCGCATCCGTTGTGATGACACGGCCTCCTTTCTCCCGGTTAGCGGAACCACTCGCAGAACCACCCGATGCATTTTCACGCGGTTCGGGATCGTCATCCTGCGCAGGTCTGCCTGTACGGCCGCTGTTGGGCATGATTGCTGACCCAGAAGTCGACGGTCTTCGTTTCTTGGTCTTGACAGGATGTGATCCCTCGCGCTCCGACTCCTCGTTTTCTTCGGGAATGACAGGCAGTTTGCGTTTCTTCGGTGGGGCGGAGGATGGTTTCCGTTGCTCTGGTTCGTCATCTGTCTCTGACAGAACCGGCAGGTTGCGTCTTTTAGATGTCGCGGGAGGAGGGTCATCGGGCTCATAATTCTCTTCCGATGGGGGCGCGATAGGCAGCTTGCGCTTCGTCGTCTGGCGAGGCTTTGGAGGAGCGGACGAACTTGCTTTCTTCGCAACGGCTTTGCTTTCACCGTCATCGTCGCCTTTACGCGAGTTTGAAACAACCTTTTTACCCTTCCGGCTACCATTCACAGAGGTGGAGACGGGTGGAGGGTCCGCTGCCTTCACGATCTTGTTACGGGCCTTGCTTTTAGTCACTAGTGGGACGTCGTCGCTGTCATCTCCGCTTTCGGGCTCTGGAGGCTTCTTGGCTGGGCGAGCCTTCCTCTGTGCAGTAGTCTTCGACACCGTAGTACGCTTGGGTGGCTCCTCATCTGACGCGTCAGCGACAACCTCATCTGCGACTCGCGATTGTTTCTTCACTGCTCGTTTCTTCGGGGGCGGTTCTGTTGCACATAATCCCGTTGATGCGCAGTAGGAATGAGACAAAGTGTGACACTTACTTTCATTGGACGGGGGTGCTTGCTTCTTTGCCCTCGTACCCTTTACAGCAGGGCGTCGTGTTGAGGGCTTAGCAGATACAGCTTGACATAGTACCAAAGTTAGATCGTGTTCGAGCAATAATCATAGCAAGCTCTACTACTCACCTCCATTCTTAAGTCGGGCATCTTCTGCTACCTCCTGCTGCTTGGTATCTGGTTCGAGCGGGGACGTGTGTGAAGGACCTGCAAAAGACAGAATTCCGGTTAAGCTGAAATTACCCCGTGGGGGAACAACAGAGCCGCACCTGCACTGGGCTCTGCCTCGGGCACTGCGACGGATTCCTTCCGTTCTTTCGCGGTCGACTTTCTCCTCGCCTGGGCGATGGTACCGGCAGATTTCCTTCCCTTGCCCTTCGGCTTGGCTGATCGTGCGGGCACGTCACCGACCACGTCCTCATCAACGTCGGGGCCGGTGCGATGACCAGGAGTGGGAGACTCGCGAATGGCGACGAAGGATCTCCGACTTGCCCTTCGCCTTGCTTTCGACGGAGACTCTCCATCCACGCCTCGTGAGAGAAGAATGTCTAGCAAGGGATTGTGGGTTGCAGGCACGAATATACTAGTGCGCGCAGAGCCAGGTTCAGCGCTGTGGCTCGCAGGAGATACAACAGAGCGACGCACCCTCCCCTATCTCTATAGCGCGATTTCAGGCGTTCTATGCGCTTTGCGCGGCTGGCCTCTACTGTAGCCGCTTCCGCCATGGGGTGTGGACGACATTCGACTGAGGTCGTTGACCGCGGTGTCACGGACGTTGTGACACTATCCTAGCGCGTCTTGTCACGGGGCACGACGCAACCTGTCACGGGACACGATGCGTCGGTGTCACGCGCCCCCCACTGTCGCCCTCAGACTCAAAGACCAGACAGACGAATTCAGCCCGCCTTCTACTGAAATCTACTGCTTCATTCATTCCATCTGCTTGCAAGGTTTGATCCAGCTCTGCGGTCATCGAGCACTGTATTCTTCTCAACGTTCGAAGTTGAGAATACAACTACCAAATGCAGGTGGCGGGTGACAGCATGCGCACCCATGACGACGCCCCCATTCCCTACTCGGCCTGGTGCTGGTAGCACGCTCGCATATACCAGCTGACCATGTCCACGACGCTCGTCTTGGGCATCGCCGTTGCTACAGGCCTCCTCGTCTCCCGGACTTGTCGTGAGCCTCGCGAAGAAAGCCTCAAACAGACAGCATACATCCTCGAGAGCCAAGTCACTCATGCCAGATTGCTCCCAGAACCTTCTTCTCATGCGTTTTCCTACTCGACCCTGTCTTTCCTCTTGTCTCTGAACAGTCTGGAGTCGCATGAGCTCGACCTCTGGCGCGGCTGGGTCTTTGGCTACGACGGGCTCTTCTTCCGGCTCACAGGCCTGCGTCCTTCCGCATACTTGACAGATGCAGGTGGACCCGCATGCAGCATTCGGGAGAAACTCCTAGGCGTGCTCGCGCAGAGGGGGCACGATCCCCTGCGCTTTCGCGACGCGTGGATGATGTCAATGCCGAGCTACCTGGGCTTCGAGGGAATTAATCCGCTCACGGTCTATTTTTGCTATGACGGTAACGATAACCTGTGGTTGGTGGTGCTGGAGGTGATGAACCCCAATATGTTGGATGTCGCCCTCTGATGCATTGTCATCGTAGGTTCACAACACCTTCGGCGAACGACACGCATATACTCTAGAGATTGGCCGTGCAGAAGATGCATCTCCCGCTACAGGGTAAGTTTCGCCGCTATATGCAGATTGTGCGACAACAACGGTGCCGTGTAACTTTCCAGATTCTCCCATCAATGGACCTTTCCGAGACGATTTCACGTTTCGCCCTTCAATGATCGTTCAGGATTCTATACTGTGGCAGTTACTCCGCCTTCCCATCCTCCCCGCAACAGCCAGACAGACCCAGAAAGATTACATGACATGTCTCTGCCAGTAGTCCGCATTCATCTCCACACGCCGGGTCCAATCGAAGACGTTCCAGGTGCATTGAAGCTGACAGCAGTCCTCCGTGCCCGCAGCGCTTCTCCTCTAATGACTCGAAACCTGCTCACTGCTCTAGCAAAGCGGCCGTTTGTCCTGCTACTGTCCATGGCGAGGATCCTGTATCATGCGTGGGTTCTGCACTACAAGAAAATGCTTGACGTGTATGTACGCCCGGAACCGCACCCGGCGGTGCCAGGCTGGGGTGCGATCGCGGGCCCTGACATAGGGCCTCTGTTGCCACCCAGCGGAGGTGTAGGCTGGCAGGCGGAAGCCATGCTGGACAAGTACGCTAGATCGCGTGTGGAAGCGTTCCTCCGGCAAAGAGTAGACGAAGTCGGGATCAGCGTCACTCTAGTGTCAGCAAATCCCTTGTTTGCACCTCAAGTGTTCTCGCCCATTGGGAAGACATCAAGAGGAGAAGCCACCGAGCGTGACAGAAGTGCGGCCCTCACAATCTGGTATCTCTCGCCTCAGCTCTTTGTGACGCTCTTGCTCGCACCGTCTGCCGCCCACACGTTACTCTTGGGGTACCACACAGAACGGTTCTTTGTCCCCAGCTCTCTGTCTCTATTTGCCGCGGTCTTCGGAGCGCATGGCGGAGACAACTCACACGATACCGCTCCCGTTCTGACTGTCGCTCAGCGCATGAGAGCGAACGCTATTCCCCGCGAGCTTATGGAACTTCCTGGCTACACCGTGCCAGCTACGCATCCACTCGATCCGCCTCCCTCGCATGCAGTCCGGAATCTGCTCAATATTACAGTTATTTGGGCGGTGCTGGCATTAGCACGCGTTGAGAGACTGGTATACCGGCTGAGCCGAGCGAGGTTCGTGCGCGGAGAAGAGCCTTGGGGCCGGTGGGATCGTGCGCTTGATGCCGTAAAATTACGAGAGGCTGTGGGTGTTGACGCCGGCGGCTCAGTCTGACTGTCGAGATCACATAGGCGTACAAACATCCAGTATGTCATTTCTCATGTATGCGTTTGGATGTTTTAATAGATTACAGTTCAAACCCATGATGAAGTGAACACATTTGTATGTAGGTTTGCTTTTTGACTGGACGGTAACGCTGGAATTGGCGCCCCGATCTGATCTCCACCGGCGATATCACGCAGGAGTTAGCACTTACATAGGAGTTAGCACTTAGCGGTGGCTGCACAGCTATCTCTGCGCAACGACTCCCCAAAGTGCTATCCGCACTTACCATCACATACGATGTCGACAAGCGAAGCCGGAAAAGCTAAGCAGACTCGCAAGCGACAGCGACTGAGTTGCGTTGAATGCACAAAGCGCAGACAGGTGCGTCATTGAGTTGTATAGTACCATCACGTACGTCCCTGACGAGACCCCAGAAATGCGACAGGCAGATCCCTTGCGGGCTCTGTATCTCTCGCGGAGTTGCGCACCTGTGCCGTTGGGAACCTATTGTGGTCCGACCGATTCCTCAGCGACCGCCAGTGGATGCCACCCAGTCTGTGCCTGACGCGGAGAAGATCCAGGCGCTTTCTTCTCGCATCGCGGTCTTGGAGCAGATGCTTCTTGGCCAGAACGTTGCTCTCCCCACGGGGCAAGCTAGCAGCCGTGAGAGCAGTAGCGGCAGCGGAAATTCATTGACACAGTCGTCTAATGATCCAGAGTCCTTAGAGAGGCAATCAGCAAGGCAGAATGCCATGGCGGCACCCTCACCTGACACGACTATTGGAGGTCCACATGCTCTGTATGACTTCAAGGTGCAAGCCGCCGCTGTTGCTTTAGCACAACTATCCCTTGCACCTCGCGACGAATACGTTGGAGGAGGCACCATACTCTGTGCCCTGCACAAGGTATATACGATTGCCTTTCCGCACTCTTGGTTTCACTAACTCACGCCTTGCAGATGGGCGACCCCGAGACGTGGCGTTTCCCATTTTCCCGCTCCGCTTCTGTGTACGCCGCCTCATCGGGTTCTTCACAGCCCGATATGCATCCCATGGCAGTACCCATGCGTGCATTGGTTGCAAACATGCCCCCGCGTGCCATCATCTACTCGCTCCTCGATACGTTCTTCGCCGCACGCAACTGGGAGTTTGGCTTGCCTGAGGGCTGGGTGCGCCGCAGCTGCAACACCATGTTCTCCTACCTCGATAGGCGGTGCCCGGGCACAACCTGCCGCTTTCCCGGCATATGCACAGCGTGCAACGAGATTATCAACCCGCACTGGATAGCCCTGCTCTTCGCCATACTTGCACTCGCTCCTGCGCCTGCGGCAGGGGTCACGGGCACGGACACTATCGACCACGCGGCGTATTTCACCCAGGCCCTCACCGCGAAGCGCCTGGGCGAAGACATCCTCCTCGCGGTCCCCGTCTACTGTATGTCTGAGAAGTATGTCCAGGGCGCGACACACAGTTGCATCGCCGCTGCACTGCTCTCCGCGTACCTCGCGGACCGCGGCCGCATGAGTGAGGCGTGGAAGGTCGTCGGATACGGAATGCGCGTCGCGCAGGCTATGGGTCTGCACCGAGACCCGTGCTGGCGCAAGTGGGACCATATGAGCAAGGAAGAGGCGGAGATGCGCACGCTAGGGTGGTGGCTGCTTTGGATGCGTGATCGGTAAGTGTCCCGTAACGTTCATTGGCGTAAGTGCTAACACCGCATCATATTCATAACCAGGATCTATTCTTTTATCCTCGGCCGACCGACGATGGCCCCGAAGGACTCTTTTGACGTGACGGTGTTGCCTGGCCTTACGCATGGTGATGGCTCGCCAAATCCACATGCACCTTTTTTGAAGGCCTTCATAAGGCTTTGCGAGGTCATTGGCGATGGTGCCGACAGGGTGAGTAACAAACATCTCTATTTCAACAATATCCTAACCAATATACGCAGTGTCTAGGCATCCGTCCACCTTCACTCGTTGATGTTCTCGACGTTGACCGCACTTTCCAAGTATGGCTCACAGATCTCCCGTCGCAGCTTCAATGGCGGTCTGATACTTACCTTTCTTCTACTGCCTCCCCTCCACCATCCCGATCATCGCTACATCCACCCTTCAGTGCCACAGAACTCGCTCTCCAGCATCAACGTGAGATGCTCGCGGCGTATTACCTCGGTGGTCTCATGAACATGCACCGCATATATCTCATGCAACCGCCCCCGTCGCCAGCCGCCACTGCAGGCAAAGCACAGCGCTCGCCTAACCCCTGCCGTGAGGCGTGCATCACGCTTGCGCTCGAGCTCGTCCGTGTTCTCGTTGCCTCACCGCTCACTGCCGCCTACCTTGCCGCGCTCATCCCGTCCAACACCACCGGTCCATCGGAGATGATTCCGCAGCCGTTGCATCTTTTCCACCGCGCGTACTTCCTCTTCGACGGCGCGGTCTCGCTCGTCGGCGCCCGGGCCCAGACGCCGCCACACCCGCTCGAGGAATCGTGCCTCGCGCAGCTCAGGCGCGCGCTGCGCATCCTCCGCGCATGCGCTGCTTCTGCAGACAAGCAGAACACGTTCGACGGGCTGGGCGAGACCGCGCGGCGGGCGGTCAGCGTACTCGAGGCGCTCTGGCGCGCGGTGGGCGCGCGCGCAGGGGACCCGCACGAGACGAACGACAATGCTCGACAGCCACCTGCCCCTCCGCCGCAGTCGAGCACATCATCCCCTTCGGCCCCTCCGCCATCTGGCGACCGCTTACAGCACCCCATGTCGCTCTCCCCGTCTGGCTTTGCAGTAGCAGAGATGTCCCCGTTCAGCACTCAACCCATTGAGTCGAACGTGCGTGCCTGTCCGCTTTATGACTTCTTTTCGCCCTCGTCTTGCCCAGAGCCTAGCACAAGCACGCAAGCATTTGATCTTGGGTCCGACGCTGCCGCGGCCGCGACTGTCTCAGCCGATACTGCCCAGCCCATTTCCAACGACGCTTCCTTGCCTCTCCCATGCCCTGATTTCCTTGCATTTATGGCATTATTGCAGACTCCTGACGCATCGTGCAATCCTTTCGCTTGGTCTTCCTCCACCGCCAGTGCGCTTGATATGCATGGCGTAGAACCCCTACTCCCTATGACACCTTTTGACATGTTACAGTTCATCAGCAGTGGCGGAGAGACCTCAATGAACCCCTGGCCAAGTGCAGGCAGCGGTGACTACACTGAAAATGAAGGAGTTAGCGGTCATACACAATACGATATAGGCCATTAAAATTTGCGCTGTAGAGTGTGTCCATGGCTAATTCATAAGTCGTGACTCGAGCCATAGCAATCATGCCATATACCTCAAGTTGAACCTACATACAGGAATACATTCACATGATACCTTGCTCAGCAGCTAGCACCGATAAGTCCATTTTGAAAATCATGACTAGCAAGGCAATCTCGGCAAGTCCGACAACGGTAGTCACAGACACAACAACCCAGCCTGCAGTAATGAACGGGCGACCAAACACGCGCTTGCCGGACTGCCCAACGGTCGGTATGGAGCGTTCCCACGTACGCCCCTTGTGGTGGTCGGCGAAGTCGTGGCGCGATTGACGGTGCCGCCAATAGGAAATGACGTAGAGGAGCGCGGACAGGATGGCGTACACGATGCCGACTGGGTTGAGTGTTCAGGGCGGTGCGGACAGAGAGGGGACGGATACTCACTTTGTGCGAAGCGCCTGTCGAAGAGGCGCAGGATGGTTAAGGAGTAGCCCAGGTCGGCGAGTGCGCCCCTAGCATATGCGCCGTCGAATGTCCGCTGTCGCGCGCGCAGCTCAACTGAGTCGAGTGTCATCAAGACTACTGTGTGAATGAATGCTCGGTACACTCACGCAACTCAGGCTCATCATTGCTCTGGATGTAGAATGCATCAGAGCGGTGGCCACTGTCCCCAAGCAAGCTGTCAATGCGCCGAATTCCTCATCGATGGATGACATGACGCACTGGTAGAACCGGGCAGCTTTAAGTTCTTCGCACTGTCCTTCTTTCAAACTCATACTCGTAACGACGCACAACGTGCGGATGGATCGTGTTCAGCAGTCGAAAAACCGGGGATGAGAGACTGAACAGCCATCGGATATAGAGCGCATGTTTTGCAAGAGCTGCTCCAGTCAATTCGGAATTGAGAGGAAGAAGCGTGATGTTGCCCGGCGCCATGATGCTACCATGATACAGCAGCCTAGAAAGGAGAGCAGATCCGAATTCGCGGGTTCAAATGGGAGAACATGACCGCGTCTTCAGCGCGTCTGGAGTAACACCTAAATACTACCACCCGATTCCACAATGCGTGCGTTCCTACCACACTTCATGACCGGGTACCGTGAATGGCGAAAGACATCGAGCCGAGGAACCTGATGCACTTGCCAAGGCAAAGTGCTTGCGAACTTCCCACAGGTACTCTGGTCTGCAGATTCATGTGGACATAGATAAGCTATGCGGCAGTTCTGTTTCCGTCTTCCTCTCGTCTCTACTTTCTCAAGCTTAGGAGGCGATCATGTCAGAGACGATAGGCACTGTCGACTTCCCCTACGGTAGCGAGACCTACAAGACATGGTTCAAGGTCGTCGGACACTTACAGTCCAGCAGACCGCCTCTGGTGATACTCCATGGAGGGCCAGGCATGTCGCACCACTATATGCTCCCTCATGCAGACCTCGCGTCCCTCCACGGCATTCCCGTCGTCTTCTACGACCAGATAGGCATAGGTGATTCGACTCACTTACCCAACAAGCCAAATGAGTTCTGGACCGTCGAGCTCTTCATGGATGAGCTCGACAACCTCCTCTCTGCGCTTGGAATAAGTGACAACTTTGACCTACTGGGAAACTCTTGGGGTGCTATGTTGGCCGGACATTACGCTGCTGCCAGGCACCCGCCCGGGATGAAGCATGTTGTCATCGCGAATGGCGGCGCATCTATGGAATTGTGGCAAACTGGTACACAGAAGCTGTTGGAGAGAATGCCAGATGATGTTAGGGCCGTGATCGAGAAAGGGGAAAGGGAGGGCAAGAGGGATACTAAGGAGTTTCAGGATGCAATGTCAGCATACAACCACAAGCATATTTGCAAAGTCGTACCATGGCCCGCCGAGCTCGTTAGGTCATTTGCGGCGACGGACGAGGATCCCACAGTGTACAGCATAATGTACGTCTTTGCGAAGTCCATTGATAACAATGGATCAAGGGACTGAGCGCTCGTCTTACACTTCACAGGATAGGCCCATCCGAGTTCAACGTCGAAGGTACTCTCCGCACCTGGTCCATTGTGGACATCGTGCATAATATCACCGCACCCACCCTTCTCATCAACGCACGCGACGATACCGCCCAGGACATTGGCCTACTTCCCTTCTTTCGCCAGGTCGCACGTGTCAAATGGGTGCAATTCGCGCGCAGCTCACATCTGCCCTGCTTCGAGGAGAAGGAGAGGTATCTCGATGTCGTAGCTGACTTCCTGATTGAAACCTGACACTTGTACAACCGTTATCTACGGTGTGACGGGGCGCTTGCTCTCCTTGAACTGCAGTGGCTTCGCGAAGAGTGCGTGTGACGATCTCAGGTGACGTCTATCGTTCATGGGACTTGTCTTCAAAGCTTTAGTCGTTTGTGCTTGCGAAGCTGTCGTTCTCTATCTGCTTGATAACGATACGAGCAGAATCACTCGATTTTCGCTATCTTTCATACATAAGATGTCTGCTGCCTTTGGCCATCGACGATACCTATTACCCACGTCTTCCGACAATGGCTGGGGCAGAGCTCGAATTCGACATCATCGTAGCTGGCGGTGAGTCCTGTGCTCTCGCCCAGAGAACCTACCTACCGTTCCTGCAGGTGGAACGACAGGCTGCGTAGTCGTTGGGAGACTGGCCGCAGCAGACCCCTCCCTCAGCATCCTCATCCTCGAAGCTGGTCCGCCAACACATGAAGATCTTGCACACGTCCAGCCCGCCCGCTATCTGACTCACCTCCTTCCCGGTAGCCAGACCGTAAAACGGCATGTCGGGAAAGAAAGCACGGACGTTGGCGGTCGCGCTCAAATTGTTCCGTCTGGACATTGCCTCGGCGGCGGATCGAGCGTCAACTGTAAGTGGGCCGACTGTCCCTCGCTGCGGGATGCTAGACACCACTTGCACAGTCGCCATGTACGCCCGGGCCGCGGCCTCCGACTACGACGACTGGGCGAACGTCTATGGCAACCCGGGCTGGGGGTCGGAGGATCTGTTACCGCTCCTGCGCAAGGTAAGTAGTATCCTGCATTTTTGCGGACGGTCAGGCATCAGAACGCGCTCCAGGCAGAGACATATCAGCCGCAGATTGGCAAGGAGACACACGGGTATTCGGGTCCCCTGAAGGTCTCATACGGGGGTCACTTTACCAACGTGGGCCAACAGTGGCTTCAAGTCGCAACCCAGTACGACAAGGAGCGGACCGTGACGGACGACCCGAACGACCTGCATACTTGCAATGCGTATGGCGTGAGTGCCTTCTGCAGTGTCAACGGTCTGAATGTTCACTGAAGGTATATCGGCCCGGCAGAGATGGGAGAAGTAGGTAGCCCACCTAGCTTTACTGGGTGACTATGCCGATGTGCGATATTAGGTGGATCGACGCCGAGACCGGAAGGCGTTCTGACGTTCCGCACCATTACATATATGACCGCGGTCTGAGGAACTTGACTATCATGACTGGGTGGAATGTGAAGCGAGTATTTATCGAGTGAGAATCAAGGACCTTTGCAATGCCTGAGGCTTCGCTAACTCATAGTCGAAAGAAACTCCCGAGCCGTCGGCGTCGAGTTTGTACCCAACAAACAGCTCAACCCAAACACAACGCAGATGGTGCACACCGCGCGTGCTCGGCGGATGGTTGTGTTGTCTGCTGGAGCGTTCGGCTCCCCTGCCATCCTGGAGCGCTCGGGGATAGGCAACGCGAAGCTGCTCCGGGAGCTTGGGATCGAGTCTCTTGTCGACCTTCCCGGTGTAGGCGAGAATTATCAAGGTAATGAGCTAACATTAAATGCCATTCTCTGAATGATAGGCTGACCGCTTGAATACAGACCATATCGTGCTATTCACCCCCTACCATGTGGCTGATGAAGCCGAGACTTTGGATGGGATCGTTCGGAGCGAGGAGTCTGAGCTCAACAGTGAGATCATGGCTAGGCCGATAGCTGCGCACAGTCTGACCAGAGCTCAGAGTGGTCTGCCCAGTGGCTCAAGGACGGCTCCGGTCTCATGGCACACAAGTGAGGTAGCATCCGCTTTCTGCTGGCGAAAACTCACCCACGATGTCAGTGGTATCGACGCCGGTGTGAAATTACGGCCCTCGGAGCGGGAGCTTGCGATCATAGGACCAGAATTTCGGCAGCTGTGGTCCGAGTACTATGCGAACGCTCCTGACAAGCCTGTCATGTGGCTCGGAATATTGGCACAGTGGGCATTCCGGATACTCGAACCAAGTTTACCTCGCTGATAAATCATAGGTACGTCGGTGATCCTTCTACTGTCCCGGCGAGGAAATATTGTTGTGCAGACTATTTCCTCGATTATCCGGCTTCCATAGGCTATGTGCACATCACATCCACCGACGTCGACGCCCCGCCTGACTTCGACCCCAAATTCCTCAGCTGGTACGTGTTTCCCCGTGCGATTGAACTCGTCATAGCGTTGCAGAGCAGCTATTTTCACAGCCCAGAGGACCTCGCATTACTGAGGTGGGGATACAAGCATGGGCGTGAGATTATACGCCGCATGCCGCTTTACGAGGGCGAATATGCTCCTGCGCATCCTGCATTCTCGGAGGAAAGTACTGCGGCATGTAGGCTCCAGAGGGCTCCTGCGGCGATCGGCGACCCACCTATTGTCTACACTCCCCAGGATGATTTGGCAATAGACAAATTCGTGCGGGAGAATGCTGGCACCACCTGGCACTCGGTTGGTATACCGCAGCATATGCATGCATGTGTGGCGTACTGATCATGCGTGGTGCACAGCTTGGCACCTGCGCCATGAAGGCACGAGAGGGAGCAGGCGTTGTAGACTCTCGGTTAAACGTCTACGGTGTGCAAGGATTGAAGGTGGCTGGTATGGACGCGTGACCCTCAATTGCAGCGAGGAACCTGATATGGAGTTCCCTCTTCAGACTTATCCATCGCGCCCGCAAACGTATCTGCGGTAAGTTATGCAAGGACATTGGATCCGCTCGTTGGTCTGAATGTCCATCGTCAGAATACTTACTCAACTGCAGTCTTGATCGGCGAAAAAGCGGCCAATCTCATAGCAGAAGAGCTCAACATATGCACGGTTTGACGCAAGTTCATCAACAGTGGTTTCCCTATTTCTGTGAATCAGTTTTGGCCGTTTTACAAGCTGTTGAGCTCCGTTATGCATCATATAAAGTGATTGGGGAGTTCCCTTTCAGATCCCACAGAGTGCGTCCGAGCTCGATATAAGAGACCGTCTGTGGGCACTGGGTAAGTGGGACGCATACATATATGATTATTTCCGGCTTGGTCCTTGTACGATGGGACTACACAAGAAGGGCGATCTCGTTGACCCCCGCCTTGATATGTACGGTGTCAAAGGATGCCATCGAGTTAGCCATCAAGAACGGCTAATTCTCGGCATCACAGCAATTCGATCCCGATCTGATGGAGGAGCGCAAACATATCGATCGCTGCGAAAGTCTCCGCACTAAGTATTCACCGTTCGGAATGCATATTATAGGACATTGATCTTACCCCTACAATTTTGATGATTGGCGAGAAAGAGGACATGATCATCAAACAGAGCTTTGGGTTCTATCCTGTATGTGACGGGTCCCCGCAATAGCTCGCGGCTTTGGCTTTAAATTATGAGTGGAGGAGACTCGTGTTGGATCGCGACGATACCATATTTCATTATGCGTACAGAGTAGAATCCGTGTGTTACAGAGCACATACAGTGATCTTGTTCCAGAAAAACAAGGTCACCATGTTATGAAAAAACACGCACCCATGGCGGCTTGGCCTATAATTTATTGTGAAAGTTCGCTTATGCACGCACGTACGGCTTCACGATCAGCGGCAGCTGACTGCCCTTCTCCATCTCGCTCTTCACGAACGGCCGCTGCACAATCGCCTGCTTCTTCGTGATCTCGCTCGTCGGCACCGCGTACTCGAACTCGAACGCGCGCACGAGCACAAAGACCAGCGCCTTCATCCTGTCGCCCCTCCATCAGCACACGCGAAACGCGAGACGCCACGACACGCAGGAAGACTCACTCGACGAGAGAGAAGCGGTAGCCGATGCACGCGCGCGGCCCGCCCAGGAAGCTCATCATGTGGCTCCATACGCCCGGCATGTGTTCCACAGGCTCCGGGATCGCCTCCCACCGCTCCGGCCTGCAGCACGGACACCGTCAACGCCGGACCACACAGCGCGAACGCAGGACTCACTTGAACTCGAACGAGTCTTCGCCCCACAGCTCCTTCGAGCGGTTCATCGCCAGGATCGGGATCAGCACCGGGCTGCCCTTCGGGATCCTACCGCCCGCCAGCATCAGCATCAGCATCCGCCACCAGGCTCGCACACCGACGGGCGAACGGATCCAACTCACGTCACGCTGTCGTGCACCTGCCCGTGTCTGTCCGTGTACGGCTTGCCGAGCGGCACGACCTCGTCCTTCGCCGCCACGCGGATGGTCGCCGCGACGGGCGCGTGCAGGCGCATCGTCTCGCGCACGACCATATCCAGGTACGGCAGCTCATTCAGCTCGTCCATCGTCGGGTTGTCTGTGGGCCACGCCAACAGCTCCTCGCGCAGACGGGCCTGCACGTCCGGCGCGCCCGCCAGCGCATACAGGCACCACGCCGTCGCGTTGCTCGTCGTCTCGTGTCCGGCGACCAAGAACCTGCACGATCTCAGCGATCGCGTCCAGCCGCAGGCAACAGGCAGCAGGTAACAGGAAACATGCACTCACGTGGGGACCTCTGCACGGGCACGGGCACGGGCGCGGCTGTCAGCACAAACACACTGCGCACACGGCCAACGGGGCACTCACGCGCCAACACGTCCTCGTCCGACAGCCGCTGGTTCTCCGGGATGTCCGTGCTCATGTTCGCGCGCATCAGCAGCGTGAGCAGGTCGCGGCTGCGCAGCGCGTCCTTCTCGCCGTGCTGCGCCGCCTTGGCGATCTCCGCCTTCTTCTCCGCGATGAGCTGCAGGCCGATGCGGCGCGTCACCTTCTGCGCCGCCGCCGTGCGGCGCGACACTCTGTCGGGCTGTGGGGCAGGGAGGCAGAGACACGGGCGTCAGCTCAGCGCGGCTGCAAGAGGGGAGAGGGCCGGGGGACACGCACAATGACGCGCAGGAGCGGGACGTACGCCTTGAGCATGCGGATGAAGCTGATCTGCGAGCCGGAGAGTGCCTGGAACATCACCGCGAACGCGCTGTTGAGCTCGTTCGTGCTCCCGTCGACGCTCAGCGACCCGAGCTCGTAGTTGAAGCCTGGCGCGGGCGCGGCGCGTCAGCACGGCCGCGGTGTGGGGGGGGGGGGGGTGGGGGGGGCAGACGCGGAGGACGCACCTGCGAGGCCGATGACGTCGAGCGTCGCGCGGCTCAGCCCTGCGTGCACGTCGATGCGCGCGGGTGCGCCGTGCTTCTCGAGCTCGGCGTTCCACATAGTGCGCAGCTGTGCGCGGGGTGGAACGCGAGAAGTGTCAGCAAACCAGAAGGAAGAGGGGCACAGGGAACGTCTCCGATAATCCAACTGAAAGCAAAGCATGCGAACGCGCGTCACCGCAGTGAGGCTTTGCGCTCATGTATCGGAAGCATCCCAGAGCACAAATATTCTCGCGGTAGACGATAGCCCTGCAGAACAAATACACACCTCATAAGCCTTCTCTACAAACACCTCGGTCAACCCGCGGATTTGGGCGGGACCGAACGCAGGGTTCTGTGCGGGACTGTGAGCCAGCGTAGACATATCCAGGACTAACGCTGCGGACATACCAAGATCCGACGCTTGATGTGCGGGATCGGAAGGTCAGCATGCTCCATCTGTACACAAACGATCGACCGACCTGTTGGCGGTGCTGTTCGCCTATGCCGTGCAAAGAACAGCACATCAGCGGATGTCATGATGGCCGTTTCAGATCGATGATCACCTTCGACCACCAGCAAACCTGCAGGAGGGGCATCGTTAGCAAACCATGCAACACTCGGGGAAAGCGAGATAAGCACACCCGCTCCTAGAATTTGGGACAGAGACCAACGGGCCAAGGGAGGCTTCGGAAAGTCGTACGAATGAGTGAGGATGTGGTTCATTGCGCGCATGTCGATTGTGTACACCCTGTCGCGCTGCGATGAATGTCAGCGTCATTGTATGTTGAGTAGGACAAGTTCCTGCGCACACTGAACCATCCCTTGTATTTGAGGGTCGTTCCGTACTCTTGCACCCATGCCTCCTGCTTGACGCTGTTCTCGGCCTCGGAGATCTCCTGCAGGTTGCCGTACAGCCAACTGGGGTTCGGCGGGCTGGGCAGGTCGCGCAGAGGCGACGTGAAACGCTCAATCACAAAGAAGTAGAGCACCTTCCACAGCGCGTAGGCGGCAGCGGCAGCGCCGAGCGACCACAGGACGAGCGGACTAACAAACGCGGACATCGCGATACGCTAGAGGTTGAGCTTAGTGGACGGGTGATCAAGATGAAGGGTAAGGTTAAGAAATAAGGTCAATGAGGCTAGTGCGGGGCTGATAGCGCGTACGGTCGTTTATATGTCGCGCCCCGCGCGAGACCTACACAGCTGCTATATTCAGATTCCGTGATGTTCGGAATTCGCACTGAACGTGCCGCGTGACGGACGCGTCCTGCGGCGAAGCACATCGCTGAGCAATGAGGAAGGCGGAGAATGGATCTCCCGGAGAAGCCGAGGCTTGAGCCTCTCCATGAAAGTCATCACGATTGCCCATTGCAACTAGAGTGTAATGCACGACACGATTCATCCGTAAAAAACGAGGACGTCTGATGCGGGAAGCAAAACAAAAATGGGATCGTTTTGTATATCAGTTAAACATTGATAGACCTACCGGAGAACATTGGGCGCAAGTCGGCAAAATATCGTCGCAGTCATAATTTACCAAATCAGGCTGTTGTTTCCAGGGTCCGCTCGGTCCCACCTCAAGTCCGATTACGCACACATCGAGTTCAGCCGGTCTGACAATGACATGGATCAGATGGTACCATGGGCAATGATCACTTGCATCCTCACCTGGCGGCGGCGTCCTTGTTATCGTTGTAATCTCCGTTACCAGCCCGGCTTTTTGCAAGCAATAAACAACAAGGATAAGAGAACTTAGAACCTTATCTGTTCAACCTGTGGTTTCCATCATGACGAGAAGACTACGCATTGCTGTGAGCAGATCCTGCCGGCCGACTCGACGCGAGCTGACGCTCACGGCAGCGTCTCGGTCCGGAGCTCCCCGCTGCCAAACCGCCTGCCCATCGAATACTCATTTGCTGCCAACACTTCGTAAGCTCTCAGCGGCGCTCCTAAAAAGTCGGAATCGTGTTGCGCTAACACGGTAGTACTTACTCATCCGTAGCTCTGGTCAAGGACTTGAAGCAGCAACTTCTGCCCCATCCTGCGACTTATGGTAGACGTGCTGCTCTGCCATTCGGGTCACCGGCGGCGACTCACAGACAAGGATGTGTTCTCATTCGTCAGTACTATGATGCCAATGCGCAAGGGACTGCATGGTTCAGCCGAATGCACATGTATACGGTTGGCGGGTGGGCGCAGGTCTAACTTCGTGCCTCAGCCACTGATCGGGTCTTGCCGGGGTCCTCAGAGTGACTACGTTGTAACGTCTAGTGATGGTAATGGTCTATATATTTTCCCATTATCGATACTGTGTGTGATATCCGCGCTTATATCATGCTTACACAAGATACCTTTGGCAAGCAAATCATCCATTGGAATACCAAAATGGAGTATGTACCTAAGACCGTTATCATGATAAGATGGCTGAGCATATGGTATCAAGAAATAATTGGGTTGCGTTTACTTGGCGTGTCGTACACAACTTAATGTGCCAGCCTGTATATGTGCAACTTTACTAATATTCTCAAGCACATCATGATGCACAATTACTATGGTATTTGACTGGCTATATTTACTCAAATTGTACTTTAGAAGGAGAACGTACAAGGCTAGAGGGAGATATATATGGAGTTGAAAGATGTGTATATTTACAGACTCGAAGCAGGACCTTACGTAATCGGACATTGGCATAGTACACTTTGCGCTGTCGCACCTCAAGCCTTCAGATCTCAGTGCTTGCATATTATTCCTGAGAAGCGAGTAACTCATTTATTTGTATCATATGGCGCGAATACTGCTCATACCTTGAGAATATAGCATAGGTCTCCAAGCATCTATCACTCAGTTATGGTTACATAAGCGCCCCATCTCCCATGCCGCCGATGCCGTCGAGCAGAATTCAGCCCTTGTTTAGATTACGTAATGGTCTGTCTGAGGCTCTGTCACGCTGAGATCTATCACGGGGTACCACACGAGGCAGGAACCCATATTTAGTTACCATATCTTGACCTGCGCCCACCCGCCAACCGTACATGTAGACTATAATCAGGCAAGTCCGAAATTCTCGGAGAAACCAAGGCGATCTGACAATTCCGAACGACATGCCAAGGTATGACTAGCGTTCTCGTACCCACTAGCGGCAGAAGGGCAGGCACATACACACGACGAATATGGCACGCTCCACCTTGCATCCGCACTCTCCCGCACAAGGCTGCACACACGACTACGCATCACGCGCGTGCGTACGCCTTGACGAGCGGCGGCGGCTGCGCACCCCTATCCATCTCGTCGCACAGGAACGGGCGCTGCGCAATCATCCACACCTTGCGGATCGGCACAGCGAGCTCCGGGCACACGTCTCCGAGCAGGCCGGAGCGGCACCCATTGCGAAGACTGCCACGCAAACTCCCATTCGACACAGACGCCTTGAAGAAGGGGGTTAGGAGTATGGTGGGGACATGATGGGCGTTCAGTGCAATTGAGACTCACGTCGGATGGCAGGCGTGTTGATGTAACGCAAACGCTGAAGATGTTGAATTTGACGACCATAAACTCGATCAGAACGATCTCGATCTGCAAGTGCCAATCAAGCGCGTCAAGAGATGTTGGCTCCTGTCGCTCTTGTCGTTCCCGGCCTTCTAGCTGCCGCCCCTGCTCTTTAGAGAGGCCGAGTTGGCCACATTCCAGCGCCACTTGCGAGTGTGGTCTGTCCAGTTCGATCCTCCTTCAAGTCATCATCCAGACCATGCAGTAGCTTTTCTCGATTATCCGAAACACAGCGCAGGATAGTTGAAACCAATGAACGAGGATTCCAGTTAAGAGCGCGTGAGAGGTTCTGTCATTTCCTGAGCCAGTGGCTGCCAAGTACCGCCCGCCTCGACCCCCAGTCCTGGTCATCCGGAACTGGGAAGGCATACCGCCTGCAAGCTATCAAGGCGGCCTCTTGCGCGACACTTACCACGAGTCCTCAACCAGACGACACATACAAGCAACTTATCTGCAAGTCGTGCTCAAATGCCTCTCGATCGTATGAAAGAAGACACTGACCGTAGTTTCGACGCCCTCTTACAAACCCGCACTCAAAGTGCTGAAGTGTAAGTCGCACGTTGTCCATGCACTACAGGTTTCGGGCGGGCCTGGTGCCCAGCGCGGATGGCGCTGGGTGGGACGAGTCCTCATACAGCTGAGCCCGCGTCGGTTGTCCGACGACGAGGTAGGCTAAGACGGGGGGAGAGGGGGGAGCCAGCGAACGTAACTCCCTCCGACCCAGCACGTCTAACCGTACTTACGTAGGCTCGAGATGGGATTGGGAGCAGCGGGACGTCTGCGGCCTGGTCGCGCTCACCCCACAGGACGAGTAGTAAGGACAGATGCTCGCCAGCCATCGAAATTCGAGCTGACACGCTCGCGACACCATCTGACGCCAGCTAGGAACACAACAGCGAGGAGCAATGCTTGTCCCAAGAATTCAGATACACTTCTTCGCGTGCCGAGGAGGCTGTGAGTCTGAGTCGCGAGTCGCCCAGCCCGGACGAATAATAGAGGGCGGCGACGGGATAGGGGTCGACAGAGTAGACTCAGTAGAGAGTGGTGATATGTGCGTTGCTATTAGAGGGAGAGGGCGGGTCTTCTATCGGAGAATCGGATAGCTTAGACCAGTTTCAGCACGCCACGATGAACACGAGTGAGGCTAATGTCCAAAATAATGTCAAAATAATCATACAAAATAAAGCTAGGGGCTACAGAGTCGACGCAGTATATGTACAGGATCCATCGCGATACCCAGTCCACCAATGTTCGACGTTCAACGTCAACGACCAAGACTGAGCGCCCGCCCGGCGGCTTGATTAACAAGTGCGCTCTCCAGGAGGGCCATTATACTGGTCTAGTATACCGTGCCTTTGTATTTCGCGTTCGTTGCATGGCGTATCATGAGGGATAAATAGGGATTCTTAGGGTTGAGACGCGGTCGCCACGTGCAGTCTCAGACTGCGCGCGCTCCGTCTTCATCCTCGTCCGCGTAGCTGACGACCGACACTGGGCGCGGGCCACTCGCGGGCTCCGCTTCGTCGTCCGCAGTCTTGGCGTACCGCACAGAACGCGAGATGTACGTGGGTGCGGGGCTCACTGCGGTTGGGCGCGGCGCGTACGAGGGAAGCGCCTCCTGCGGGCGGGTCAGCGTGTGGCCTGCAAACATAGGTAGGTCAGCGAGATTATTCAGCGACGCCTCACACAAGGGAGGGATATACGCACCACGTGCGAGGGCCGCCTTCTCGCCCTGCCGCCCGAATCCCATGCCACTCTTCTGGCTGAGGAGCGTCCCGCTGCGCGTCGCCTCCGCGCCCTTCTCGTCCCACGCAGAGGTTCCAGAGCCGCCCGTGCGGACAGCGGTAAGGAAGGGACGCGGGCCTGAAGTGAGAGAGGTACGCGGGAGCACCTCGTCCGTCTCGCGCCATGACGCGATCGCGCGGCGGACCTTCGCCTTCTCGCGGAAGATGAGGCCGAGGAGGATGTTGAGGCAGCCGATGGAGAAGAGGAAGAACGCGGAGACGAGCGAGAACTCGTCGACGTGGTGTGAGAGTACGGCTGCGCCGAGTCTGCACATTGTTAGGTGGAAGCGGATGTATCAGAGTTGTGGTGCCACTCACAGGCATTGGATGACTCCCAGAGCACCGAGCCCGAAATCGTTTCCAAGAACAGGGAAGTAGCGGCTGAAGAACGCGGAGGGCCACTCGATTTCGGAGAGGATAAGGACAATGACTTGGAAGATGATGAGCAGTCGGTTGAGCACAGCCCAGAATGCACCGGCGGGCTGGTTCGGAACGGTGCTATTACTGTTGCCAAATCAGAAGTTAGCCAGACAAGTGAGCATAGGGGACGTACGGAACATATTCCATTTCGGTACAATCAATGGTCGTTGTAGAGTTGTTGGTCCCTGAAGCAACGTAGTCTGTCTTGCCCGCGGCAATGAACGCGTTCACGGCCTTGATGTCTTGGACGAGAGTGACGATACTGCTTGCAAAAAGAAGCAGCAAAGCAATGATGCTCAGCGCGCGAGCCACGTTGAGGCCGATGAAGATGTCTACAAAGATTATTTAGCGCACAACACCTCCTCAGAAGGATTTGACGTACATCCTCTAGTAGATGGCATTGTGGAAGATAGGATTGGATAGGCGTGACAGTTAGGAGAATATCAATAGCAAAAGGGGCGTGCCGGCGCAGAAAGAATGAGGGCTACTTGAGCAGAGACCAAGAGCTCTGCTGACGCTTGAAACCGGAAGACTGTAAGGAATGTGGCGAGTGTGAGTGGCGACGGTGGGGAAATTGGCGCAAAATAAGTATCCTTGGCTGGCGCCGGGTGCATACAAGCGTATTGTACTGCGGTCGTTGTGGTGGCGGCATTGTGACAGGTATGGCAAAGGACAAAAGGCTCTCCCACCGAGAACAATGGACAACGTCCAATTCGGCTTTGGCCGGGTGCAACAGATCACATGACCGCGTCAACGCGCGCCGTGCAGCGCCATTGATTATTTGGAATAACCCTTCCTATTTCTCTTACTCTTCGGACGATATCTAAACTTATGAGCGTTGATTCCGTCAGGGTCGAAGCTCCTAAGTCATCCATCGGTGGTTCAGTCGTTCGGGATGAAGATTTCTGGCTCTCAGATGGCAATATTGTCCTCGTCGTGCAGACAAGAGCCTTTCGTGTTCATAAGTCTGTGCTGTCGCGCAGCTCAGATGTCTTTCGCGATGTCTTTGCACTGTCACAGCCTTCAAACTTCGAGCAGTTTGAGGGTTACCCAATGATCTCGTTATCCGATCAAGCGGTAGAAGTTCGGCACCTCCTACATGCGCTATATGACAGCGGCCAGTGCGTGAAAGCCTTCCACTGCCGCCTACCATTCACATCCTTATCCACAACGCTCGTCAGGTATGTCATGCCAGACCAACGTATGGAATTCTCTGTAGTTGCCGCCCTCATCCGCCTGGGCCACAAGTACCAGATGACTGCTCTTCGTGACGCCGCACTCGCACGCCTACAGACGTGCTTCACGACCAGCTTCGCCGTTTGGGCCGAGCTCACGCGCTACGAGCCGCACAGGAGCGCATCGATGAGCTTCCGGCGCCGCGACGCCATTGCCGTGGTCAACCTCGCGCGGCTTACCGGCACCGCCTCCGTGCTGCCCGGCGCGCTGTACCTCTGTTGCCAACTCAGCGCGCAGGAGCTCGTGTCTGGCGTGCATGGGCCCGACGGCGTGTGCGAGCGGCTAGCGCCTGATGACCTCGCGCGGTGCATCGACGGCCGGTCCGCACTCTTGTCGCACACGGCACACGTTGTCGCGCGAATCCTATCCCCCAGCGTGAGCGTGCATTGCTTCGAGCCGCCGGCATGCCGCGTGACCCTTGAGGCGTGCCTACAGTCTTTCCAATCGCCGGAGTCGAAGGCGCTCCAGTCGCACGACGTGTTGCAGTCGTGGGAGGACGCGTTCGACACATACGGCGTCCCTATGGAGCGGCTGTGCGAGAAGTGCTTCGATCTTTTGTGGCTGAGGGAGTTTCAGGAGAGGCAGAAGATCTGGAAGATACTGCCTGAATTGATGGGCGTGGAAGTGCCGGACTGGCTAGCGAAGTCCGAGTAATCTGGACGAAAGTCACTCCCTCTGTCTCTCATTGTTTATTAGATGTATTGACTCACGCGTAGCATCCCCCTCGTGATACTATCCTTTCGCAGCTACCCCATGGTGCGATTGCCTTAGTAGGCATTGATGCTAACTCATGTTGTTCAGACTTCGCCTCAGGATGTAGCAAGTACGCGGCGCCACTGTGCATGTAGTCGTCACGATGAAAACATTAACTGCGATGTACTCGGTACGTTGACATGCGAGTTAGCCTTCACTCGCCTTTCTTTGTCCGCCAATTGCTTCTTCCTTGTGCACTAGGTACAGTATGTGCCGCAGGATCGTCTCCGCGAGGCGGCCAACATTCACAGTAACGGGAGACGATATTGAAGCTGACCGGTGCTTGGTCTCCAATAGGTTCCGTCGCCACAGGCAGGGGCACTGTTGTGAGTGTAACATCGCCACTTTCGTATCAGTACGCCACCGCGACCGTTTTGAGCAAATAGTGCCTATTGTTCCCTTTAACACGTGTGGCAATCATTGGATGCTGCGGTTGCTCTCAAAGCAGAAGCAGCCCGGACGTATAAAGCCGCCACCCTGTTCTTCTTGTCTCCTTGCCCTATCACCCTGCCACTTCAATTCCTTGGCCCGTGCGCAGGAAGGTCGTGCGAGTCTTCTGAACGCCATTCTCGAGGTTTCTACAAGTCGAGCCTCGTTGTTCACAAGTGTCCTTAGGTCTTAGCCAGATCGACCCGCCGTCATGATCCAAACGCCAACTCTCACAGCCGCCCGTTGCCTGATATGGAGGCCAAGGCGGTTGCTAAACCCGGGCCTCATGTGGGATCTAATCAGGTACGAGGGCTGCTATACACACTGGGCTATGCACCCTCATGCAGATCTTCAAGGTCCAGCACACGGACGCTGAGGCCAGATTCTTAGCTAAAGTTCTTCGATATGGATATTTCCTTAATATCGCCTGCACCGTCCTAATTAGGCACGTGAATGACTATGCTCGCGCGTCTGAAGACCCGGAGACACAAAGGGAATGGAATAGAGTGGCGTTAGCCTTGGGCATCATTGCTCGGGTGCCATCGGCAAGCATGCTGACATTCCTGCCTTTTCTGAACCACTCTCGGCTGGACGCTGTCGTTCGCTGTGCATCGTCTACTGTGGCCACTGCTTCTCAGCGCATTGAGACCGAGGCGAGAACATGACCTCTATCGCATGCTTCGCGGGCGCTGAGAGATTGACATGTCAGCCAAAAGCCATCGCTCCAGCCTTGCCAACCTGTGGCGAGGACAGCAATATTCTGGAACGTTGCCTTATCGCGGTTTGTGAAGGTCCGCACAGGAACCATATTATGTGCTGGTGGTTCGCTCTCGTCTTGTGGATCATGCTGTACGCGGACTGTGCCAACATCACTGAAGAGGAGAAGATGAAAGTGGTGTTGTGCTCCTCTTACTTTGGGATCACTCGTTTATGCGCAGATGTGTGTTGGGACTTTTACAAGTGGTGCAAGCGCAGGGCGGCATCTCGCGTCAATGGTCGTGTGTAATAGGCATAGCTGCTAGTACTGCCTCCCATGTGTCTGACAATATATTGTACGTCTCCACGAGGTTGATGCGCGCAATCATATCCATGCGGAGTCAGGACCAGTGGCTTGACTAGCGGTGGCGTCCGGCCAGGCGCTGAATTGCCCGTGCCAACAAGCGGTGGCGTGGAAATATGGAAGCAACACGCACTATGCGTATGCAATCAGTGTATTGAATTATCGTGTCGTACGCCCTTGCTCAGTGGGTTTGGCTCCGAAGTCCAAAAGGCTGGTGCCTGCATTTGTAGTCCGTCTGGCTTCGCCATCACCCACAGAAATACATGCGCTCCTATTTGTAGAGCGCACTTCCCTCTAATGGGTGTTAGCACCTACTCGCACGTTCTTGAGCCATTATCCGTGCCCTCTTACAAGCGTAAAGCAGGGTGCGCCGCTGGAGCACGGATCATATTACCGAGAACGTGCACAGGCACGCCGCAGCTTAATGTTACGGTCCAAGCACCGGCAGCAGCACTCGCAGTGGCGCAAGCTTTCCATGAGGCTATTGTCTCGCTTTGTGGTGTCGGCTTACACATTTACCCATCCCCGCCACAGGCAATAATTGTAAAAACGGACCGTCGATCCTGTGCCTGTCAGAAACGCCCGCGGTCCCGTGTATATAAAGCCAGTTGATTTCTCGTCCTTGCCTCCGTCCTGTTTGCCGACAACCGTCTGGCAATTGGTCCTCTCTCCTTCCCTAAGTTTCTCGTTCACGTTCGGTAAGTTCACAGTGCTTTGAACATTACCCCTGTGACGTCTGCTTTCATATCTCATCATCGCTTTTACACTTCAGCATATTACGCCACATTATGGATCAGAGTGATATCTCGCGTCGTCGCCGGCCTATTGTAGCTGCTCCTGGCCCAGAAGCAGAGTCCTCCATCGATCCCGACAAGGTACGGCTTTAATTATACAAACTCGAGCCCGCTTGCTCAAATAACACCTGAAGGATGAGCTGCGAGATCGCCGTCAGAGCGATGAGCTGTTGTCCAACGTGAAGGAAGTATCGGTGGCTGCTGTTGCCACCCTCCTCGCGATCTTATGCATGGTCGGAGGTACCCGGATCCTAGCGCAAGCGCAAGCGCATCAAGACCCGCAGACAAAGGAGAGGCTGACGACGCTTGGGACGGTGATGATCGCGGCGTCTCGGCTGTCGGTGAACGGCGTGCCCACTGTCCTGCTCGCGAGGCTTGGTCCTCGAGTAAGGGCCATCATCAATGGGCGGGAGACCCCTTCCTTCGTGGCGCACTGGATTCGCAACGCTGTGATGGCAAAGTTGCCCAATGTGGCTGCCGCTCTTTGGCGACGTGGGCAAGAGGTGAGAGCTGGACGCTTGTTGCATGTTTTACGGGACTGATACCTATTCACCAAGGTCGACTCGGCGGGCCCTGACAACAACAACGACGTACGCATCGCATTCACCGAGGGTGATGCGGCGCTTGCTGTTTGCTGGCTCTTCATGGCTTGTCTGTGGATCTCCATGATCATTGATAGCGCTGACATTGGCGGCGAGAAGAAGGAGAGACTGGTGATTTATTCCTGGTGCTTTGCGGGCATTGGTCCATACATGTTTGGGTGGTGGAAGCTGTACAAGAGGCACCAGCTCCAGGCTGCTCGTATGTAACATGTGCATAGTGTTGTGCACTGCATGCAGTGTCTGATAATACACTTTGATGACCGCATATCCCCATCAGGCTGGTGCAAGTGGCCATAGACTTCGCGCTGGATTAGTGTCTTGATTTGATTTTGACTGACCGTGTTGACAGCCACATTTACGGCGGTTGCGCTGCGTTGACCACTACCACGATCATGATAGGGTGGGTGTCTGTTCGTGTGATATCGGCGGCCTTTGCCATTGACCCTGAGAGATTACCTGTTTTCGAGAAGCCATGAATTGGCGTTGATAGACAAACAAGGGGTTGCATAAGTGGCTCGCACCATGACGTCTCGGCGCAGACGGCAGCTGGAAGGTCGGCGACGGCAGAGACAAAAGGAGCTAATATCTGCTGACGTGTTTGATCACCTGCGGATCTAGATCGGACGACTGCTGCGATCGAGCCTGTCTCATCTTCAAATTCAACACTAACACTATCAGCCGGTGCATTGCGTCAAATGCCTCCAATCCATCGCAGGTCCAAACTGCACACGATCGTGATCACAACATCATAATCTCTCCCCGAGCGCATTTATAATCGTCTTGTGTCGAAGTGGTGTTAGCGGACTCGACGATACTGCGGCCGGCTTGAGAACCCGTGCCGTTCCATGACTCGGCACTCTCCACACCGGCGAGTATGTAATACTTGACTTCCATTCTCTTCTCGCAGAACGTTGTCTCAAGACTTCGCCGAGCATCACGGAGTCCGCATGCGCGAACGCTCGACCCTGAGCATGCACCAACATATAAGAAATACTCACCTGTATCTTTGCACATTTACCCACGCGACCTCACTCTTCTCCAAGACACCACAATGTCCGTGATTGCTTGGGCTTTCGGCGCCGCGCTCGTCGCCTTCAGCTGTTGGAAGCTGCTCAAGATATCCGGGTTACTGCAGCCATACATGTCGCCGCTCGGTGACATCCCGGGGCCACCGAGCCCAAGCTTCCTGTACGGAAACATGCATGAGATCCAGAACTCCGAGACCAGCATAGTGCGCGAGCAATGGGTCGACATGTATGGACCGACACTGAAGTACAAGGGCTGGTTGAACGTAACTTCATGTTCGTGCTTGCCTGTCCAGACATATGTTAAATCATGCGTGTCCAGGTCGATAGGCTATATACGCTCGACACCCGTGCAATCCACCATGTGCTCACTCACTCGCATGATTACCCGAAGATGGAGCTATCCCGCTATTTTCTGACACAAGTCACCGGGAACGGTAAGCGTTGAAGCTCTGGATAGACGACACTCATAGACAAATACACCCACAGGCCTTATAGTTGCTGAAGGTAAGAATCCCCACTCTATGAAGTGGCAATGATCATGATGAGTCACAGGCGACCTGCACCGCAAACAGGTGGGTCAAGACACAGCTTCTTGACAGTGTTTCACTTATGTTCTCTCGATGCCTTGTTCGAACAGAGACGCGTCATGGTAGGCACCTATTCTACAAAGGTCAATTAAACCTCACCTTCGCTCATCTGACAGAACCCGGCATTCGGCCCCACGCAGATCCGTGGCGTGACCAAGATCTTCGTGGATAAGGCGCACCAGGTATGCACTCCGCCGGTCCCGCACCTTGATGCGCTATCGCTGTTCGTTGATGTCTCTCCTCCGCTCTGAATAGTTACGGGCGCTATGGACCGCAACACTCGAGCTTACCGGTGGGCCGGCGCGTATCGACGTGCTGAGCGGGCTCACCAAGGTCACACTCGACGTCATCGGGCTTGCAGGTACCACCCCTTTGCCCCCTCACTACACCTCTTCCGGTAGAAGCTGACACGCGCGGTAGGCTTCAACATCGACTTCGGCTCACTCAATCCCAACGGGCATGCTCGTCACAGCGAGCTCACGGACGCATTCAACGTCATGTTTGGGGCGCTCGGCGACACGCGCACGAGCCTCTTCCGCGCGATGAAGGCATACCTCCCGCCCTTGCGCCTGATCGTGGGTGGCCGCCTCCGTCCTCTGCTCCTTTCTATATCGTGGCTGAATGTCTCGATTCACAGCCAGACAGCACATCAGCGCGCGTCACCGCCGCTCGAAAGGTGATTGACCGTGTCGGAATGCAGCTTATTATGGAGAAGAAGGCCGAGGTAATCAAGGCCGAGCGGACAGGCGAGAAGGATACTCTCCACAGCCGGGACCTGCTGACGCTCCTCATCCGCGCCAACATGAGCACCGACATCCCGGAGAACCAGCGGCTCTCAGACGCGGAGGTGCTTGCCCGTACGTCTGCATCACGTCCTTCCACGTACCCAGCACGCTGACAGTTCACCCCTGCGCGTATCCGCTGGCCTGGACTGCAGAGATCCCGACGTTCCTCGCCGCAGGCCACGAGACGACCTCCAACTCGACTGCGTGGTGCCTGTATGCGCTCGCACAGCACCCCGCTGTGCAGTCAGCCCTGCGCGACGAGCTGCTGTCAGTGCCGACGGACAGTCCGAGCATGGACGACCTGAATGCGCTGCCATACCTCGACGCGGTCGTGCGCGAGACCATGCGGCTGCACGCGCCGGTGAGCTCGACGATGCGCTACGCCGCGAAGGACGATGTGATCCCTCTCGCCGCGCCGTACACGGACCGGAACGGGGAGGTGTGCGATGGCATCCGGTGTGTGCAGCGTGTGTTTGCGTAGTGGTGTGGATGCTAACAGGAGGTGTGGCGCAGGGTGTCGAAAGGCAGTCCCATCATCATCCCGATCCTTGCGATGAACCGATCGAAGGCGGTGTGGGGCGAGGATGCGCATGAGTTCCGGTGCGTCGCTGCTTTCTCGCTCGCGCGGAACGCACTTGTTGATGATACCCCCATGTGGCCAGCCCAGAGCGGTGGGAAAGTACCATCGAGACGGCGCAGCACATGCCGGGTGTGTGGGCGCACATGATGAGCTTCCTCGGAGGGCCGCGTGCGTGCATCGGGTACCGCTTCTCCCTTGTTGAGTGCGTATACATTCCTCTGGCTTCCCCTGTCGTTGGGCGACGTGTGTCCAGAGGCTGACCAACTACGCTCAGGATGAAAGCGCTGATGTTTGTGCTTGTGCGTGGGTTCGAGTTTGAGCTGGCCGTACCGATCTGCAAGAAGCGGATGCTTGTGCAGCGGCCGTTCGTGTCTGACGAGATGGACAAGGGTGCGCAGCTGCCGCTGCTCGTCAAGCCGTACGTACGCGCGTGATGTACAGTCGTGTGTGCAGCCTGCAGGGAAGAATGGAAGACTTCCGATGCAAGGTAGAGCATGCCATATCTTCCATATGTGCATTCACCTGCCCTTCTGCGGGTTAGTGAGTATGCAGGCTCTGGTCATACCTTTGCATGTCGTTCGGACATTTCGTCGATCCCGTTGTATCTGTATCTGTATGAGTACCAGGACAATTGTAAACAGACCAGTGGTGTAGTGACCCCAAGAATCGCTGGAGCCGGAGTATAGTGACATGAATGCATCTGATTGACATCTTATGGAGCGTCCTGGGCGGTGCGTGCAAGATGTGCGATGCGAAGGCGGAGCCGTATAGCAGGGCCCTAGGCGACATCTCTGCCACAGATATCAGGGGCCTGGCGCTGTATACGTAACAGTAATGCCTGCAGTTGTAACATGATACCGGCTTTCGAGGAGCGCCTTGTAGAGTGTACGATAACGTGGGTCAGAGATCATAGAAGATACGTGGATTCTGAGAACGTGGATAACTGATAGCATGAGACACGCGTTCTCGAATACACGCGCGGAATCACTTGGCGATGAGAAATAGAGGGAACTTACCGTGGCTGCGCCCGAATGAGGCATGCACCTGGATCAAGATTGGGACTCTAAGTACTGATGCAACAATTGGGGCATTTTCGAATCATACTAACCAGTGTCGGGCGCTTGTCGCGATGTATTTGGCTTTGTTGCAGGTCTCACCCCGGAGCTCCATTTCTGAAACAACTTCCGCAATCTAACGTTATTAAACGACAGTTGATTCTTGAAGTGCTTGTCCTTGATTTGAACCCGCGTATACATAAGTCAGTCTTGATATCTAGAAAATAATGATGATTGGACCAGCGTGCATCTTGCTTGCAGACAGAGTGGCAACTCAGCAACACCAAACACATCGCGTATCCAGTCCATTCGGCCCTGGTAAGGACTACGGCAATATGCGCACATTACAAGCATTTTTGTATAGAATACCACTACCCGCTGTCTGACTTCCCATGACGCTAGCTATGGATCGCCGGGACGTGATCATCGGTTGACTCATGGGTCGTCAAGTATCCAATCGAGTCCTGCATGTCCCAAAGCCCACATGCGAGCCGCGGCAAAGGTCAAAAGGTGCCGCTCTGCCTCCGCCCATGCTGACTTTCCGCTGCCTCTGATCTGGCAATCTATGCTCTTGAGTCTTGGAAAGATATCTGAGAGGAATGCCGCCATCTTGACCGGCTCGCCTGCGACGGACGAGGGGCCTATCCTCATGCGGGTAATGAGGCTGTTAGAAGAACCACCTCCGGGGCGTGCATCCACGGAGACCTCAGTATGCGATGCGTCGATGTCCAGTATGTATCTTCGAGGCCAGGGCAGTTTTTGACCAGGGGCACGAGACCCTGGAGGGTGGCAGCGGGTACGAAGGGCCTTGGCTGGCTATTGATATGGAGGAAAGAGAGGACCCGCAGACGTGGCCAGGCGAGCGCCATCGACATTATATCATTGTCGTTGACTGTGATATTACGTCTGCTGTTGATGGAGAGTTTCCAGATTATGAAACACGTAAAGCGGCTGCAACGCGGTAGACGGCAATTCCTCTTCCGAACTCGCATGCAGAAGGACTATATTGATGTTGACGAGGGCGGAATGGGAGCACTGATCTTGGAGGGTCTGGAAGAAGTCACCGAGGTCCACGCGACGCGTCTTTTCGTGAGCTGTGATGTTGACTGTCTGCAGATTTGGGTACTTTACTGCCCGCAAAAGGACAGCGGAAGATCGTGTGGAGGACGTCCATAACCGTAAATCCTTGACAGAAGAGGACACATCTGAGGAGGCATCCGAGGACTGACCGAGCTCCGTTCCCACGCGAGCTTCCGGGCCATTCTGCAAGGATAGCGAGGATAGTCGTGGCAATGATGACAACTCCGCAAACGATTGAAAGGACAGAGGCATATCAGAGACACTGCTGAACATTTCTAGACAGTTCAGTCCTGAGAGTGCTCTGGTGGGGAATGGGATGCCATCCGTCGGGCCGAAATGCCGTACTCCTGGTAGTGAACAACCCGAAATTTCTAAACCACGAAGATGAGGAACGAGACTGGGAAGGTGAGCAAGGATCGAATCCGAAGCAAGCCTGTCAAAGGCATGTATATGTAGTCTGAGATGAGTTAATTTCGGTCCAAGAAACATCGGCATAAACTTGATATCAAGGAGATAGTGGTGGTCTGAGCAATCGAGCCTTTTCAAGTTGGGAAACAAGGGGTGGAGCGATCCGAAGAGACGAAGTATTTCCAAGACCGTGCTGGATACACGCACAAGGCGCTTTCGTTCGATGTTTTCAGCCCTTAGATAAGGTGACTGCAACCCAAAGGCCAACACACGGACTCGCCGAGCGTAGAACTTGAATCGATTCCAATCCTCTGGATACAGCTGTCTCTTCAATGTCTATTTCGCAAGGTGAGATACCTCGCATGTGTCAGACGTAAAGAAGACGCACCAAAACACACACGATTTGATTGCTAAAGTTTGTTTCCTTCGTGTAGTCCCAGAGGTCTGCAGGCATGCATTGGATCAGATTGCCCAGGCCAAGCTGGATGGACCAGAGCTCGTCAAGAGACAGCGTGCTGAATGATTTGCACGTCCTTGCGAGTGCCGCGAGGCTGTGAGAATCCCATGGAGGGATATAGGAGACGATAAGCGAAGCGATCTCAGCGATATGTAGAGCAGGATGCATTGCTGCTCGAGATCAACCGGTGGCGGTAAGGCCAGCTAGCCCGCTGGCGAATCCGCAGAAAGGCGCTGATCAGGCATAGCCTGCCAAATAGAGAATTTTCTGACATTTCATCCTTTCCTACTAGTTCTATTCATAATGTTGTTGACTTTTGGGTACGTCGGGCAAGCGTCGCTGCCGACCGGGTCACGTGGTCGTGTGCCGGTGTGGGAAGAGGACTTATGTAGGCGTCGCGCGCCGTAGGTAGCCCCATGGGTTTGTAACCTAATCACCCATTGATCCCTGTCCATCGAGGACGTTGTCTGCCGGCGGTCTTTCCGGCGTCGTTCTCACAAATGTTTCTAGAAAGAAATGACCTTTACGGTCACACGACGGCACTCTCCTGACCGCATAAGTTAGAACTGCGAGCTGCAACGAGTCAACGTCTAGAATGCCCTTGGCGGCCTCTACCAGTCACTAATACCATGCATAACCTGTAAACGTGAAGACGCATGCAGCGAGAGAGCGGCCGCCTCTCTCGCTGCACACGCCTCCTCAGCAATCTCATCCTTGCACCACTCTACCAACAATGCAAGACCCCTCACAAACATATTATACGAGGAGGGACTTGTATGTACCCAAGCCAGGGATGTAGATGGTTACCGTCAAGTAGTGTAAATACCTTGGCCTGGGACAAATCATTAGACAACAGAATCATGACAAGGGGAGAGCATTTTCCAAGAACGAATCCCTACCTGTGGAGACGACCGGACTTTGGATCGAGTGATGCCCTGGTATTGCGACGATCAGCGAGCACGTAGCAAGGAGAAAGGCGCAGATACTTATCTCCACCTGGACACTGCCAATCAGTGCCCCCGACACTGATGAGCAGCGCACACTCCCCTCGCCCCACGCAAATGAAGAGGACGTATGCAGCGGGAAGGCCGGCCGTCCCTCACGCTGCACAAGCCCCTCTCACCCGCAACTCACCCTAGCCCGATCTCCTCACAAACGACGAGCCCTTGTAGATACAGATGACATCTATACTGTCGATGAGAGATATCAGCAGAGTGGTGTATACATAATTTACTGGGCAGATATGAAGCCGGAGAGGAGGAACGTGCAATCGACCTATCTCAAAAAGAAGCTGTCAGCGCAGATCAATGACCGCAACGACAGCATGAATCTCACCCCCCACCAGAGCGACAATGAGTCGGATATGCGGTCTAGTAGCAGACAAAGAGATAGACATGATCAGCAAGCACGTGCACGGAGAGCAAGGAACACATCAGGACACAAAGGAAGCCGTCCAGGTCGTAAGAGGGTCATGGCTTCCTCCTCACCGAACGCGTACCTGAGCAAGATCCATCTTGGTGGTCGTCCTGGGTCTTGTAATCGCGTGCACGTCCTCTTCGCCCATCGATCGGCCAGCCTGTCTCAAAAGAGAGGGAGAGGACGGTCAGCGCGAATGTAACGTGTGCTGCAGGGTGGTGAGGAAAGGCAAACGTCGTTCCGAGGAACGGCGTAATAGGCGGAGAAGAATCGAATGAGCCCGAGAGAGATGTTTTTGTGGTTTTTAGTTTTTCGCTTTTTTTGGATTGGGTTTTCTGAGAGAAAAGGGAAAAAAGAAAAAAGAAAAAAGAACCCTGAGCAGAACGAGATCATTCCCAGGTAGTGAGCAGCTTGCCACACAGGCCCTAGAAACCTGAGGACGCCCTGCGCTCCCGAGTCCCCTCCCTATGTAGCGCAGCAGCCGCGCATCGACCAATTGAACAGATACCCGAACGCTTTAGAGGAACCAGCGATGAGTGATCTGCCGACGGCGGCGGGCGACATTGAGCGGAATGAGCTCGCAGCCGACATCGAACGACCCGCTCAGCCGGGGCTTCTCCGCGGGCTCCTGGAGGAGGTCGAGGCTGCGGTGGGTGATGTCGCGGCACTGCTGGGCAACGCTAAGCGGGATGAGCGCAGGCTGCTGCAGACCCTTTGCGGAGCGGCCGTAAGGCTTGAGGCTCGCGGGGGAGACACAGAGCGTGTAGGAGGACATGTTTAGGTGTATGGGTGTGTGCGCGTGTGTGGGACGCGGGGGATGGTATGTGTGCGGAAGAAAGATGCGGTGAGGAGGGGATTGGTGTGAGGCTGCTCTTATGCACTTCTTGGACAGTGTTTTAGACCATCCTTAAGATGCTGACCGCTAGCTTGCGCTGGAGCCTTTATGAATCGGTCCAGTGGACCATCCCCACTGCTAGTCTAGTTTAATAGCAAGGTTCCGCTGGACCGTTTCAAAATCTCTCCATCAGCCAGTCGATCCGCGTACCATGCTCTAAATAAAGATGCTGGACTCACCTCAAGCAAGGATCATTGTGGTACTGGAGTTGAGTGACCCAGCACTGAGACGTAACATACGTTGTCTTGCAAGAGAATGTCGCTGAAGATGGGGCAAGTTCAATTCAGGCTTGTTTCAGTCGAGCGACATATACTTTGGATTCAGCCCAGAGTTGTCGGAAAGAGTATATTCCTGCTGGTCCAGTAGCGATTGCGACCAGGTCTGGCTCCGGGGATTGCGACCAAGCTCCGCCTCAGATACATTCCAAGCGCTCACTAATGACAGCCAAGCTCGCGTGGTACAGCGAGGCCTGGAATATCTTCCAAAGTAGGAAGGCTGGGAAGAGCGGTGTAGTCTAGTACAAGCAAGCACGCTGCACTCGGTGGCAGGCGACTTCCTCGCTGCTGGCGGTATCACTGTTTTCTGTCCTGTCTCTCAACTTTTTGTGCGAGGGTATCGCGCTGGGTGAAAAAAATCACCAAACCGCGGAAAGCGAAGATGGGGGCGCTTCGCGTGACATACCTTACGAGCATTAGTTGTGTTCTCTTGCACTTTCTCTCGCTCTGAGCATCTTTAATGGTTCTTGTTGTGTACCGTCTTTCATTTCTCCTCCCTAGAGTTATGGGCTTACGAATACGGCGCGAACAGCGAGACGACGGTGTTACGTGTATGATGGTGTATCTGTTTTGAGACTCAAGTGCCAGGTTGCTATTTATGGACTTGTTTAACCTGATCGGGTATCTACCAACGACTTTATCCAACATAATCGACGCTCCCTGCACTCTGTGACCTCACTCTATACACCAAGAAGAGTTTGACAATCTCGTGATTCTGAGGATATCGGTGATGATTGGTCATGAATAATTCTTCCAAGGAACGATCACGATCTTCCATGATTAAATGAGCCCGAGCTCCTCCGTGATTATCACCGCTGCTTTCTCGCCGATCGCCAGAGCAGTAGCATAGGTGTTCTGCAGCACCGTTGCTGTTAGGGGACTTAATATTGAAAATAGGAAGCACTCACCGAGGAGACATTAGCAGAGGCGATCGACATGTCTGCGCCAATCAAATAAATTAAGGTCAAGGCAAGCACGAAAATCACTCATTCTTGATTAAATGACTCACCAGCAACCTTCAATCCTTGGACGCCGTATACATTGAGGCAGGAATCAACGACACCTCCCTTCTCGCGTGGCCTCATCGTACATGTGCCGAGCTACAGACGGTCATGCACGATTATATGCTGTTTTGACAGACGCAGCGTCGCACTCACCGAATGCCAAGCCGTCGCCACTGTCTTGCGAATGTATATATCTATAGCCTCGTCGTCTTCTGTGGTGTACGCGATGTCCACCTCCGAGATGTCGACTGGGCGAGCATCAGCGTGGCAGATGGCCTTGCTACCGGGCGGGAAGATAGGGTGGCTTGCGAGGTGTTCTCCTCGGTAGGAGGGCAGGCGACGTGCGAGCTCGCGGCTGAACTTATAGCCCCACCTCATGAGTAACAAGTCCTCCGGGCTGAAGGGATATTTGAGTAAAGTTGAATGCTGCAATTACTCGCCAGGACGCACCAGCTGAGATATCTGGGGTCAAAGTCCGCGGGGGCTGCGGTGTTGTCGGCGGATGTGATGTGTACATAGCCTACAGAGCAAGGGTAGGTGACAAAGTAGGGCGTGGAGAAGCATTTCCGCGCGGGTGCGGCTGTGAAGTCGCCGACAAATCTGCCGAGTGGAGTGAATCGATTGCAAAGTCTTGGAGCTGCGGTGTGCTTACAATGCCCCTATCCCGGTCCACAGGATCGGCTTGTCGGGAGCATTGGCGAAGTATGCCTTCCACCGTTGCTGAAATCCAGGGCCAATGTCCTTCAATTCTTCATCTGACGGGCGCAATTTGACCCCCGCATCAATACCACTGCGAAACGATGCTGAGAGTGTATTTTGCTGATATATGCGAAAGCGACTCACTTGGTAGCCATCAGACCTGTTCCATTTTGGTTCCACTGTGTGGTCCATTCTGAAAGTTGGACAAGCTTAAACAGACAGGTCAAACACAGGGACAATAACTCACTGCTGAGCTCATCCTGTTTGCTTTGCAAGATGCCGTCAAGTGTTTCTACACTGTCGTCTGCGTAATATGTGGTGAAGATTACGATGTGATCTGTGGGAAGCGTGTCACTGGCAACATTCGACCTGCGAGCAGAATATGATGACCTTGGTAGTTTTCCCCGACTCCGGGTAGATCGACGGTCGGGGTGATCCCCAGGGAGCGCACAAGGGCCTCTGATCCTATTCCAGATCTTTCGAGTATTGCAGGGGATCCGAAGGCCCCAGCAGACACTACAACGAGCCGTTTTGCACGGGCGACGTGCACAACGTCTTCGGCTTTGCCGTGGAATCTACAATCGGGCATGTATTCGACTCCAACCGCTGTCGCATTCCTGTTCGGAGTTAACAGACCATCGGAAGGATAACGGTAATGGTTTACTCAAAGAGGATGCGCTTTACGAGATGCCCCGTGAGAACCGTGAGGTTCTCGAAGTTCTGATTATAGATGTAGTTGTGAGGTACATCTGACCGTCTGCCCGTTTCGGCATCGATAAATCTGAGCTCTGTGAGTATGCTTGGGAGCATGCCAAAGACTGTAGGCGCACTTCTGCCACTTCTAGAATTATTGTTCAGATGCCAATTCTGGAAGTCTTGGACTGAAACTTACTCCGTATGCATTTACTTCGAAGAGTCCATTCGGGTCGTCTATGTATGGTCGCGTATTGTCGTAGCGTGCAGCAACGTCAAGAAACTCTTTTCCTGATTGAGTGGATAAGCCGCCATATGATATCTTGAGGGGGCCGGAGTATCCATGGGTCTCTAGTCCTGGTTGAGCCTGATATGTCTCCATCTACGCAATGCTACATGTCAAAGAACCCTTGTGAAGATATACTACCAACGGACCTTCTGGAGAAGGGGGATTATGTCGTGGGAGCCCCAACCCGGATTCCCGTGAACATTCTCCCAGTCATCGAGGTCGGACGCGGATGGGCGATTGTACATCGTGACTGTGTTAGACTCACTCAGTTGAATGTAGCTGTGAGAACATTTGACGCACAGTTCACACTGGAGCCGCCGCCCAGACACTGGCCGCAAGGTACGACAGGTGCCCGACCGCCCAGATCCTCGCTCTCCTTCCCGACATTGAATTTGACGGTAGTGCTGTTGGCTTGAAGGTGGGTTAGAAATCGAGCCGGCTGGATGTGCGCTAGGTCCTCGCGGGTAGGCGGCCCTGCTTCCAAGACCAGAATGCTCAGACTCGGATCTGCCGCTGCCAAGCGGCTTGCAACGACACATCCGCTAGTGCCACCTCCATTGAAGCATCAGCGACGGGACACGACAAGGACGAGCAAGGACTTACCCCCAGCTATGACAATATCGAACTCGAGCTGCGAGGAATCCAACATCCTGTGAATCGAGACGAGCTGGGAGAGCAGTTACCTCGCCACGGCCACACCGTTTATTTATGCATCTGCTTACTCGCTACCGAAGATGAAAGACTCGGAGCGGGAACTCATTCCGTAGATGGATTTCCTTCTACGTCGTCACATGTGGCCTAGACTTGCACGATGCGTCGCTGTTGTGTCCAATCAGCTCCTCAGTACGCACACTGTGCGCCCAGTACCCATCAGCAATGTCTACATAAGGACACAATGAATAGCGCTCGAAGCGATTTCATGGCCATGAAGACGCTCATAGGAGGTCAATGCTCACTAGAAGCAAGGCGATAGACGCCTGAATGTATGGTCGGTCGTCACATTGTGCTTGCTGTGCTCCTCATAGAGTCACGAGTGCCTCCGCTGACGAGGAACCGACGCTGATCAATGCCGTGACGTCGATACTTCTAGCGGCATTAGAGTGGATTGGTGATACCTGTGCCACCATGGATCTGGATGCAGATCACCTGAGCGAGAACTGACTCGTGCGTTCCGCGTAACAAGGCAGTACGAGATTTGAGCGGCATCACGATAGAGCCGCTAAAATGTGGTGAAGACGAGGCGTGAACGAAATGTGACCCTTCAACCAACCAGGAGCCACGATCCAACACCTCGCTATAGGAGGCACTAGAACGAGACTAATTCTGGTCAGGTCACGATACAAGTGAGAAGCTGAAATAGGCGCTTGTTCGTGGGCATACGGTGGTCTTGAGCAATGTACTGCCAATGCACATCAGTGATGGATGATGCTGACTAAATTAATCAACGGCGCCGCAAGATGAAAGCGTATCCAGATCTCGTTGGGCCTGGTATGTTTCTATCTGTGAGTTGCCATAGCTCACGGTGCTTTCGTAACGCGTTCAGAAGACGGACCTTCTGCAGCGGGAGTCGCGAGAACCCCAACCCGCATTCCCACTTTCCAATCATTAAAGTCGGGTGCAGAAGGACGACTGTACATCGCAACTGCATCATCAAAGCTCAATCGAAGACCGTCGTGATAACATATCGATTCATTATTGACACTGGATCCCCACTGGCCGCGGGGGACGACGGATGTCCGTCCATCGAGCGCCTGACTTTGCTTCCCGGCAGTGAATTTGATCGTAGTACTGTTAGGTTGTAGGTGAGTAAGGTAGCGCGCTGGCTAGATGTAGGCTAGGTCTTCCTTGATAGGCGGGGGAGCTTTCAGTATCAATATGCTGAGGATGAATCTGCAGATGCTAGGCGACTAAACACAATGCAGCCACTTGTACCACCTACAAAAGGGAATGAGGTAGGAGGACATGACGGAGGGTACGTCATACCCCCAGCTATCACGATATCAACCCGAGCTGTGAGGTATCTGCGGTAGCATCTGCGGATGGATCAACCAGGCACCCAGTTCTTGTATGGGTCTGTACTTGCAGTAGGGGACTAACTCAAAGTACGCAGCTGGCGAACTTCTGCAATATGCGCTAGCTGTCCTATAGCTCACGGAAGCGGTCGTATATCTGCTTATATCCTCTGTTCAAACGCTGCTCTGTGAAGGAAACAAATCAACAGCAACTACAAAAGGACACCGGTGAGTATATTTGTGGTCCTGAAGCGTGCAGCAAGGTGCTTACGATATGCCGGTGAATATCCGTTGCCCATTCATCATGTCACAAAAGCTCGCGCTCGCAAGAGTGTAGAGCTAACGTTGGACATACTTTTTGACGGACATGCCCGGTAAACGAATTGTATATTGGCACATGTACGTCGCTTGTGTCTGGGTGAGAAGGTGGGTTCGGACCCAGAGCGTAAAGCGTCAAATTGTATGCAAGTATCAGCTCCACCATCGGTACATCCTACATAAGAAGGAAGATGAACGCCCGCTGGTGTAGCAATTGGACCACAAGCTGACTTTGAGGGATGCCATTAGCGCCTGGCGCGCTTAGCTCGCGGTTGGGGGAATTGCACAGGTACCCGAAGGACGGCACGTTTATTGGCACCGGCGGAATCGGGGAGACCAAGCCTCTTCAGGTCCTTTTGGTCAAGCTTCTCTATCTTGCAACCTGTGATATACGTCAGTCAATACAACTTCGACCTGAAAACAGAAGTCTGAGTACCAAGTGTCTTGAAAAGTGTATTAACCCTGAAAGCAAAGTCGTTAGCGCGTGTGATGAACGATGAAGGCCAGGTTACACACGTGAGCGTCGGCATGCTCAGGTCATGCGCAATGAGCTCCGCGTCGGTGGCAAAATCGTCGATGCGCAGACAGAGCGCAAACATGTATGTGAGCAGCATCGTCTCCGTCTGCGTCGTGACCTGAACACTGAAGTAACATGAAGGTCAGCTCTCTGCTTGAATGATCAGTTCTGATGTCTCACGAGTTTGTATTTCGTGTCGTTTCCGTGAACCGGGAGAGGAGCCCATCAATAACAGTCTGAGGGACACCGCTCAAACGCTTTTGTAGTGCCTCTTTGTCATTGACGGATCGTGAGGCCATTTTGAACGCCATCATAGCCGAGATGTACAGCAAGACTTTCCTGTTATGAAGATCATCCGTCAATTTTGTTAATCGATAGTCAATGACTGGGACGAACATGTCTGTCTTCCTTAACTTCGGCGCACTGAATAACAGAGCCATGTGCTGGTTGACCCAGTTCGAGCGCGAGAACGGCAGGAGCGCCGCGCGCTGCTGATTTGACTCTGCTGACTTGAACGCTGCAATAGAGAGCACATTGAATTCGGCGTCTGGGATGATGTCAGAGAGTATGTAGACATCGTCTGGCCTCTGTGCATCCGCGTTGTACGGAGGAATGAGTCGACTGCTGTCCGCAGACGCTTTGGCTTGCTCTAGACAATTCTTGAGTACAGTCTACAATCGAGTCATGAGTATAACCACTCACCTAGCGTAGGCAGACTGCCCGTGTTTTCCATAATCGTGTCTTGCAAATGGCTCGCAACTCCCTTCATCGCATCTACGTCCACTCTGTTCCGCTCCAGGGCACGGATAGCAGCCTTTGCCTTTTTCGTGCCGAAGGTTTCGCCCAGCTTATTGCGCAGTTGCACACGCTCCTCCGTAGTAGTCTCTAGCGGCGCCAAGTTCTTCAACGCCTTGACCTGCCGGGACAGAATGTGAAGCGGTGCTGGACGAATCGTGGTTATATTCGTCCGCTTGTCGTACACGCCGACATAATAACTGGACAGGTTTGAAACTGTTAGATGCCGCCAAACTTTCCAGTCAAGCAATCGGGGACATAGAGCAAAAGTCGAATGATCACATTCTACTTTTATTCCTTCTGACTGTATGAATGATGTCCTACTCACCTGCAACCGACCGATGCCTCCTTGGCTTCACTAGAGGTAAAGAACTCGACCGCGTCTGTCTCTCCTGCTATTAAAGTATCTTGTGAGGCAAAAGGCTCGTCTGTCTTCCCATTCTTGTCACGTCTCCAACATTTGAACGATGTGCCTTGCGGTGGCTGCACAGCAGGAAAACTAGCTACATATGGCACGTAAACTCATCGTCAGAAACATCATGTTATTCTAAGTTTTCATACCTAGAACGGGGCCTATCTGAGACTCTGAACGACTAGAGATCTGGAATGTGATTTTGTCCACATCTCCTGCTCCGCGTTTACGCTTTCTGGAGGCGGACTGAGAGGTCATCGTCGTCGTTCGAGACTAGTTGCGAGGTGCGACTTCCGTTTGACCCCCTAACCCTACCGTAGGGGTACGCAAAGAGTTATTGTGTAAGGCGCCCATCAAGTATATTACAACGTTACTTATCGTTTAGCATTCAGGCGATTAGGTAACCATTTATTGAGCGGGTGTAAGCCAATGCTTACTTTGACTCTCCTTGCTACGAGCCATAGCTTGTCCTTGACTGGCTCCTTCCACTACTCGGCCAGTTACTCTTGCCATCGTCGCAGCTGCTAGTGCTTGGATGCTCGTCCTACTCTCGTCATATATTAACCTTTGCTCTTGACCGTATTTAGTGCACAGCCTGGCCAGAACGTCCAGGTCCATCCCAATTCGGTTAATTCTTGCACTTCAGCTTCTACAATCACACTATGCCGACTCTGCGACCTCCGTCTTCAAGGTCCACGTTGTCGAGATCAAATTCAGCAGAGGGGACACTAGATCATCAACATTCTTCCGGCGCAGGTGATGCAAAGGTGGAAACCGACGACGCTCAGGCCGCTCAGGGCCTAAAGCAAGAGGAAGACAGCGTGAAAGACGAGGATGCGGACGCTCGGGGGAGCAGTGCGGAAGCTTCTCGGAGTGCATCGGTGGAGGTCAAACCCGAGTCCGCTATCCCCAAATTGGAGGAGGGCCGCCCGTCAGCGACACCGCCCGTCTCTTCGCGCTCGAAAAGCAAGCCCGAGCCCCAGCTTATTGGACATCTCCGGCGTGCGGAGGAAGATGCATTACGCACATTCGTAGAGATTCCTGCGAATCATTACCAGTATGGCACCCTGGGTCGCTCGAGGGAGGCGTTGGAGAGCATGACTTGCGACTGCCAGTACGAGCATGGCGTCGACGACCGTGATGTTGCATGTGGCCACGACTCTGACTGTATCAATCGACTCACGCAAGTCGAGTGTATGCCGGACGACTGTCGCTGTGGTGGGTATTGCCAGAACCAACGGTACGTTGTTGCCTGCGTGCGCTGAGCACAGGCGCTCATTCGATGCTCGCAGATTCCAGCGCAAGGAGTATGCTCCCATCGATATCGTCCTGACGGAGAAGAAGGGTTTCGGCCTTCGCGCGGCAGAAAATCTACCAAAGTGCGTATATCATACACCTAGACTTAACTCGAGCTATAAAGTACCAACGGTGCATGGCAGAGATACCTTCATCTACGAGTATTTGGGCGACGTAGTCAGCCAGCCGTCCTTTTTGAAGCGTATGCGTCTATACGCAGAAGAGGGCATCCGACATTTCTATTTCATGATGCTCCAGAAAGACGAGGCGAGATATGCCTTTACCGCGCGTCTGCACACTCCCCTGACCTACGTATCAGTTCATTGACGCCACTAAGCGTGGGGGTATCGGGCGCTTTGCGAACCACAGTTGCAATCCCAACTGTTATGTCGCGAAATGGACCGTTGGCCAGCATGTACGCATGGGGATATTCGCCAATAGGCACATCAAGAAAGACGAGGAGCTGACGTTTAACTACAATGTCGATCGTTACGGGTCAGTCAAAGAGACTTCATTTTCTTTACCCTACTCACGTACAGCTGTACTTCATAGCCACGATGCGCAGCCTTGCTATTGCGGCGAGTCAAATTGCGTCGGATTTATTGGCGGCAAGACGCAGACCGATATCGCGGCGATGGATGACCTGTATCTCGACGGTGAGCACTCAGGTCTTGCCTATCATGTCGGTGGATTGAACTTGGCACAGCACTCGGTATCTCTGAGGAGGTTGCGAATTTGGGCCTCAAAGGGAACAGGAAGAAGAAGAGCAAGAAGCTCGACGAAGACTACCTCGTCAGTTCTGCTGTGCCAAGAAGGCTTGCATGATCACTAAAGCATATTATATCTCAGCCTACTCTCAAGCCACTCGTCGAGAAAGACGTGCCGAAAGTCGTCCAGGCTCTCCGTCAAACGCAAAGCCGGAAGGTGTTGGTCAAATTGCTAATGCGTGTCAAGGTTGGTTTTACTTTTCATGAACGCGGTTGATTCTTCCTCATTTGTTGCGCCCATGACCAGCTAACAGAGGATCAGTCGCCCCTCCGACAACTGATGCGATTGCGTGGGTTCAGCGTAATGACAAACATTCTTGAAGATTACAGCTCTGACGTTGAGGTCTCAACGCTGGTGGGTCTGAAGCACGTTCTTTCAAAACCCTGCCTAAACAATATACGCAGGCGATCGAATGCATGACGACGTGGCCCTTGATTCAGCGTAACAAGGTCGAGGACTCGAAGATTAACGTGCCTGTACAAGCTTGTGCGCAGTCGGAGAATCAAGCTCTCGCAGAGCTTGCTCAAAAGGTCAGGCTTCCTTTCCTAGGCCCGGAGGCGCGTACTAATCACAAGCTGACAGCTTTTAACGCAATGGGAAGCCCTGGAGTATGCCTACCGAATACCCAAACGTCTGAAAATGGTTAGACACCTTTCAATGGCCTTTCTGACATCTGAATTAACCGCGTCAAACAGCCTGGAGAAGACAACGCCCTCGAGACCACCACTTACGACTACCGGAGCGAAGATCCTCGTCCGGCTAAACGCGTCAAATCGACCGCGTTCGAATTCGAGGAACCGAAGTTTCAACTCAGGCCTGTTTGGTTTCAGAAACGCTTGCCTACGTCTCAGTCGATATCTGCTGACCTGAAGAGAGAGACATCTCCCGACCCAGAGGCGATTGCCGCATCGTTGGGTCCACAACCATCGCGTCCCACTCAGCAGGAGCTCGTGGCTGCGATAATTGCCAAAGCGCAGGCGGAAGCAGAGGCGGCAGCTGTAGCACCGTCGGCGGCCGGCGATGCTGCAAAGGCTGATGATGCTGCGCGGAAACGATCGTCGAAGCACAAGAAAATGTCAGAGGAAAAGAAGGAGGCTCTCAAGGAGAAGAAGCTGCTGAAGCTCGTGGGAGCTGTCGTGGTAAAGTGCATGTCGAAGTACTCCAAACGCATGGATCACGATCATTTCAAGAAGCATGCGAAGGAGGTACGTGTGAACCGTGTCTGACAAATGAGCAGTCACTGATGGCGCACGGCAGTTGACGCATATCATCGCGGAGAAGGAGAAGAAGTCGTCAAGCTATAAGGAGGGACGCCTGGACTCGCTGTCGGACGAGAAGATCGCCAAGATCAAGAAATTCGCGAAGGAGTATATCGCGAAACTGCTCCACAGACTCGAGAAGGGCAAGCGGCACTCATCTTCCGCAGCGAATCCAGATGATTCGATGGACGCGTCAGGTTCGGGGGCAACGCTCGCTCAGGACGACACGCATGAGGAGATGGATCTCAATGCGGTCATGCCCGAGCTCTCGACGGCAGATTTGATGGACCTGGACGAGGACATGGACGAGGGTGAGGGCGACGGCGAGGGTGAGGGTGAGGGCGACTCGTTCGGCAGCGAGCAGTCACCACCAGACTCGGTAAGCGCGCTGGAGACCCCGTCGGCCTCGGATGCCCCTACGCCGGTCGTCACGCCTGTATTAGACCCGCGTCTGAGACATCGGAACGAGGAGTGTGGGTGGGATCCAGACAGCGACAAGCTCAGTGTGCGGCAGGGTTTGAGCACTGTCTCCGTGGGCTCATAGCCCGCACTTTGGTGTGGCGATATGCATTTGCAGACGTGTATTTGTGTATGCTAGTCACTTGGTGTAATGCATTAGGTATATGGTCCTACTGTGTCTCTTTGTCTCAGGGCTTATACTATCTGCCCTCGACCAGCGTACCTTTTAAATCGAGATATGTGAGCTCATGGACGAACCCCGATGTTGTCCGCTGGATATGTTTGATACATGTCGCAACAAGAGACTTGGCGCTCACACTTATTCACTGATACGTCTACCCTTCGTACAGCTCCAAGAAATGAAAGAAGATAGAGTCCTCCATGCGCTCTCTTATAGAATTTCCGCGGCCCCTTGGCACCCGCATTCATTGAAGGCAAAGAGACCAACGACAACCATAACGCGCCTGGCCAAATAATACTGGAACCAATATTGGCACTGACTATTCGCGGAATCTAGCCAGAGATTTATACCGTGGACCAGGTACTAAGGTATGTATATCATCCTTCGTCCAGAGCGAAGTACTACTAGAAGAAATTATAGCGTTCTACCCGACGTTGCTTTTGGAACATGCGGTCAGGAACGGGCTCACAAGCTCGGACGTGGTAGTAGCTGGGGACCGGATCCCGTTGTTACAACGGTTGCCTCCCCGGATAGGTTCCACTCACAAATCTAGCTGGGAAATTCGACAGGTCACATGTGGACCATTTGGTACTATTACCGAACAACAGCGTACTACTAGCCATGCGCATTTGAACATACCACGATATACAGTAGTGATTATACCAAACTATAAGGGCATCTTGAACATCACAGGAAGCGATAGCTAGAGGTTGTTGTAGGATTGGCAGATAATGTGAAGTCTGATATAATCTCGTATCCACGACCTTCTGGCGCTTATAGTTATAGCGGACATCCTACACGGGCGCTAAACTCTGCGTGAGAAATTTCAGGAACGAATGATTCGTGCTCAGCGCCAGCCTCTGAGCGCAGAGTGCTGAGGCAGAGAGCTTGTCTCGTACCCATCCCCCCGTATCCGCACCCCACCACCGCGAAAAGGGGGTCTGGGGCAGTTAGATAGGCGCACCCCCCCTGGCTTAAGCGCCATGCAAGCGCCGGAATGTAACGGTCACAGTAGGCTTCTGGTACCTAGAAATGATGCGATCTTTGATCGCTTTCCAAATCCGGTACTCACACCTAGCAGGTCGTGCTCGAGACTGGTGGACGCTACATTGTGGTCTGCCACAGAATCTCAAATTTACTTGTTTCAAGCATCTTAGATAAGCCTCATATACTATATACACCAGCAACCTAAGTATTTCATGAGATATACCCCTCCAGTAACATCATGAGGATGCCACAGATACTGAAAGGAGAAGTTGCAGCTTTCATCATGATGCTTTCCACATGATACTTTATTTGGTCATGAGCTTGCAGGCTGATTTTGGCATAGATTTTTTTGTGTGGCCTTTCAAGTATTTTACAAGCTCAGGTATGCCTTTGTTGACACTTCCTCGAGCACGACCTGCTAGGTGTGAGTACCGGATTTGGAAAGCGATCAAAGATCGCATCATTTCTAGGTACCAGAAGCCTACTGTGACCGTTACATTCCGGCGCTTGCATGGCGCTTAAGCCAGGGGGGGGTGCGCCTATCTAACTGCCCCAGACCCCCTTTTCGCGGTGGTGGGGTGCGGATACGGGGGGATGGGTACGAGACAACAGAGAGCTAGCATCGAAGCTGATGGCAAGCTTCCTTCCCCTTTATGGTAGCGCCTTTACCCGATTTAGATAAATTCAGCCTTCTCCGCTAACCGGACGACATGTCTTCATTTATGATGAAATGTGTACACGCCACTTTTTACATATATATATATATAAGGAGGGTGTGCGTCCTGTCGTGCGTCTTTCCCCTTCATCCCACACTTCATCTTTCCCTCGTCTTCCCCCAACGTACGCTGCGAGCCGGCGATGCAGACACGTGAACGCCCAGAGCCTAGCTCCGCGGCTGGCCCAAGTATTGATGGCGCCGAAGATATCAACGCATTTCATAATCCATCGCAAGAGATTTGTCTACATGTATCAAGATGAGGAGTCGATAACAAAACCCCATACCGGTTTGCGCTTCTAGCTGTAGAGATACATGCGTGAGTCTGCGTGGAATGATCCTTACTCCTGTGTTTTCCTGTCAATAATTGCTGAAAAATCGCGCCAAGGCAGGTAGGCGACGCGGCTCATTGGCCAGCGCGGTGCGTGCGAATGGTGGCAGATACTCCAGTCCGTCGACGAGCAGATCGGGGCCGACCTCGCGATGCGATCTGCTCGGCCCCTGCCGGCAAGGTGTCGAAAATATTGGAAGAGCTCGCGGGGAACTTGGCCACTCCTCACCGTCAAAGTCGTTCCTTTCTAAGCATCTATCGTATCTGCTCGTGAGTTCGCAAGACCCACTCCGCAGGGCGTCCGATAGACGTGCCAGCCAACAGCTGATAGAAGTGCCGCTTTGACAGCTGCGCGCTGCAGGCGGATTCGCTTGGCCTGCAGAGATTAGGTCCTATCTCTGCCAGTCCCCTCCAACCCCTCTCAGCCCACGACGACCATGGCTCTGACGCGATTCATGAGGAATGCTTCATCTGACGCCAAAACACATTCCGGGTCGCCTGAAGCAAATGTAGAAAGCCACTCTGTCTCTAGTGCTCGATCTAGCACGCTCGACGATGACCGACTACTAGAGGAGATTGGGTATGTGCCGTCGTTCAAGCGAGAGTTCTCCAATCTGGCCACGGTACGCATTCAAGTCACCTCGAAATTTGCCACTCACACGGTGTTTGTACTGCTCCAGATTAGCTTCGCGTTCAGCATAATGGGTCTCTGTTCTAGCGTCGCAACCACCTTCAACACGCCACTTCTCACGGGAGGACCCGCCTCTGTCACTTGGTGCTGGATCCTTGGTGCATGCATGTGTTTTACATTGGGTAAGTTCTATGCTCAGCCCGAAAGTTACTTTGCTCATACGGCTTAGGGTCGAGTATCGCGGAGATTGTCAGCGCGTTTCCTACGTGTGGTGGCTTGTGAGTAGATTCAAGGCGTCGTCAAGTTCGACGCTCACGACGTGAGGTGTTTAGATACACCGCTTCAGCACAACTGTGCCCGCCAAGACATCGAGCTATCGTCGGCTGGATAGTCGGGTGGCTGAATCTGCTTGGTAAGTGCTTCCTATCCAGTCCCCAAGTGGATAGCACTCCCTGTCCGGTTTGGCTTTATGAGGTGACCGTAATCCTGCCTGTAAGACATCAGGGTTGAGGAATCCGTTCGATGTGTCTCGCGAATTCTTTCAGGGAGCCCTCTTCTTTCGAGGAGTCAATGGCGGTAAACATCAGCCCTGCGGAGTTATGCCAGCAATATCTATCTTGATCGTTTTGGACGAAGATATCCGATGTCCCCGAAAGGCGCTCAGCGTCTAGTGACCCTCGCGTAATGACCAGAGTATATCGATGGCATGACCTGGGTCACTCCAAGTGTCGTCTATGAACTTCGAAGGGATAAACTCTCGTCGCTGACATGTATACGCTAGGACAAATTGCGGGTCTGTCTTCTACAGAGTTTGGTCTCGCCAATATGATATGGGCGGCGGTTGTCATTTCCAAAGTACGCCTCGTGTTCCAGGCTTCTTGTCGGCCTAACCTAACCGATGAACGTGTCCGCAGGACGGGGATTATGTAGTCACACAAGGCATGACCGTCGGGCTTTTCGCCGGCCTGTTGGTGTTCAACGGGATTCTGGTGCGTCCCGCAGCGATGATGTACCAATCAGGCGACCCCTTCAATTGCTGATAACGCCACTATCGCTGTGCAGAACTGCCTCGCAACACGCCAGCTAGCTCACATCACCAAGAGCTTTGTCTTCGTTAACCTCGGGACAACAATTTGTGCGTGCAATCTCCGACTTCCCTCATCTCCGACCCTGACCCATCCGTGTGGTCGCGGATGTAGTGATCATCATCGTGCTTCTCGCGATGACACCGCGCTCTGAGATGCACGCTGCGTCGTACGTATTTGGCTCCGCCGGCATCGTGAACCAGACGGGCGGCTGGAATAGTGGACTCGCCTTCCTCTTCGGGCTGCTGAGTGTCCAATGGACGGTGCGTATTTCTAACAGCCTTGTTCCTCGTGGGACCGTGATGTCTGCCACCAACTCCCCGGCACACGCTCAACGCGGCAAGTGTGAGCCACGCTGGTAGACGTGGTGGACATAGAGGGTCCCCAACTCCGCGGCGCTTCTGTTGCTCGTACTGACGCTGTTGGCACACTTCAATTTTGCATTTGCAGATGACGGTGAGTGCTGACCTTCTCCCGCGCTTGCGTACTCGATCGACTCAGAGAGTTTCCCCCCACAGGATTACGATGCAACTGCACACATATCGTAAGGCGCTTATATTTTGGATTGAGTTTGAACCCCCACCCGTCCCCACCTCGGCATGCTTTCCATTCATTCCCACTTGTCAACGGAACTGCCGTTGAATTGCATAAATCTCGTCTGGCCGCTCGTCAAAAGCGCCGAGGCAGCCAGGCTTGGCACTGCCGGTGTCGTACAGAGTTCGGCGATGCCATGCGAGGCAGGCAGCGCTCCGTTCGATATCTTCAGTTTCCTCGCCAGTTTGACGCGCTCGGTTCACAAGTGCTGACTTCTGGCATGCAGGGAAGAGGTCAAGCGCGCGGCATACGCAGGTCAGTGCTTGGCAGCCTTTTGACTACTCCGCTCAGGACACCTGACACGATCTTCGACTTTTTTTAGCACCCTCGGCCATATTCATCGCTGGTATGTCTCACGGCGCCTCTTTAACTCACACCATCAGAACGCTTACCATCTACTTCCCGCTGTCTATAGTCATTGGCACGGGGCTGCTCGGATGGCTTCTCAACATTGTTATGGTTCTTTGCTCAGGGCCACTGTCAGTAATCACTTTTGACTCAGTGGCCTTCGGTCGGGCTCGACTGATGTCCTCGACAGAGAGAACCTTCCTGGTCCTTCAGGGTCCGCCTTCCTCGAGGTCGGTGTTCCTGGTGCCTCACCTTGCGTGACGGTCTCATGGCTTTGCGACATCTCTCTCACCCCCCATCGTGCAGATCATGGCGCTTCGCATCGGGAAGCCGGGCGCGCTGTTCCTATGGGTATGGAGTCTGCTTGCCCTGCTTGCTCGATTGGCTCACTCACATGCGGATGACAGAGCTTCGTATGCCTTACCGCCTTCTTCGTATGTCAGACATCGCTCCAGGCATGCTCGCGGATGGTATATGCGTTCAGTCGTGACCACGGTACGCAGTTTATTACACCGCAGTGACTGTCAACGTCTGTCTCATGCTATCATTTTTACCTCAGCCCTGCCGGACCGTGGCTACTTCGGACACGTCACATCGTTCACGACCACTCCTCTCCGTGCGGTCTGGTTCACCACGATTTTCAGCATTCTCCCGGGTCTTCTTGATCTAGCCAGTCCCATAGCTGCCAACGCAATATTCGCCTTGTGCGCCATCGCTCTAGACACATCATACATAATCCCGATCTTCTTGTGAGTCTGGTCCACCGTTGGCCTCGTGTTCAGTCGGGAGTAGACCTCACCGGTTTGCCGTTGCAGGAGGCGCCTGTATTCAAGACATCCGGAAGTGAACTTTAAGCCCGGACCATTCTATATGGGTGACGGCTTACTTGGATGGGCGGCAAACCTGACATGTATCTGCTGGACGCTGTTTGTTTGTGTCATATTCTGCATCCCAACAGAACTCCCTGTTACCTCCACGAACATGAACTACGCTTCGGTACGTAGCGCCCATTTGCCATCATCCGTGCGGACGAATGTGGGGTTAAAACCTCGTGGCAAACAGGTCATCACGGTCGGAGTGATCGTCCTCTCAGGGTACGTACGTGATCTGTCAGGTCTATTTAGTCATTGACGATGCTTTCACAGCGTCTGGTTCGTTTGCGGGTACGTCGTGACAGGTGTATAGCGACCGCATGTCCACTGACGCGCCCGCGCCATGTCCAGAGGTCGCCGTCACTATACTGGTCCAAGCTTCACTGTCCCAAACTATCAGGACGCTGTCAGTGACCGGCAGTCAACTGAGGGCGAGAAGAGCGTGGATTTGGCGTAGTACGCAGTAGAACAGCCCTCCGCCGTACTAGACGTTTCCAGCCGCCAGGCCCACGTCCGAGCAGCGGAGCGGATTCGCCCCAGCTTCGCGGGTAATCCCCGTGTGCCCAACGTGTTGCGCCTCCGTATCGCCGCATATCTAAGAAGATGGCCCTCTCTAGAACTGACCCTAGCAGATACCTCTAAATGGCTGTAAAGAATGTTGTACGCGCTTAACACGGATGTACTCAAATCATACCTAACACAGTGGAACTTACAATGCCCCCGCACTGCCAGACTCGAAAATCTGATGAACCGTGAGGAATTAAGCATGAATCAAGTAAGTTCTGAATACCGCGACACGAGGAACAACTGGCTTCTGTACGATGTTGTCGAAAACACGGCTACCGCAACGCTTCGAAATTCAGAGCACCTGCATGTACGGCTGTAAATTGTCCATATGCCGTCTCCACTTTCCCCCGTTCAAATCTCTGATCCTCGCCCAACCCCCTTCGGGGCCAGCCTTTTGAAACCAGATTAAGATTGCACCGAGGTCAAAGTCAGCATAACTTGGGGTGTCGACTGGACTGAATAGCCACCGGCTTCTGTGACCCATTCTGACGGAGTCGATGAGCGCCGACAACTGGTCTAATCCTTGCCGCAATTTCGCCCACATTCCCTCTTGCTTGTGCGGAGGGAACATTTCTTCGAGTGCCACCCCTGGACAAAAGGGCACAGTCGGGATGATATAATATGGCCATTGCCTCAGCCTCAAAAACGTACCGATGAAACCCTTCCGGCTTGCGGTGTAGTAATCCAAGTCGCGACCTGTGAGGATACGCGTCGTGGTCGGGATGACCATGTAAAACATAGCCATGAATACGTGCTCGTGGATGGCTGTGATATACGTCATCTGGACGCGTTCAGTGCCACCAGGGAAGATCGTAGGCTGTGGATACGTCCTCTCGAGGTACGTCGCGATATTTAACGAATCTGCGAGAGCGACCGGGTGCCTGCCTTCCACCTCATCTACGATGGCGGGAACAGTATAATACGGCTTCTCCGTTCGTGTCGGTGGCACGCCAGCGGCTGACAGGATGGCTCCTATGTCTGGATAAGCCAACCACTGAGTGGTATATGGCAATTTCTTGAAGTTGAGAACGAATCTGGAATACGCAGACCACTATGAACGGAGTGCTGATAGTGGGGACAGGTGTTGTGCGCGCTCACCTTGTCTTCCATACGTTGGGAGACCACGCCGGGGGATCGAGGTTGCAGCGGACATCGTAAAGCTTGATGAGATGCTTTGCAGGCATGGTGCGTGGGTGGTCTGATATCGGTGACCCTCCCTAGTACTCATTTTATACAAGCGCACAATTTCGTGCTCGAGACCCTGGCCCCCAGGCTACGTGCCGACTGCTGAATGAATGACGCCCGGAGTGCCTTGTCATCACAGTCTCGGGCCAGTGGTAGATGATGACCATATCGGCACACGGAAGTTGCGCCAGCAAGCAGGTGCCGCGCCAGCATGTTCCGTGTCTCCGGACAGCTAGACGGGTCGGTGGTATGTCTCCAACCAAGTCGGATAAGACATGCGAGAGACATACGGCATGCCGTTTCCCGCAGATGATTATGGTAGTTTTCGACACACAGCGGAACGTGTCGAGTAACCAATTGTATAAAAAGCCGGATCGCGGGGCGCATGCGAGGGCGGAAAGCTTGATCTACAACCATGATCGCTTCCGGACTGTTTGTCGACAAAAATGTAACGGATACCCCTGCTGTGATGTATAACATTGGCATTGGTCCTTCTGCACGGAGTCTCATTTACTCACTCCGCCTCAATGTAGGTAATTGACGTCCGGATTTGGCTACCAAAATCAGTGTCCCTCACCGCGCCCTCGTCAGGCGCGGGATGAAAAAGGCTAAGTTGGCATGTGCCCCACGAACTGCTGAGCAGCTAGAACAAGTTAGGCTCGGTCTTGTGATGCTCGGCGGCCTCGGATAACGTAGGACGTGTCACCACTCAGACGATATCATGGACAGAATAACAAATGTGAGCCCGGCTCACCTCGCCCCTGTTGGAATCGGAGCCATCAGAGACTAGCGAGCGCCGGATCGGGGCTCGCGTAAGTTTAAACAAATACGGCGTGGAACCCGCTCACTGGCTTGCCTATACAGGTTGACCGGATTGAGTACTACATGATGGTCGGCATTATGGCAACGATTTCTCCGACCACACTTGAGGCCATTAAGCTTAGTGCACGATCCGCAGCTATAACACGATAAGACAAGTATTCATGGGCCCATAGTGGTTCTTACTAGTAGTCAGTAGTTAAGAACGCACAGACTCAGTTCTCCTGTAATCTGTCCCATAGTTGCGAGATCAACGAGATTGCCCTGATCGCAATCTTGCGGTCCCGCGACGGTCCCACGTCCTTCCATTTCTCGGCTGGTGGGGTAAGCTATCACACGTGTACAAAGATTGACGCTTCCGCGAACCGTGGTTTCAAGCTGTACAACGCCGCAACATACGCCTAGATTTGGCGATCTGCGCGACCCTGCGCGACCCCAGTAATGCGTACGTGATCATCACATAAAGCCCACGATCGGGCTTAAAATCGTGTGGCATTTCTGTTCCACATGTCAGGTGATACAAAATAACAGTCAAGCTTTGATTGAGGCGGAAAACAGTTGACGATTTGGGCTGTGTGCCGTGGGGTTAATAACATATTTGCACCCATAACAGCAATGCATGCTATCTTACAACATTTGGCATAAAACCGCCGGTGGGAATCGAACGGACTTTCGTTGGACGGGTAACAGGCTGGACTGCTATATGTTGCTCTAGACTATGCTCGTGAGAAATACAAGATCCATGAAGATATCAGTCTTGCGTCAGCCAAGCGAATTGCGTCAGGTCAGTCACGAAGATCATTGATGTCCGAAATCAGCGGTGCAAGGTGCCACAGCACCATCCAGCCCGCGCAACTTCAGGAACATCACACCGGTGGCGACTACGTCGCCATGACTGCGACCCGTCGGATATCCATCAATCTCGAACGCAGAAAGCTGGCAAAGGCTCCTGTACTAGAGAGGCGGCCCGGGAGGCCGATCAACTTTATGAATTGACCTTCGCAAGATCAAAGGAAAGGTTTACTCACAAAGATTGGCTCACCTTCTCGGCAAATTTCAATGACCACAAATCACCAAAGAGCCCAATGGCTGATGTGTGGAAGCCGAACCTGATGTGCTTGTAAGACAATTACATATCTCGGCCGACATTTACGATTGGTGTCAGTTCCCGGTGCAAGTGGAGTCAGCACGATACAATACCTGATGAAGTAGTTCATGTACTCATATCGAAGAGTCGCGCAAGTACTGGCATGTGAACATGAGCTCCCATAACGTATGAGCACTGCGGAATAACATGTGCAGCCCCATTGCCCAAGCACCGAATTTCATTCCACGAGCGTACTAAACGCTAAACCCGATATAGGCTTGTGAGGAGCAGAAAAGTACAATCACCTGCTCGTACCGTTCTTATCTGCGAGGCCACGCAATTTCCACATGACCAGGAAACATGGAGATTATCACCTCGAGGCACCAGGATCGCACAAAAACATGCGCGCAGACAAGCCGAAAGACAGTGAGAATGTAGCATGGTGCGACATGGTAATGCGGGGAGACTAGACGAGAAAGGGTAGGACAGTCTTGTCAAGAAAAGCCGCAGTAAGCTGAATCCCTCTTGCTTGTGGGGTGATCGTCGTCTGGCGAATATCCATTGCCTCACACTGGAATATAGCTGCCACACATAGAATATGTCTAGGATTCATGTGAAGGCTGTGAAACATCATCCGGCTTCTCCGAGTCTGAGCCCTCGGGTATGGCCCGCATGGTGGCATCTCTCCGCTCCCGCAAAAAGTTCTCGTATGCCTTGCACAACCACTTCAGATAGCCGAGGCCCACGCGATCTCCTACAGCGAGCAGGCGATGGTGCAGGACCTCCAGCTCATTAAATGTAAGCAATGGTGGCACGGAGTCGTCAGGCACATTGACTGTGCTAGTCAGTCTGACGAGGGGTTTTGCACCAGAGAGTACAACACGAGACGATCGAAGTGGATGCTTAGGTGAGATCCGCAAGAGTTTTGAAGGGGGATAGTGATCGGAGAAGGCCCTCACATGTGAAAGAGCACGAGAGAGATTCTTCGTGCTGAGCAATGAATTTGTTAGCTCCATACGAAGATATCAGGCCTGGAGGAAGACTTACAGTGCAAGGATCCGTATCATAGCGGCGTTTGCCCGTTCCACTAGGCGTGCATCAATCATCTTGATGGCTTCGTCTTGCTGTACGTTATCACGGGTACGCCAGGCTTCTTCGATGCCCTGCCATACCACCCATATTTCGTCGGCTAGCATGAGCGCCATACGACGTTCGCTTTTTTGAGAGATCGCGCAGCGCTCGAGTGCCTCGACATACGTCTTTGGGTTCCGTGGGACGTCCAATTCGTCGAACAGAGTGCGGTAGAGTCCACTCCACTCATCGAATGACGAATGTACGTAATGCACGGAGAGATACGCATTGAGTAGACGAGGAGTGAGTTGAACATGACGAAACGGCCTGCTCGCGATGGTGTCCCCATCTCCATCCAACGAGCTGGGCGCTGCACGAGTGTCCTCCACAATGCGTGTGAAGAGAAGCTTGGCTTCCCGAGCTACCTCTCCACGACTCTGAGGCGGGATGTGGGAGAAGCGAGAGCCTTGGCTTGTCAGGGGCAGTCCTGTTTCTGAAAAGTCCCCCGCGAGGTCCGGCTGCTCGGAGGATGAGGCGACATTCCCTTCCACACCTGTCCGCGATAACCCTGGCGGCTGGCCATGTTCAGCGGCTTGTACCAGAGAAGGCGGCTCCGACGGAGCCTGTTCGTCAACTATGAGCGTCGCCGACCGCTTGAAAGGCGGCTTGAACGCGGCATATGCATGGAACACGTGTGTCATGATCAAATCGTTGACGAGCACCTCCTGTTCTCCGCTCCTCTGCGTCATCTCCCGCACCATTTCCGCCAGGATCCACCTCGTGCGTGTCAGGTCGCCAATACGCTTCGCGCCCTCCAGAAGGGCGCCGAAAAGGCGGCGATCCGCTGCAAACGCGCTACGCCCGCGCGCATCGCGATTCGCGTCTAGCATCTCCTTCGCGAGCCGGAACGCCTCCTGCACGTACCGCCGCTCTCCACTCCGCGCGAACGCATATGCCGCGGCTGCGTAGGCGCCTGGAGTCGGCGTAAGCTGCCGATCCACAACCATCTCCGTGAAGAGATCCAACGCGCGCTCTGGCTCCGCGGGCACGGCACGGTGCGAGCACGCACGTAACATGAGCGTGTAGAGTGCCACGTCTGGCTGTGGGTGTGCAACGTAGCGCATGTGTGCGAAAAGGTCCCATGCCTGCGCGAGTCCTTGCGCAGGTCTGCTCTGCGTGGAGAGAAGAGAAGTGATCGCGCGGGTGTACGACTTCTGAGGCGCGGGCGTGCCAAGAGCTTCGTAGTGATGAAGGAGGTCGAGGGTCGATGTCGGAAACGTTGTTGGGGGCGTCGCTTTGGCGTGCGCCTTCACATGCAGATCGCGATGCACGTCGGTGAGCGAGGGTGCGGCATACTTCTGGAGACATTGTTCGACGCTGGCAACGTCACCAGCGGAAGCATGCAGCGAGAGTACGTCGATGGCGCACTCATCGACATTCGAGGCCCCGAATCGCTAAGGGATACATTGATTAGACACCAGCCTATAGGGCTTCCAGAGCAGCATACCTTCATAACGTCCAGAACAGCTTCCGCAGCACTACCATCGTTAGCGGTCACCTAAATGGGGTGACAGTCAATCGCTTTATCCAGTATGATTCCTAAGGAACAGCTCACATACACATGTGCGTGTCAGCGACGACCATTCCGCATTCGTCAGAAGACCGATCGGAACCTCCGCTGGGCTTGCCTGATTCATTTTGTCCTTGCTGTCGAAGGTTGGCACTGACAGCCGCAGTGTCTCGACGCTTGAGGCAATCTCCTGCAGGCGCGTAATAACCGGGCGGTATTCCTGCGATGACAGCGTGGACGTCGAAGATGTAGCAAGGGCATCGCTTTCCAGAAGCCTCTCGGCGATGCACCGCACGGCCTCGCTATCTTTCTCCTGAGCACGAGGGTCCTGGACTGGCTGGGACTCCTGTACGGATGGCATAGTCGTGGGCGCGAGAAGGTCTTCGTAGATTCGCAGGAGCTCGTCCTCAGAGTATGACATTATCTCTGTAGTAGACTCCTGGAAGATAATGTCATTAGACATCACGAAGCTCGATGATACGTTTCAAAAACAAAAGTTTGGAATGATTTCCTGTAGTTCGTGCAGGCTGGTGTTTTGCTCAAACCCATAACAGGATGCGTATGGTCGACGAGAAAAGGATGACATTGGGCCGGGCTCGCAAGTAATGGACCTTGACCAAACCTAGAACTGCTACCATGAAGATTTGCGTGTTAACGCGCGCTCGCGTCGGATAACACCTCGTAGGAATGTGGGTATCTGAGAGCATACTCATAAGCAAGAGCCCCACAGAGCACCCTAGACACAGAGTTGCTGCATATGCCCAATCAGTGGTCACGAGCAGTCATACTGACGCGGGTCCTTCTTACGCAAGGAGAAATGAGATAAATGAGTGGCACGAGACACTCACTTCAGACGCAACGACTTCCTTCAAAGCATTGACACGGTCTTCGAGCTCCGTCAATTCTCTCTCATCGTTCTGCTCATGGATAAAAGAAGAGACATATCCAAAGTTGCTTCCGGTGCCAATTATGTGAGATGCGTTCCGCAAGGAGAAGTGTTGGCCCATACCCTGCGTGTACGACCTGTCCACCATGCATGGTATGTTCAGAAGGGGCCTGTACCGTCCGTTCAGCGAGTTGTGCAGCGCCATGCCCCCACCTTCTCCAGACCGACCATGATCCTAAACAAACTCGTCGGGAGGATGTGCGGAGCAAGGTGAGGTCGGCCAGGACAGGAGGGAGTCGAGAAGAGGCGACAATCTGTCGCATTCTTTGACGAATTAAAACTTGACCCCAAGCTGCTGAATATGAAGCCGCGTAGAAGGCAAAGCAGAGACGGTACGACTCTGAACAAAAGAGAGCTGAAGGTAGCGTTCTGTTGACGCGAACTCATTGGACACCAAAAATATTGATCGGTAATTGCCGTCCAGCACCCAATACACCGGTTGAGGGAGTTTGATCCGTCTCCATAAGAGTCTGCATGCAATGATCAATTTTTGTACCCAAAGACTGATCATTGAATGCAATGGGAGTCTATTACTTGGAACAATATTACAGCGGGCGAAAAAACGATAGGCGCGACCACCTCCAGCAACTGTTCTCTCCGGCCGATGATCCGAGATGCCGTAGCCACAGCAGCCACAGATTTACAGGCCGGCAGCCACAGCAGGTTCGACGATGTTCGGGAAACACAGGTGACATACTAGAATACATAAATTTGTACGTACTTTGCTGGCCACTGTACTACACTTCGTCGTAGAGCCGCCTGTCCATCCCAGAACCGGAATGTCCATATATAGGTAATCAACACATACATTCTTGCAAGATCATTCATGTCACTCGAGAGCTCTTACAATTTTTCTAGAGTCCAGCACTTCTGCACTGCAGCCAGCAGTTACATCACACACATTCACAAGATGTATAGCAAAGCATTTCGGCGAGAGAAACCTAGAAAGCCGTATGGCTGGCATGACGGCTCAAGGTGAGGCGTGGGAATCTTGTTTGTTTTGGAGTAACCGTGACCGCGCATTAGCACGACATCCTTCTTTTGTATTGACGGAACATGGCAGCTGCAGCTCATTAGAGTCGCAGGAGAGTTATAAGGTGAAAAAAATTGTATGAATTGTGAGAACGACGCCGGAAAGACCGCCGGCAGACAACGTCCTCGATGGACAGGGATCAATGGTGGATAAGGTTACAAACCGATGGGGCTACCTACGGCGCGCGACGCCTACATACTGTGGAGTACGGGGTTTTGCAAAACATTTTGATGCCTGGGCCTATGTGCTCGAGCGAGCAAAATAGCTACTGTTCTACCAATCAGGCATCATTTCTAATGGTCCTGGCAGTTCGTATACCAAGCTTCAAGGAAATCCATGATGAATTGCGAGCAGTAGAGAGGTGCCGGCTGGAAGCAGCTAAAGTGCGGTAGTTCTGCAAACTCTGTCACTCACGGGTCACGGCGGCAAGTTCAAACTCCGCCGTGGCAGAAGCTGCAACAGCGCGACCAAGCGTGTCATCTGCAATCACGTTTGAGGGCGGGGATTGAATCATCACGCATGGTGGCAGGGAATGTCACGTTCATTTTGCAAACCATTCACACACCGCGATTCACTCTATTGACAGCATATCGGGCTGGAGGATCAAGAAAGGCATGGTTGGAACATACTAAATCGGATGTCCGATTGGGGACAACGGCTCATAATCACTGTACATCTGTCTTATCAAGAATTTGCAGAAAGCCATACAAAGTGTCTTAAGGCTCCCATTCCACAACAAATCTATTTCTCCTCAATCGGCTTCACAAGTAGACTACAATGTATGTCTTTAATGTCATACAAGTGTCAGAAGTACAGTCTTTAAGGTAGAAGACGAGATCACGGTGTTTTGCAAAATTGATCGACTTTGCAAAACCCCGTACTCCACAGTAAGTCCTATTCCCACACCGGCGCACGACCACGTGACCCGGGCCGGCAGCGACGCTTGCCCGACATACCCAAAAGTCAACATGAATGAGTAAAATGAACAGTATGCCAGATAGGATAATCTGCGTAAGTCGGTGGCTACATTGTGGCTGCTGTGGCTGCGGCATCTCGGATCATCGGCCGGAGAGAACAATTACTTGGGGTGGTCGCGCCTATCGTTTTTTCGCCTGCTGTAATATGCCATGCAGTGATCTATCTTGTTGTACAAAATAACAAATGAAAATTGAACGAAAAGTGAACCCGCTGGACCAATATCCTGGCGCCTAATATGGATGAAAATTCAAATTCTAATTCTTCAAATTCTTGCAACTGGATAGAATGAATGAATTTCTGATTCAAACACTAAGGTAGAAGCAAAATTGAATTAAAAATGGATAGCACATATGTGGAAAGAACAATGAAAACAATTACGTAATTACCTCATCTTGATCTTTACTAAACCAATCGCGTGGGTTCACATTTCTTTCAGTCTGAATTCAATTCTATATTCATTGCATGCAGTGTTTCTTAGTATTTATCCAATCTTTTCCTTTGTAAGATTAGTAAGTACTACTCACCGCTTTGTAATATTCGTCCGATCTTTTGGACAAGAAGATTGATTTTTGCATGCAGCGGTCGGTAGGTACTGTAATTCCGATTTCCTATCATTCGGCAGATTTGTACTGATAATTCGGGCATAAATGCTGGGAAATAATCAGTTCTCTCTGGCCCTTTTTATCTGGTTAAAATATCAGGCTCTCGCCATCAGAGGGCGCTTGCCAAACGCGTAGGAGGGGGATGGTGCGCCACCCCGAGAATATTTGCGCGCAAGCAGGGATGATGCGGAATTCGGAATCAACGGTCCGGACCATGCTGGACCCGGCAAAACACCGTCACAGCCACAATCTACGAAAGTAGGTTATAGGTCCACCTATTCTTGACCGAAGTTCACTTACAGACACATTGGATTTAACTAGTCTAAGGATAAGGAAAGTCAGCTGAAAAGATCTTCGTGAGTTCCCTCTAGGGAGACCGCGAGACAAGGGAAAATCAATATGACGACTGTTGGTGTTGAGATAGTACACGCGGACGTAAAACTCAACTCTGTAAACCTGAAGGCGAATCACAAAGCACAAGGGAAAATCACCATGATGCCTCTAGCAGGTGAGAGTACATGTACTCTAAACTCGTGCTTCGGTAAAAAATCCCTGTACCACTCCGGCACGCCCCACAGCGCTACCAAGAACTCGTACTGCGCTTGTGTCAACCGCCGCTTGAACAGGTACGATCTTGCAGTCGTACACACAGCAAATAGTTCGTGGATTTCGACAGAGGGATCGTCGGGATCGTCGGGGATGGGTATGTCATGGGGAAGGCCTCCCATCCAGTAAAAGTTGGAGTATTTAATCCTTTGCTCCAGTATGCATTGTCCGGTGAGTATCAATGAGTTCCCGATGGGATTCCCTTTCCATAACCTTTCAGCAAATGAGGCGAACCATCTCGGCGTGACCTTCCAGCCGAGAACGTAGTGTCGTTTGTGTTTCTGGTAGCCTTCGGGGAGAGGAGGATATGTAGCTGGCGGTGATTATTTGGTAGCGTCAATGGGGCGTTTGAGAATCTGTCTATGAGGTGGCTTCGGCTAGAACAGACATGATTTGTTAGGGACAAATGTGAACACTGTAAGAGACCAGGGTACCTCCGTGTCCTCGGGATGCGGAGAAGTCCCTTCAACTTGTGACTCAGACATGAGGTAGGAGGTCAATAGCAAAGATGAGAGGGGCTGATGCAAGCATCAATGTGGTGGTTCAGTGGTTCATCAACGATCAGATCGTGGATCAGGTCTTCCTCGGACTTGTGGCGTCTGTGGCCTGGGGGCGTCCCATAGGCAGATCATAGCTGGTGACTTTTCGAAGTGTGGGAGGGCATTGAAAAAGCGAGTCCAACGATGTCTAGGTCCGAGCGGATAGTGCAGACTATGGGCACTGATGTGACACCTTCAAGTAACCATGAATATAGAGATGGGTGATATGGTATAGATACATGACAATAATACACAAAGTGTAGGGCGTATTCATAAATAGAATGGTATGCCGTAGATCACGGGGGCAGCACCAGTAAGATACTTCAATTTACAGCAACTTCGCGCATCTGCAACCGCCTTCGCGACTGATACCGCCTTGCCTTTGGGGCGGGGCTGGGCGACGCCTTCGGGTGTCAGATGCAACTGGTCAAAGACAACTTGCGAGTATTTATCGATGTCACGGTCTGTAACGTCCCACAGATTAGCCACGAGCGTCGGGCTGCAAAGACATTGTTTCAGCGGCTCACGTCCTCTACGTCACAATAATCCACTCACCATCCAGCAAGCATATAGTTATGTGGAGTGCCTATGCGGTCAAAGTCGCCCATTTCCCGCAGCGTACCCGAGGAGCAACCCCAAAGCATGGTTGCCGCACAGCGCTGCAGATGGCGAATTTTTGAGGATCGTATATACTGCTCGGCACCGCCATGCCCGAAATATCTACAAAGGTGGATAATGAGCAGTGATTAGAGCACAAAAAATGAAGAGGCTTGCATCACAAGATCGTTCCGTGTTAGGGCATCTGCGAACTGTTGTTCGCTCGGAGTCCGTCCCACCAAACCATCCCAACCAACAGACTTCATACTCCCTAGCCATGCTGAAAATCGCTGCTCGGTGTTCTTAAGATCTCCGCTGGGATTGAGGAAACAATACGCCTTGCGGGCATTCACCGCTATGCGGTCGACTGCCGCGTCATTGGGCTGTGGCAGAACCCGATTGAACGCATTATGCTGATGTGCGTAATCGACACGATCCATGAGGAAATCGAGGTTCGGAACACGAAGGACAGTCTGACCACGGAGCATCGGTAGCGACTCCCAGGGAATCCCCTGAACGTTCTTGTCCAAGACCAAGAACGTATGACTGTCCTGAACGGGCTTTGTAAATCGCGCCGTCTTTGCTGCGTGCTCTTCCAACACGCCTCGCAGATCGACGACGAGTTGATCAATGTCCACTTCTGCGATGGAGACCGACGCGCCGTGGAATTGATAGAGATCCAGAATGTGGTAGATCAGATCCTCCAGCTCTTCATCGCGGCTTCCTATGGGAAGGGCAGCGAAGCATTCGAGAATGCTATCATCCAGCTTGGCTTGAATCATCTGCTTCTTCTCCCGGGAAACATGGCTGGCCGCGAAAATCTGTTCCAGGCGGGACCGCAGTCTATCGAGGACTTGAGAGGGGATGTCTATGGGCGCACTCAAAATGGTCTGCAAACCCGGTTTAGCCATTGCTCACCCTCGAAGATGAATTTATACCAACCTTGAAGGCGCCAAACCAGCAGAACTCGATATTCTGGAGAAGTTCCTGTAGCTTCTTGTCAAGAGCAGTGCGGTTGGCCCACCAAGCCGCCCTCGCTGCTTTGTCGCCCTTAGTGACGCTAGCTGCCTGCCTAGTCCCTTCGTCATTTAGACGGAGGATATCCTTGAGTTCGTTCATTACGTCACTAAATGCTAAATGCTCATCCGCTTCGTTCTCGCGACGACCTTTGAGCGGTAAGCAGAAAACTAATGGTTTTCGATGCGCCCTTCGACGAGTGACGAGGAGAGTATTTTTGTCGTCAGTGACGCTGATATTGAGAACAGTCCAATGAGCTGGTAGAATATCGCATTGCGACGCGGAAGCATCAGAAAGAGCTAGGCCCTCGCTTTGGTATCTACTCTTGACTGAATTCCAGTAGTCGCGCAACCAGGGTGAAGCTGTCAGATCCACCTCGTCATCTGAGTTGTCAAAGGGGTCCGAGTTGAGACGCTGGTGTGCTCGTTTGACGTTGCCAGCAGGGGCATCCACACCCAGAGAGGGCCATTGCAAATCGTTGTAAGCAACAGGATCCAGGAACTTGTGTTTGATAGCCTCGAGCATCTCTCGCCGTAACGTGACCCCTGTCGATGCATCTAGACATAAAGTTTCAGATAGAGTTGGGACTTGACTGACGGGACACTGATGCTCACCGACTAGCCGACTGATCGCGTCCGCAATCAGATTATCCTCTGTTCCAAGAGAGCTGCGCAAAGTCTCCATCAGGGCTAGAGATATAGAGGTCTCCCTGATGTGTGTAACTGTGCCGCGTCGCACAATCAACGGTAAATCTGTTCGTAACAAATTCACTACACTGGTCAATTGGCCTAATACTTCCTGCGCAGCAGCAGAAGAAGTGAGCAGTCTGTCACTCGACATGCCGGTTGGTATTGTAATAGCTATCAGAAAATTAGTATGATCGTATACATGAATACCAACATCGCGCACCTGATTCGGTGAGAGAGTTGAGGAACATGTCAGTGCGGAATTGAGACCAGACATCATCAAGAGTCATTCTTGCCAGCAATACGCTCCTCTCTGCCTGCACAGTGCGTTAGAAAACAGAACGCTGAAACGAGCCATTAGCGGTCATACCTTTGTCTCAGCAGACGTGGGTAGTGAAGAGAATCGGTCAAGAAGTACTCTGCAATCGTCGCCAGAGTGTTTCAGAAGTGATACTACGGCAGTCTCGGTTAGATGTAATTGTGTGAAACATCCAATGGCGTACTGTGTTGCCGTAGAATAATAGCGAGAACCGTCGGTGCTAGTGTTTCGCCCGTTATCCGTGGGGCTTGTGCCTGACCGATTGATCGAGGAGAGATGGCGGAAGATTTCCTGTATTTGCATCAGATATAATACTGCTAAGACTAACGTTGATGACAAGGCCCACCTTACATTGACTGCGTCTAGGGATGAGAACGATCTTGCCAATTCGTCTAACAATACTACGGCTTCCTCGTACAGTTGTATCGCTTCTTCGTATCTGGCACTTCTGTGTTGGAATTCCCCGCGCAAGCGGCGAATGTCAGCGGCGTGGAGCCCAGACATGTTGGATGCAAAGCTATGTGCCTGCACAATCTTGCTGTGGCTTTCCTCCACCTGACCAAGATGGAGCAGTGTCTCTGCTTGTAGCGCCAGTGCTCTGCTAATTGTCGCAGGCGCGTTCATTGACTTGGCTAGTTCATTTGCCTGCTGCGCAAAATATTCTGCTTCACGTGGTGATCCACGAGTGTGATAAGCCTGGGTGAGCGCAACAAGCGTCTCTAGAAGGCCGTCGATTATCCGCCACTCCATCAAGTCTGTTGCTGAATAACTCCTTGATGGTGTAGATTCCGCAACTTGAGCAGGAGGTTCACGTCCTGCGTCGTCCTTGCCATTGTCTGTGACCTCGAACGGATTGTCAGGTTCACTATCCACCTTCGCTGTTGGGCGCAGTCGAAGACGAGAGAGCGTATCTATGGTGCGGTTCCATAATCGGAGGGCTTGCAGGAGACCATCTACAGCAGCAAATATATTGTCCTAGAGCGGCAGAATTGAGCGTCGTGTACCATCAACAATCACCGAAGCCGACTTGTGCTAACCTTGGAGTATTGGAGGGCGGAGAACGTCATTGACGCGGCAGCAGCGCGCTCTAGCGTCATAGCACGTTGCTTTACTCGTTGTGCAGTGCTCAGTCCCTTCTCCTGAGTGATCAGGGTTTCCGACAGAGAAAGAGCATCACGGTATGCTTGCGCTCTATGTAATATTAAGCGTGCTTTGTGTCCCTGAAAGCATAGTGTACCCACCCTTCTGATGTGCGTCCTGCGGCAGCCAGCGATTCAGAATAGCAAAGCAGGACTGTGACGCGGGTTTCCGGAGCGAGTAAGCTCAAGGAAGCGTTCGCGAAGACCTGAGACAGGATTGAAACTGCCTTCTCTGGTCTTCCAAGTTTGATGTGTTCGTGGGCGACATCTATTGACATTAGCACGAAATCTGCGTTATTCATCAGCTCTGATAACAGTCATCATCACTGTTACAAAGCATCATTTACCTTCGGTCAGTACTTGATCCGACTTGACACTGAGCCTTCTCGCCAGCGTGAGTAGGCGGAGCTTCAATAGCTGGTGACCCAGAAAGCCCAACAATCGGGACGTCATCCCTGACAAAAAACCGAGCAATCAAGCAGGCGTAGTCTGGGCTGCAATAAAGGTACTTACGAAGTAAGGTCATTAGTTGAGAGTGATCGACAAGATTTGAAGCTATCGTTTCAACAGCATGCAGGAGCTTCTGCTCTGACTGTACGTTTGGCGAAACATCGTGTAGGGCTACAGCGCGGAAGGTAAGCGTCATAGACTTAAACGTATAGAAAGCCGTTACAACCTTGGCGTCGCTTCGGAGTAACCGGAGCTTCCGACTTCGTTGTCTTCGTTAAGCGGGGCTTCAGCGTAGCTGCCCGTGGTTTGGCCGGAGGCACTATCTTCCTAGCTGTCTTCCTCATAGGCCTCTGACTTTCCACCTTAGGTGATCTTCCTTTGATAGCGCCAAGTGAACCTCTGGGGCCTGACTGTCGTGGGGCATGAGGCACCATGGTTCTTAGCAGCCTATACGCCTCTTCGATTTCCTGTACAGCAAGAGACGCGCTATGCGTTCCCTCCTCTGCACATCTATGTCTGTGAAGTGCGAGCCACAGATGTAACCTAACCAGATACTCAGTACGGTTGTGACTCAGATCAAAGTCTGAGGCGTAGTCCTGAGATGAAAGTCAGAGACCAGGAATTAGGTACCATAAGAGGGACAAAACTACCTCTTGTTGGAGCAGCGCTTTGATATGCTGGCCGCTTTCTTGTACCGCGGCTCCAGACGATCGCTCAATTTCGCCTTCCGCGAAGTACATCATCTCCAGCGCGAGCAAGAACACTCGCGCCCTCCGGACAGGAAGTTCTCGCGCAGCGTACACGTCCAATGCATCCCTCAGTATCTGCTGAATGACACTATGGACGCCGCGCTTCCATCTGCAGCTCAGGAGACTTGCGACCTGACGCTCAAGGAGCGCCCCAAGGATACACGCTGCGCTAGGTGTGCGGGCAATTGCTGCCGTAAACCATGTCTTCGCCGAGATTGCCGACGGTTCGAAGAAAAGGTCGCACGCGCCCATGTAGGTGACTCTATCGATGACGGTACCTACTTGCTTCAAGGCCGTCGATGCTTCGAAAGCTGCCGGCACGTCAGATGTTCGTAGACGACCTTGAAAGGATGCGTCATGGAAGGGAAATGCTCTGATGCATTCAATAAAAGCATCGTATGCTGCCTATGGGGATCGTTCAAGCCTGTTGATAAGAGACACCGAAACTGCACTCACCCTCCGGTCGCCAATCTTCACAAGACAAGCTCCCAGTATCTCCCATCGGCGCCATATCTGCTCTTCCAGCTGTACCCATCCCTCCTCATCCCGGTCTTTGATGCCTTCTCGTGGCGGCTTGTTAGGGTCCGAACACATGCGGCGCATGCACAATGCTCTCCTGCCAAGTTCACATCCCTCATTCAAGAACCGAATGGCATGTGAAATCCGGTCAGTTTGATACAAAGTTCCTGAGATATTGTAGAATGCACCGGAGAGGCAACGAACATAATTCGCGAGGGTTAAATGGTGTCCTGGGGATTCGTCGACCTTCGCACGAATACCGGTCTCAGAACTTGCATCGTCGATGTACCAGAACAGCATGGTCTTGGCACGCTGAAGCAACTCCCATGCGCTGCTGTATGTATCTGGATTGCGTACGACAAGAGCGGTACGTGCAAGCACCAAAATGCTGTCCAGCGCGGGTGTCAGGATGTCCGTGTCTACGATAAGTTGCCCACTTGAGCACTGCTGCAGAGAAATGAGTCATGTCAAGCTAAGTAGCGGGACAACGCAGCACGTACATATTCGACAAGACCAACGAGCGTGTTCGAGATCTCGCACAAGATAGATCTCGCGTTGTGCGTCACATCGTCAGGTCCGACTTTAATATGAGCATCTCGCGGGGACGACTCGACTATCTTGAGGACTGTCCGACGCAGTCGTTCGAGTGCCCGTCTGACTTTCTCCTGGTTGGATTTCAGTTCGCGATCTCCTCTGCCAGTAGCTGAGAGTCCGGATATGAGAACCGCGCTGGCAGATTGAATGGACGAGGCGGCATCCTTAACACGAGAGTTCCTTTCTTCAGCTGGACATTCTGGATTGCCATCAGATTGAGTAGATTGCGTCAAACTCAGGAGCTCACCTGACCACCTCTCAAATACTGCGCTGGCTTGAGTTAGTGCCATGGCCACAGAAGATTCCTGGAGAACAGACGCGACATGGCTGAGTCCTCCATCTATCACAGGAGAGGCTGTAGGCACTCCGTGTTCAGCCGCTGGCAGCGTTTCCATCCGAGCACCTGCAGTTGTTGTGTGCTGCTTGCGCGTTAATGCCATGATTCTGTCCAACATCTTGAGATCGCCGGCCTGTGGCATAAAAATGGTCGTCAAGATGTGCTATCCGTCATACAAAGCGAACTTGAACTACTGGCACTCACCTGCTTCGCCCATCCCGCCCATGATTCGCAAAACCGGATGAAACCCTTCCCACTCATGAAGGTGTTTGCATCGCTACGTTGCATCGCATGACCCAGCAGCTCTTCAGCACTGCGGGAAGCGAACTTGACTACGACGTCAGGGTCATCTCCGGGTCCGCGCTCTGTGTAATATGCGCGAGCCCATCTTACAGCCTGATCCCAGAAAGTGTCCGGCACCACGACACCAGGTCGTGTGTTGGCAAGGCAGAATAAGGCGAACTTCTTCAGTTGGAATTTCTCCTCGGGCGTCGCTGTTGATGTAGAGGCCATCTTTGCGGCTGACGTGTATGCTCGCGTGAACAGAGCGTCATGTTGTTTGGCAGGAAGGTTGATGAAGCGTGGTGCCCATGCTAAGAGGGTGGGGAATGAGGGATCATGAAGAGCGGTTACGAATGTAGGGAATCCTGTTTGGCGTCGGCAAGCTAAGGTGAATGAGTGGAGGAGGAATGTGGCAACAAGTGTGAGAACGATATCAGAAGGGTTCATGTCAGCAGCAGGAGCTGGGAGCGTTAGGAGGTGCATCGGAGACCGTTCTTGCGAGAAGTCGTAGTCCGGTCTATAGAAAGCAACGAGCGCTGGCCGCATGTCCTCTAATACTTGAAGCGCTATGTTATCCTGTAATTTTACGGACGACAGGGATTCCGGTCAGTCGCGAACACACTCAACGAGACGGATACAAACATACCATCTCTAAAGTAATCAACTTTCCGGCAATACTAGATGCTGCTCGTTCGGTATCCGTACGCGCTGATCCAAGCTTCCTGAGCTCTCGCAACCCGTCCCTCGCAGACGTTGCCCAGGTTTCCACCTCTTGGCGGCTTCCAATAGAAGTGTTCTCGTCAAGAGCAGAAGCCAGCTTTTTCGAGACAGCATTCACTGCTTGCATGGCATTGCGGGAGCGTGCTTCAGTGGATATCGCAAAGCACTGAGGCACGGCCTTTGCTTTCCCTTTGGTTTTGGGATCGGAAATAGACAATTTCGCCGCAACATCGTTAGCGAGGTCGTCAACAGTAGGAACAGGTGCTTTTGTCCGACGGGTAGGACGCGCAATTCTTGACGCCGCTGGACGTGGTTTCGCAGTTGCCGCTGGCATTGCTGGGCGAGAGGAGGATGGAGTGATATCGGAAGTAAAAGCGGTGGCGAGTGGTGACAGTCGCGTTTGACTTTCGGTTGACACGCGTGAACGCGTACGTCCCGTGATCGTCGCACGATGAACCGATCCGTTTTGAATCAAGCGCCAGTCGGACTGGTCCGCATCATCTTCGATAACGCCGACTGGCGCGTACAACAGATTCAATGTTGTGACAACGTTGATCCAATATGTACTGTTCGGTCACTTGCTGTAAGCGGACTTTTGCTGCCGGAAGGCTGCATACATTGAAATGAACCCGCACACTTGCCTACTACACCTATTGACAGAGGATCCACAGACGTCGCGAATTAACATGACATAGGCCACTCAGTCTGCACCGAGCCCCATATACATTACAATATTTTCGAGAAGTTGGAGTATATCGCTGTCTTATACTCTCTTCTCGCTGTACGTCGCTGACTTCTCTTCCTCTAATTCGGTACGCTCCGTACAAGGAAGATTGGATACTGGACCTTTGTAGTGACGGCGACCCCTGATGCAAGTCATCAGCTGTGTTCACGATGAACAGGGTGTCTGTTACTTACCCACACAGATACCAAAGCCTATTGACAGCGATCGTTCAGTATACTGAAGACAGTCACGCAGGAGACAAATGATGACGAACCCAGATAAAATAGTCACGCCCCCCAGCATGAGCTAATCGCTATGTCAGAGTGATGCTCGCGATAGTTCCATAAGCAGGATCATACCGAAGCATAGTTCATGTTTAGCCTTGTGACCGGACGCTCAGTAGGAATGCAGAAGATGATGCAAACGAATGTTGTCCAGAATATGCATGTCAAATTGACCGCCCAGCCGAGCACGCCGTCTCCCATATAGAAAGGGCCGGGCTTGAACACCACCTCAGAATCATTCCGATAGATACGTCGCCTGAGGGGGTAAAGCATTGTTATCATCCAGTAAATCACCTCGCAGCTGGCGTGTCGCTCACGAAATAATGGGGATGATGTACGACGAGTCCAGCGCTATGGCGCAAAGGGCAAAGACGGCGTTAGCTGCGACAGGACTTGCAAGTTCAAGCAGTCCGGGAAGAATGGCAAGGCCGGTCGTGAAGCATACAGCGCGGAGTGGCGTGCTCGTCCGCGACGATATTTTCCCGAAGTAGCCACGATCTGGAAGGCCTAGGTGGAACAGGAAGCCGTTATTCGTCACCGCCGTCTTGTCAGTGAAAGCAAGTATAGCGTACCATGATCGCGGCTGAAGGCATACATCATTCTTGAGCAAGCCTGCACTGTCGATTGGCAACAGAAGAATGCTGTGAGGCAGACAAATGTCTAGTGGAACAGATTAGCGCATGCATTAAACAAAACCCCATTATTGATTGCTTACCCAGAGGAATAACGCCCCAGGCTTGCCGATACGCAGGACCATGATCTGACATGCCCGTTTTAGCGAACCGCCTAGATGCAACGCCACCGTGCTCGTGCAAGTGTACCGCCACGTACTTGCAGAAACGCTGAGCCTGAAGGGCCAGGAAGTTGCTCACTGGGAGGGACCGTGACAGTAGTGGTCTAGAACAAAAAAGACGACTTACAGGGGCCCAGAGCACAGCACCGCAACGATATTGAATACCCAGCCGAGAAGTCCTGTACCGATAGCTGCAACCGAGACGGTTCCAGAAGTCAGTCCTACACAGTGCGAATATATGAGGAGCATACTAGCAATGAAGATTGCCGATGGCGCTGAAAGTTTGTGGTCAGTCCATTAGGGCCGGTGATATAAAGAGATATAGGGGTGTTCAAACCTGCGTAGGCGGCACGTCTCACTTCCTCACTGCAAATTCTCTGTTAGAGCATATCCTTTCCGCCGAAGCACCAGCAACAGTGAAGTAGCTTACGAGATATGAGCCGTTCCGTCGTAACCCTGCGCAAAAGAACAACGATATCAATACTGCGCGCTCGGAATACATCGTTCACGGGCACGCACCGTCATCTGTGCAATCAATGGAACTCCATAATAGTGTCATGCGATGAAGATATATACGCACCGTCCACTGTACGCTCAGCAGTCCGAAGAGGAATGCAAGTCCATCGTTCCAGCCACCTGTCTGGTTCACCAGCCCGGCAGAGCCGAATACATAACTCGCGGGATGCATTTCGGACCGTGGCGTCATCGCCAACAATACGATAATGATGACTGTCGGAATCCCCGCATGTGAGTACGACAACGAGCGTCTTAGACACAACGCACTGATTGTCGTCCCGAGGTTCACAAAGACAAAGACGTTCGTGAAGAGCGCCAGGCCTCTCGTTGCGAGACAGTTCTGCGTATAATGACTCAGTTTCCGCAAAGTGTATCAAAGCTACCAAACACACCAGCAGTCCATTGAAGACCAAAAGAGCTACAAAAAGCCCCACCGTCATGCCGTGTGTCACAACATATTGACCATCCTATCCGTATCGAACGCTTCAGAGTCCGCGCCCGGTGAGACGATGAGGATGATACACACTTTTGAGATGACCACAGCGGCCCAGATCATGTTGGCAAGACCAATTTCTGTAGAACATAAACCGCATAGCTGGCCTGCACAATATGAGAGTAAGGACATTGCCAGAAACGTCGCCAGCGCTCGTAGTCTCGGCAAAGTGTTTGTGTCAGGCTGAATGTCATGCAACGTACCGAGTAGTTTTAACCAGCCAACAATCCACCCAAGTAATGCACGTTGCCGGGGAGGACAGAGCTGCGCTGTAGCAGTATATCTAAACATGTGTACATTTTAAGCCATCTATCTTACAAAATGCCCTTAGATCGGGATGCGGCAGACCTACGTTCCGCCGCAGGTTGGGAATGCGCTAACGATTTCAGCGATGCTCGTTCCTGCACGTCAAGTGGATGGCAACAAAAGAAGTTCAGTAATGCGCAAGCTCAGCCACGCGCGAGTGGCTTTTCGTACCAAGCGTAAAGCACATGCAAGCGCCAATGATCCAACACCAGGTCACAGAAGCAGGTCCTCCCATCAGAAGTGGAGTATTGAACGTCGTTGCCACACTCGAGCAAAGTCCCATGATGCTAAACGCGAAACTGATCTGTACGGCGCGATAAAGCAACAGCGCGCGGTGAGATTCTAACAATTGCGCACCGTAGCGAGATTAGAAAATTCTCGTTTGAAAGAGGGCACATAGCCCATTTCCTCGAGAACCTTGTCATCTTCGTTGGTAGTAGGATCAACAGATCTCGACATGGATACAATTTCGGCATCCAGATCTGCATTAGGAGCTCCTGACTGAAATTTCTCCATAGTACCCAAGAACGCAGAGCGTTAAATATGCGCGCGAGGATTCGAAGATGGGCTAATGGCACAGAAGTCGAAAGTCGCAGGGTCCGTATATACCCCCCGACAGTGAGGGCGTCAAACAGCGCCGTTATCAGAAGGCTCACAGAATGTCTGTCGCGTGCATACCCCGACAGAGAAGCCTTGCCGACGTCAGAGTGGATACATCGAGAGTGGCCTCTCGGCGCTCGCCTATACGGTTCACACAAGAAAACTTGTGTATAAGATCCTAGGGTCTTGGCCTGACGGAACATTGCGTGATCGAGTATCTCGGTGGTGGCAGTGTTCAGGTTGTTGTTGAGTGATGTTGTAGAAGACCGCTGCGCGCAATTGGCGCACTGGGCGCTACCCTGTATGATGCAATCCGAAGTACGAATCACGAAAGCCAGTGCTTATCCATAATTGGAAGCAGATTTCGATGGTTGATTAGGATGTCAACTCTGAAAGAAAAAACAATACATTTATACTGTACCTCGATGTCCCTAAATAGTTCTGCCACAAATTTAGCATTTCGATCCTGTACAAATAGTGCTGAATGACGAGGATGTTTCACAGTGCACTCAGACAATCCGGATGAGTCGACTTGCATACTAGCAGAGTGATCCTCGTAAAGCGCCTGAGATATATCACCACCGAGGGAGACACATCGAGATCAAATAGCGAGCCGGACACGGTCCGGAGAGTCAAGGCGAGCGCCCAACGAGCGCCCATAGTTCACCACGGTCACGTGGAGACACTTGGTACTCGCCCCCGACTCGGACTCCAACCATTCGCCGCACATATGTCTTGTTGTATTGCTAGAGTGAACGGTATGATTCAATTTTCATACACGTAAGTCAACTACTTTACAACGATGTAGTATCAAACGGGAATGCTCCAGCAGTGACGGGAAACATTTGGGGCCCTGTATTGATGGTCACCCTAGCAGGTCCGCCACAGAGGACACGAACGCGTTCCGGCACGGTGACTGACGAGAATACGACATCTCTATGACCGCATACGGTCCAGTCGCTTGCGCCAGGAGTGGATTAGCACCATAAAGTGGTTTCGAATGTGCAACTAACAAAGTCTATCTGTGACACACGCCCAACAGTATGTTTGTCTCAGAGTAGTGATTTCAACCGCGTGCCGGATGTGGAGGTCGCTTGCTCAAACATGCACACAGATGTGTTCAGCACACCCCTTATATGACTTCAGAAATTGTGTTCGGTACGAGGATATATTACAGCAGGCCATGAATGCGCACAAGCGAATCTCCATCTGCGCGCCAGAGGAGAACGAGTGTCAGCTTCGCCATGATCAGAGAAGAAGCCAACGCACGTACCTGCGATCCCATCCTACGGGTCGCAGCCTACTTGCTTTTGGGCGGCTCAGCGCAGTTGCATGCCGGATAGGTGCATGAACCACCGTTGGCCTGGACGTTAGCGCACTTGACTGTGTCCTGCGACAGAATCATGTCAACGTTGGCTAACATACGAGAGGTGTCAGTCACTCACAGACATGTTGTTTGAGTGGGTTGTGTAGTTGACGACTAGAGAACACAAAAGCATACCAGGGCTGCCTTTATACTCATCCCGTCTACCGACGACACGAGCAGGGTGTGGTCAGCTGTATGCCTCCGTCTCCTCTGCATATGGAATGCTCGTCTTGCAGTTGGCTCGACTTTATCGACAGCGGTATTCACGCGGTGCTATTGGTGGTGCACACGTCCAATCACGTAGAGCCGCTCTGTCAGTGAGGAAGAAGCGAAGCAGAGACCGACGGAGCTTGAGCTTCATTCTCTAGGACTCCGAGCTTGAACGCCGTTCCTGCGATGCTCGCAATGTAACACTTGCTTTGCAGCCATGTTTCGGACCCCAGACGCAGATCGATATATCCAGGAGGGTTGCCCAAGAGCATTGCATGTGACTTGGGACATCAACGACCTCAACCACCAGCAGCGTGACGCTGATAAGAAACAGCACCCGGCATAGTGTGGTCTGGAAGATAAAGGCGTAGGCTATCGAGTAAGGAGACCAAGTCCTCCGGCAGGCGTCTATTCCTTTGACCTCTTCGCTGGTGTGAGCACTTGAGCGTCGGCGCCAGTCGATCTGATGTACCCATCACGATATGTTTCCGTTCGGACCATAACAGCGCGCTGCTCTTGTTGCGATCCTCCATCTAGGCCTTTCACATATCTAGTCCTGCTATCGGACATTGCATCCTGCATCCACCTGAACTCAACAACATATGACTGGGTACTTGCTAACGTTCAGAATGACGCCGGAACATAAGTCGTTCTGCTTTTGATCACTGTTGTCAGCTTCTTTTGCTCTCTTTGCTGCGCTCTCTTATCGCGTTTTACACCGCCACAAGCATTATGGCTGCGCCACGAGTCATGGGCATTTGGCACAGCCACAATCGCCATCAGGACAAGCTCCCTCAAAGTTTGGCTTTTACGCTTGGGAGATCAACAATCACTCCACGATGTTGGGCATCAGCCCGCTACGGACCTGTGACTGCAGCCTGAAACAGGGTGCGGCCGATTCGCGGCTTTGGACGCTGCGTGTCCACAGAGAAAATGTCAAAGTCTATTGGTATAAAGCCTTCCTCTGACGCCGTTTGGGACGGTATTCCTCTTCCGTTCAGAATGTACCGCCCATGGTGGTTTGCGCAGGCCTTCCTTGTCCTTCTTTTGCATCTTGGCACATGTTATGCTCATTTTAATGAATCTGCCTGCTCTTTGTTTACCCTTAATCATCAGACGAACGTTGCTCTTAACACAGTGACTTACTATCCCGTGAACACCACGGTGAACATCACCAACCTGTTTGAGACCATCGATGTGGACAACCTGCCTGGGTTCTGTCGCATAGAGCTCGTGATCACTACCAACGCGACTGCCAACTCGTCCTGTAACACTGAGGTTTGGCTTCCCGATAACTGGAACGGCCGATTTGTCGCATTCGGCAACGGCGGCTTTTCAGGCGGAGGTACGTGAACGTGCCAATGAGAGCACATGAACCTTACGAGGATTGCTGCAGTGAATGTCGCAGAGCTGGGCATCATTGGTATTGCCCAGGGTTGTAAGTGTCGGCATGTTGATCTTCCATCCCGCTGACTGCTTATTATATGTTGCTCGCAGTTGCAGGAGTGTCGACCGACACCGGCCACACTTCTACACAGGGAAGCGGAACGTGGGCTGGTCCGCATAACGATGTGGGTCTTCATACAGCGCAACGGGTGGCTGGTTGGGCTCGCCACTGATTACTATCAGAATGCAATTGTGGATTGGGCGTGGAGGGCGTTACATATGAGCGTCGTCACGGGCAAGGAGGTAGTGAAACAATACTACGGCCAAGCACAAGACACGTCGTACGCTCAACGGGTAGCGGCTTTCACTCTGTCTCGATTGCCATTCTGACTGACCGGGGGCACTTGGAACGCAGGCGGACGCCAGGGGTACGCGTCCAGATATCTCATGCAGATGATGGCTCACTCGCTTGCATTAGACTCAAGGAGGTACAAACTTTCCCAGAAGACTTTGATGGTGTCGTGAGTAACTCGTAGAGATAGCCCTGGCATTGTCGGTCTCAGCGTCTCAAACCCCGATAGATCGTCGGATCGCCTGCCAACTGGCAGACGCACCTGCAAGACTGGTCCATCCACATGAACCTGAATGTGCAGCCATCGAACTCGACACGCTTCATCAACGCATCTGTCTGGGAGAACGTCATTCATCCTGAGGTGCTGCGCCAGTGCGACGCCATCGATGGGGTAAGTGCTTCTGGACCGCGGGCGAGAGGGAAGTTTGGTCGCTGATCGGACTGGACCTGACAGCTCGCGGACGGGATCATCAGCGACCCGCGGTTCTGCGAGTGAGTACCAAACCAGATGATGTCTCCTCCCCGTGCTCATGGTCCCTGCGCCCTTGCATTCTTGCTCCGTAGCTTCCGCCCGGAGATGCTGACGTGCCGTCCCGGTCAGGATGCCTCGACTTGCCTGACGCTCGACCAGATTGCGGCAGTTCAACGCATATACTCTGACTATGTCGTGGGCGATCAGCAATGGATCTTTGGATCGTACTATCCCGGAGGCGAAGAGAAGTATGGGAGCGGCCTTGTGTCGAGCAAGCCATTCTCTATTGGCGAGGACTGGTTCCGCTACTTTGTGCTCAAGTAAGCAGGTCATAGATTGCATGCGGTAGGATCTGACTCCCAGCCAGCGACACGAAGTGGACTATTGAGGACTACAACTCTTCTGTAATTCCGATTGCGGACCACATCAAACGTGCGTTGCTTGGTGGTGTCGCGACTTGGGGTCGAGCGACAGGAGAAAACCTAAAAGCTGGGGGCATTCGACTGGTTCTTACCGAAGCGATGGTGAGCTAGGCTCGAACCTAAGGCTAGGGACAAGAAAGTATATTAGTTAGTAGGGTAAGAAAAGAATACAACTGTGGCTTACTGACCTAGGGACAAGAGGTCGAAACTGAGGTCCCTAGGGCAGCAGAGGCCGGCTTATATACAGGGGATGTTTAGGGGAGGCTGTGCACACTGGTCCATGCGCAGCTGGTCCGTGCACAGCATGCCGACGCGGCCCCGGGGGCCGGTGAGTCAGAGCGGCTGTGTCAGCGGAGCCCGAGCTGTGCCGTGCACTGCCGTCCTATCTAATCAGATCATACAGTAGATAATGATGTGTCCATATCGGGCAGGTAGTACAGAGGTCGCGGGTTCGAGTCCGCGAAAAGGAAAAATTAAAAAACGGCTAGACGCCGTGCCAACTCGTGACAGGTGGCCCTGCTCACATGAAGCCGTACTGAAAATGAGATAGGCTATCGAGAAGAACCTCACCAGTTTTATGGGGCCCGGACACAACGGCAAGCTGCTGCAGTACGTCGGATGGGCGGACCAGCTCATCAGCCCCGGCAACTCGTTGCACTATTACGAGAGCGTTCACGCGTGGACGAACGCAAACACCAACATGGACATCGATGATTTCTATCGCCTATTCACGGTGCCCGGCATGAACCATTGGTGCGTCTATGCTCTTTGCTGTTGCACTTGATCTATGCTGATGTGAATTTTGATAGTGACGTGAGTGACGTGCCCACGAAACATCTGAACTGATGACTTAAGCAAGGCGTTTGGCCTGTATCTAGGGTGGCTACGGAGCCAACGCATTCGGTGCGGTGCAGCAAGCCTCCGGCGGTATGCCCCCTCTCTCGCTCGATCCCGAACACAACATCCTTGCCGCGATGGTGCAGTGGGTCGAGAACGGCGTCGCGCCTGCAAATCTGACGGCAGTCTACTGGAACAACAATAATGTCACAGATGGGATCGGTTTCACGCGTCCGCTGTGTCAAGTGAGTGCCCATCTTACTTGCGCGTGTTAATCTTGTTGATATATGGTATTCGCGGATGCTAGTATCCGAAGACGCTGCGTTACAAAGGGGGGAATAATGTGACTGCTGATAGCTTCACTTGCGTGTGAAGCGGTGAGCAATTTGGGACTTCGTCGGTTTATTGTGGTAGTCAGGAGTGACGTGATTGAGCGGACTATTTATGCCAGGTTATATCGCACTCGCCAATTAATCGTACAGTTATGCTATTTATGATTGGTATCCGTATAATTTAATCATCGTTGGTAATTGGAACTCGCGCCCGGCTCAGTGATGACTGGGAATCGTGCTGGACATCTCGACATACACATTGTCCTGTGTGCAAATGTCCGCTAGGGTGCATTCTCGTGTGCAAGCTAAAGCAACTACACTATGATTGGTTGGTTGATAACGCTGTTTGGAGAGTCAAAGTAGTGCATAGACTACGTGCCGAAATGGAAGTTCGATGATGGAATGGGAACGCCTGCTCAAAACTTATCCCGGAAACTGGTATAACGAACGAATGACTCGCTCAAGGGGGATATGTATGAAGAGGCAGGGGAGACAGCTGTTTTTACCAGCGCAAGCATTCTTTGGACATAAAAAGCATACAGTATACAACCCATGAAAGCTATACCGAGCGCATGGTATCCACCATACTCGAGCCCTATACTAGAGGAGAAGATACCTGGGAGAAGCAGTAGTGTAAGGTTTGTTGAGCCCCAGCCCTCAGTCGCCATGCGTCAGGACCCAATCTATAGTGAGTACCAAAGCATACAGTGCGACAACGAGGAGTTAAGGCTAAAGGAGAGGAGAACAGGTGCTACCGGATATGTATGGACAGACCCTAACCCTATTTTCTACTAGACCCCGGGGTACCTGTAACCTACGCGTTACAAGTAGAGGGGGATATTAAATGGCATCGGAGAGGACGACATATATCGTCTTAGGTGCACGCTGGTTTCCCCGCCCTATGAGCGGGTACTTATCCCGAGGGCCAACGAAAAGGCCTGCACCAGGATCAGCTCTCACACGAGATTCGACCCTTGCCTCGGGGCCTCCCTTCACTTCTATAATGTACTCTTCATCGTCCATAAAACCTGGTTGCGGGCTGGTCAGTGGTAAGAGAATGAGAGTACTCAGCGCAAAATATAGCTGGCACATTGCCGCCGTCAGCGGAATCTGTGAACGCATTGAGTCCTGCCATGTTGCTAGTCTTGCCGGGACGCGTATCAACTTCAAGTCGTACGCTGTCCCCACCCCTGACGTTCCTAAGAGGGACGCCAGCGACACCAGCGACATCGGATGCAGCTGGAGTGTGCTGTTTGGGGTGTCCAGAGCACTGAACACGAAGAGACAGTCTATGAGCGACCGCAGGAGATATAACGGGAAAAACGTACCTGGAGGACGAGCGCAACCGCTTGCATGTGTCGATCTTTTGTCGATATAGTTCGCTGTCTCACATCATTCACGAATGTTGGCTCCCACACCCTCATCTGAAACTTAACACTAGACCAGCTGACTCTTGCTGATCTTCCACAGCTGCAACAGCAATGAGAGCTGCCGCAGCGTGCAATGTGGATGTCTCAAGTATAGCCTCAGGCAAAGACTGCACGAAGGTCATGTAAGCCATAAGAAGACAACAGGGAATAAGCACACTCACCTGAAGGTCGAGCACAGGCATGTCTCTGACTCAAGGGATCACACTGTTGAAGCACTCGTCCGATCACACATGCTTAGCGTTCATATCTTACCCTTCGCTTCTGGCTTTGTTGCTGCGTCTTGACTTGAGCTTGAGTAGGCCGAGAGATGGCGTCTAGTGTAAGAGCATAGCTGAGTGATTACCGATGAATGAGAATGAAGAAAAGACGAAGGTTTCGTACCTGGTCCGAGTCTGAGTGATGATGGGGAAAGGAGGGAAAACGGAATGGCTTTTATACGACGGGAAGTGGCACATTGTGAGTTCATTTTTGTCAGCCTCACAACCTCGTGTCAGTACGTCAGCTTGCCGGGGCGAGCCACGCACGAGGTGATGCCTGATTGTGGCGGAAACGATATTGCGCCACTTGCCCGCCACGACGAACCGCCTGGGGTATATATAACTCGCCAGTGAAAAGTCATAACAGCTTCATCGTTCGCTTATGAATTATGAACGGTTCCCAGACGGCGTCACGCCACAAAGGACGCATACGCGCCTCGTCACAACGAACAACGTGTTTGTGGGCCGCACATCTGTGACTTCAAGCCTTCCGCAGTGCGCGTCCCGTCACGCCGCTCGCAACAGCATCGTGAAGTGGCGTCAGAATTGAAATTGGACGACCCTGTCTGTGATTCCTTCGTCCTTTTGGTCAAGGAATAGGCTACCGGCTTCAGCCTCAGCCGCCTGCTTCCGGTCAGACGTTGTACGAGCAGAGGACATGATTCACTCAAAACGCATTGGCCACACAAGCATGAGTGATTTAATAAGTACAATAATACATCACGACTGGTCATGATCATACACGCGAGTCTAAAGGGAGCGCGAGCATCAGCATCGCCACGTTTACGATTGACTCGGAGGCCGATGCGCGTACCTGTGATACCAGCCTGTAGGCAGTCCCTCAGAGTCACTTGCTCTTGGGCGGCTCGGCGCAATTGCACGCCGGATAGGTGCACGAGCCGCCGTTGGCCTGGACGTTAGCGCACTTGACTGTGTCCTATGACAGAGTCATGTCAACGTTGGCTAACATACGAGAGGTGTCAGTCACTCACAGACATGTTGCTTGAGTGGGTTGTGTTGTCGACGACTGGAGAAAACGAGAGCATACCAGGACTGCCTTTATACTCATCCCGTCTACAGACGACATGAGTAGAGTGTAATCAGCTGTAGGCCTCCGTCTCCTCTGCATATGGAATGCTCGTCTTGCAGTTGGCCCGACTTCTCGCTGATGGTACTCACGCGGTGCTATTGGTTGTGCACATCTCCAATCACGTAGAGCCGCTCTGTCAGTGGCGAAGAAGCAAAACAGAGACCGACGGAGCTCGAGCTTCATTCTTCAGGATTCCCAGCTTGAACACCGTTCCCGCGATGCTCGCAGTATAGCGCTTGCTTCGCAGACACGTCCCGGGGACTGCACGACGGCTCACTCCAGACGCAGATCGATATATTCAACAGGGCCGCCCAAGAACATTGCATATAATTTGGTCGATGGACCGCCTCACTCGCCAGCAGTTTCATACTGAGAACGAAGCAGCACCCCGACAAAGCGTGGTGTAGAATGCAGAAACGCAGGTTGTCGAGGAAGAGACCATGTCCTCGGACAGGCGTCTATTCCTCCCGCATCTTCACCCTCGACGACTGGCGACAACCGCGCGCTGCCCTGATCCGACTGGCGACGCCCGCTCAGGGCCTCTCGCTCGTTGATCTAGTCTGTCATGAACGATGCGTATGGGAGACGCCTAGCATCGGAGCTCCCCCTGTGCATTCGTGTTTTTGACATTCCTGGCTCACAACATACGCGCGCGGGGAGACGCACGCAATTGAGCACAAAGACTTGTTATATTCGTTGTATGTACAACAGAGACGAACACTTTATATGTCTACCGTGGTGCGTACCTCGTGCAGACTCCCAGAGCAGTTTGAGCGCAAAGCCATCTCGTCGCCGCCTTCAAGTTTCTTCCTGCGTGAGGCCTTCTGCTGCAACGATCGATGCATGGTTAGACATAACGGCTTCGGCAGTCTGCAAACGGTCTTCTAGGTCACTTGAAGACTGTCGAGAAACCCGCGCGTCGTTCGTGGGTCGTGACGCGACCATACTCAACAGTATGCGCGGCCCTGTGCCATTCTGGCCATTCAACTGGCATGCGCTACCGCGTGATGGCAGAGATTATAACTGGTTACAGGCGCTTCTCTTGGAAAGGAACGTTTATGTGGAGCAACGGCACATCATCATCATGACCGAAGCTGGATCAACGCGCCAACCGTCTGAGGGACAAAGCGCACCTTGTTGGACGCTTGTTCGAGTGTTGTTCGTTTCTGCTTCATCCGCCGTAGTGGGCGCAGCAATATGTGGAACGATACCTATGACAAAAATAAACTTATTATTTAACGATGGCACACTCTTACGTGCTGTCTCGAGGACCCAGCGTGCCGGTCTCTGAAGGCTGTATATAAACTACTGCGTCAGGGATCAATGCTGACGTACTGCGACGGGCAAAGTCACCTATCCCAGTGCTTCGCATTGTGTCGAGACTTTCGCCAGAGGGTAGCCTTGCTCTGAGCGACTGGGCACAGCGAGATCGTCGTCGCTGTCTGCAGCGCACCGACGTCAAAAGGCGGACAGATTACGAAAGACTCACCGGGTGTGGGCGCACGTTGGTTTCCCCGTCGCGAGCGTTGAAGCGGGTACTTATCCCGAGGGCCACGCAAAGGCCTGCGCCATGCCTCGGGGCCTTCGTCCCGTCCGCTTGCAAGGAGGATATTTGCAGGGCTCTGTTGAGTCTTCGCCCCATCCCGATCTTTGAAGGGCGGCACTTTTGCGGGGGACCCTTCACCCCGTCCCGATCGTTGGAGGGAGACACTTTTGCGGGGGCCAGCTTGATCCTGGAAGCGATACGGCGCGATGATGAGTGAGTGGTCTACAAGAGGGGTGCACCCATGCCGCTCACCAAGGTTCCAGTCGGCGATGCTGTCTTCGCCCCATCCCGATCTTTGGAGGGCGGCACTTTTGCGGGGGACCCTTCACCCCGTCCCGATCATTGGAGGGAGACACTTTTGCGGGAGCATCGTCACCCCTTCCCGATCATTGGAGGGAGACATTTGCAGGGGTGACCAAGGCCCTGATAGTGACGCAATTCCCCGATGAGTGAACGACTCACAGACGTGCATGGCATGGCGCACCTGAATATTGGTCCGCGGTGCTGCCTTTGTCCCATGTGGACCATCAAAATGAACTAAGAAATATGAGGGTTCGAAGCAGGTGAGTGACAGCCAAGACTATTGGACAACGCACGTACTCGAGTCTGTAGAGAGTACTGGAATATCAAGATCAGGGACCCACGCCCACGCATCCCGACAGTGTCCTCGTGAGGACGTTTGCAGGTGTGGCGTCCACGCTGACAGCGACAGTGACAAAGAGGACCGAACTGGGCACGATGATCAGCAGGCAGGCAGTGGACGAGTAAGCAAAGCGACGTACCACACGTGCACACCTATCATTAGATGCGACGACTACGCCACTCAACTATGGTAAGGGCGACGACCACGACAGTGAGGAAGAGACGACATCGAACACGGAAGGACAATGCAGGTGAGTAGCCATCACCCACGACGAGCGACAAGAGGAGCCTACCCGATGGTGGTGGTTCAAGGTCAAGGAGCACAATGGGAGAGAGGGAAGGGCGCGGGCTTTATAGCATGCGGCGAGTGTGTCATTGTTTGTGTGTTGTTGAATGTCATCCTCGCCGCGACGCGTCGGTCACGTTGTGGGACGCGTCGGTCAGCCACGAGTGGTGTCGGCGGAGGGCGGACGGACGTTGGGTATGGCATGTTGAACATCGTCCCGATCGTCGACATCGGGTGAGATCCCGATCAGGACTGCTGCATGTGTTGAGTGGTCCTTGACACATTGCGCTGCGTCAGCGATGCACCTATCCACTGCTCACAGCCCTCATTCCTGTGAAAATTAAAGGACATCTGCACAGAATGCCAGTTGTCGATGTCGATGAAGGCTATTGTGCCGTCGTCGGGGACTTGTCATTGTCCACGATCGGTGCGAGCCACGTGATCGCGTTTGCGGACAACCAGGCTGTCACTCACTGCATGCAGTATTCAATTTTCTGGTACAAGAAATCAAATAGAAATTGAAAGAAAAGTTAATTTACCTAATCAGTATTCTGGCGCCTAATATGAAAGTGAAATCGAAGGAAAAGCGATTATGTAATCCATTTTCCATTGTCTCTTTCAATTTTCCTTCGATTTTCCTTCAGTTTCCAATCAATTTCTACACCAGTAAGATTCAATAGGTGCTATTTGCTTTTAATTCAATTATGATTTGATATTTTGTGCAGGAAAATTGATTCGCCTCGCTCTCCTAGCGCCCATGACCTCCCGGAGTTGAATCTTGCGCGGCAAGATCCATTCGATTAAGGGCATATAACAGAACTGACGAACATTTCCTGTACACAGCTTCAACCGATGCGAGATCTCCCCATCATGCTGGATGATTAATGTTGCTGCGTGGTGAATTTAGACTAACGTTCGCAAGTCACGCTAGAGGCATTCCATTCGTGCTACGATACGAAAAATACAAAGATCATCGACGACCTGAACCCGCAGTCGGTATGACTGTCTAACCCAGGTTCATCAACATCAACAGAGTCTTAGGCAATGACAGCGTAAATGCGTACAGAAGGAGTGTATCTTCACACACCTTACTTGCTCTTCGGTGGCTCAGCACAGTTGCACGCCGGGTAGCTGCAAGAGCCGCCGTTGGCCTGGACGTTAGCGCACTTCACAGTGTCCTGCAGTTGACCACGGTCAGTGTCCTCAATCTGTCACTGGAGAATACGACGGTCACGTACAGACATGTTGTTAGATTGAGGTGTGTAGTCGATGACTGGGGAAGAGGGACACGACAGAGATTACTTATATACCTTCGTGCGCAAGCTTGTAATGTGCACTGTGCGATTGGCCCCCGCAATGCTGAATCCTGTGTGGATGATTGGCTACCGAGGCCGATACTTCGGAGGGTAGCACACGGATAGCCACAATTCTATCAGCCACCGTGACAGGACCCGGGACCCGGGGCGGTCGTGCTTCCTCGCGCCATCAGTCGCTCTCGCTTTATGTGCCCTATTATTTGAGGTTGCCTGTGCCAGATGACATGCCATGGAGAGACGGGTGGACACCGCGAGCATCTTCTGGCGGATCATCACGGTAACCGTGCAAGGATCCACTCAGACGGACACGGTGGATTTCGTTCCGTGGAGACCGCGCTGCCGTATGAGTCTGTCAGCTTTCAGATCACTATTACGCTAGCAGTCGAGACATTGTAGCATATATTCATGATGTTGTGAATGTATATCATGATGTATGCATACCAATATCTCGATCGACCCCTGTGCGGTGAGACATGGCTGAACATAGTTAATGAGCGGGGCCGGTTGAGCTTGGCTCCGTGCATTTCATTATCGGCGATTCGAAGCTTCACGTGGGCAAACTCCTGGTCGTTGTATAGATGAACCACGAAGTTAGCATGCTACATAGTTGATACTAGGCTGCTCTGCACGCCTGATGCCGCACAACTCCTTGTCAACGCGGTCACGTGTGCCCATATTCCTACGCGATCAGTCGGGCGCCAACACTGCAAGAAGGCATATTCGTCTCACTCACAGTTGGTCGAGCCTACTCTTCGGTATTGTTTACATTACTTGGAGTCTGATTACAAGACTTGAAGGATATGCAGGAGCTACTTCACGAGTAATGAGCTGATTCCTGATATGGAAGGCGGGTGTAACGGAACATGAACCATCACGTGCAATACCGTGACTGCCGGTGGCCGCATATAAACCTTCGACGTTGTATCTGCACTATCCTTGGCACCCTACACGCCCCACCAGTCATGTCAAACCCACAAGTTGAGCGGACTTGCCAGCCTTCCGAGGACGCGGAGGTAGACAGGTCCCAAGCCTCGCCGTTCATTGCTGACGCATCATGTCTGTTCTAGCCGAAGCCACATAAACAGATTCTCAAACGCCCCATTGATGCTACCAAATACTCACCGCCAGCTACATATCCTCCTCTTCCCGAAGGCTACGAGAAACATGAACGATACTACGTTCTCGGCTGGAAGGTGATGCCGAGTTGGTTCGCCTCCTTTGCTCAAAGGTTATGCAAAGGAAATCCCAACGCGGACTCCTGGCTCTTTGGGATGCGCTTGCTGAAGCACAGGGTCAAATACTACGACTTTTACTGGATGGGAGGCCTTCCCCATGACGTACCCATCCCCGCCAATCCCTACGACCCCACTGTAGACGTCCACCAGCTATTCGCTGTGTGTACGACTGCAAGATCGTACCTCTTCAAGCAACGGTTGACACAAGCGCAGTACGAATTTATGGTGGCGTTGTGGGGCGTGCCGGAGTGGTACAGGGATTATCTACCGAAGCACGAGTTCTGGCTCATGTACCCTCACCTGCTAAAGGAGACGATATAAGTTTCTCTTGTTGTCTGTATTTTGCTATGCGTCTATGCACCCCGTTGTTGTGTCTGCTTGTAACAGTATATTGAACGCTGCTGGGGGTGTAAATTCGTTGACGTCTCGTGAACGGAACAACCACTGTAGACTCTCTTTGGAAGTTACCGCGTTGCTAATCTGTTGTGGGCCACCAGATTGCTTGGTGCATGACAAAGTTGCACAACGTCACCCCTTGGTCGACGTAGACAGCAACTTTCTGCCACTGATGCGTGACATTTGATCGAGAGACGATGTCCAAACCTGCGGTTGCGGGAACACAACGGTAACGTTCACAAGTTCGCAAGTCACGAAAAGCATTTCATTCGTACTATGATACCATTTAATACGAAGAGTACAGCGATAATCGACGAGCTGTAACTGCAGTCGGTATAATTATCTGGACCCTGGTTCATCAGATTTGGCATCCAAGGGGGAAATAGCGAGGATGCATACAGAGAGGGTGTATCTTCGTACACCTTACTTGCTCTTCGGTGGCTCAGCGCAGTTGCACGCCGGGTAGCTGCAAGAGCCGCCGTTGGCCTGGACGTTAGCGCACTTGACAGTGTCCTGCAGTCGACCACGGTCAGTGTCCCCAGTCTGCCACTGAAGAGTATGACGGTCACTTACAGACATGATGTTAGATTGAGGTATGTAGTCGAGGACTGGGAAGTCTCGGTGCGATGAGTCTCCTCTTATACTATGAGGGAGACACTCTCACCGGTACCCACTGTCTGTAGGATGAGACAATACGCTCTCATTCATTGGCCCTTACATCTCTGTCTTCCTCGACTGGTCAGTTGCCTGAGACGGCGCGATCATCATTGCGGCCATACACGGATCTCTGGCAAGTCAGCTGCTCCGATCTCCGCGTGAGACGAGAGCCCATCTGCTCCCACGCATTGTGTCCGTCGTACATCGACGAAGCTCACCCAATAGGTACGCTCGCATTCTGTCTCTACGCTTCCTTCTCCCAAACGACCTGCCTGATAGATCCCACAGATCGGTACCGCGCTTGCAGTGCCAGGCCAAGGCGATAACGCAACTATGCCGCTCGCACTGGTTGAGCTTGTCATCTTCTGTTTCCCTCGTAGGGCTTTTTGGAGCTGCTATCTAGCGACCTCATTGAGACAGGAGAGCGCTGCGCGAGATCATCTTACAGTATTGAGGCATCACATTGTCCTGATTGAGATACCGGTAATAGGAACCAATGCTGTCATTGTGACATACCCAAACGACATTTTACAGGACAACGTTTCACGATCGCTCGGCGTCTCCCTGGTCAAGATACAGGAGCTGCGTCTTCGAGTAGTAGAGAACGACAACGTCCTTGCTCAATCGAACTGACACATTTGAGTGAAATTGTATATCCACAAGCACACGCTCAAAGTCGCTCTCATTTCCTTGCGAGTCGATCACGCTCTCATCATCGTACAGGGTTCGGTTCAGAAGAATGCATTCATAACATGCTACAAGGTGCTGCTGCCGCCCCAGTACGCGCTAACAAGAAGATCGAAGCGGTCCTGCAGAGACGAATGCGTCAATAGCAGCATACGATCGAGAACGCTCGCTACGAACCAAGGGCTGACGTCTTTCCAGGGAGCTTACTTGCTCTTTGGGGGCTCGGCGCAGTTGCATGCGGGGTAGGTGCAGGAGCCGCCGTTGGCCTGGACGTTAGCGCACTTCACGGTGTCCTGAGCGCCACGACGGTATGAGCGATTTGCCCTGCTAAAAGATGAGAGACGTGGGACTCACAGACATGTTGATTGAGTGGATGATGTGTAGTCGAGGACTGGGGGAAAGAGAGGGCAGAGAGAGATTATATAGAGGTCTCCGAGGCGAAGCACATATCGCGTGGACCTCGAAGCTGGATAATGTGCGCGTGTTGATTGGCTTACGGCTCTCCATTTTGAGAAATACAATGCGCGAGATTGGGTCAGTTGGATGCTGTGCTGCCCGAGTTAGATATTTCTGGCAGTGTCCTAGTAGATATCAGCACGGCCAATAGCATCTTTCCGTTCAGCCAACTAGATGAACTGTGTGTGTCCCAACTATTTTCTGGTGATGCTGAACACATGATGTGTCGCTATTGAGTGCGCGGGTCTGTATTCTGATCTTACAGATCAACAGATGGGATGGGGCAACATGGAACATGACGACGAGTGCGACTTGCATCAAGGGAAACGAGAAAGGTTTGCTGTCCTCCAGGCAGTCGTCGACTGTTTCTCCTTGCACACATGGACAGTTCGAGGTCCGCACCGCCGTAAAGTCACCGCCCAGCTTAACAGTGCGCTAGTATGCAACGAATGATCCTTGTCATTTGTTCGAAAGCCTCATTGCATGTGATCTTGTTCCGATTGTAGACATTGCCAGGACCAATACTATTGGCAACATTATCGACACAAGGACCAAGGGATGAACACAAGCCATTATAGAAAGCATCTTTGAGCCTCATTAGTCGCGTAAACCTCGGATCAGCAATATATATTGGGAAATAATTCACATGACCTGTCTACTCGTACAAAACACGGAAACTGCACTCACTGGGGGCAATCCAAGATGTCCGCTCTCCGAATATCATTTGTATATCCAACGAATTGTAGAAAATAAAAGTCAAATACTTGACTTCCGAATATCTAAAGAAAGCCATAGATAAATGTTGACTTTTGGGTATGTCGGGCAAGCGTCGCTGCCGGCCCGGGTCACGTGGTCGTGCGCCGGTGTGGGAATAGGACTTATGTAGGCGTTGCGCACCGTAGGTAGCCCCATCGGTTTGTACCCTTATCCACCATTGATGTCACGACTTGGTACGGCGCCTAGCCGTTTTTTAATTTTTCCTTTTCGCGGGCTCGAACCCGCGACCTCTGTACTACCTGCCTGATATGGACGCATCGTTATCTACTGTACGATTAGATTAGATGGGGCGGCAGCGCACGGCACAGCTCGGGCCCCGCTGACACAGCCGCTCTGACTCACCGGCCCCCGGGGCCGCGTCGGCATGCTGCGCACAGACCAGCTGCGCACGGACCAACGTGCACAGCCTGCCCTAATCTCCCCATGTATATAAGCCGGCCTCTGCTGCCCTAGGGACCTCAGTTTCGACCTCTTGTCCCTAGGTCAGTAAGCCTCCACTTGTATCCTTTCTTACATTACTAACTAATATACTATCTTGTCCCTAGCCTTAGGTTTGAGCCTCGCTCACCATCGCTTCGGTGAGAATCAGTCGGACGCCCCCAGCCTTCCAGTTTTCTCTAGTCGCTTGACCTCAAGTCGCGACATTAGGTCGAAACTCCACAAAGCTGCTGGCGTCCCCTCGGGACCCCTCATATTCACTTTCCTTTCCCACAGGTCGGGTGGTGCGCACCCCTACGGTACATTACGATACGTAGATAGCGTACATTACATCGCCAACACTCAGGGAACGAACCTTTCAGCACCTGCACTTCAGTGGGCGGTGCTTGTCCTTAACCGGACGCGTGGACTAGGTTCCTGCTGCATACTAGCCAAAAGCAGTACTGGGCCCCACGTGAATCGCGAACCCTAGTGTCATCTCGGGCGCCCGTAGTGTAAGCTAGTCTACCACGGCCTTTCGTAGTACGCGCACCTACCTGTCC